TGACAATCACACAGGAATCAGTTTGACTAATATAGTGTCTAAAATATTAGCTTCAATAATACTTCGGCGCCTAACCAAAGCTCGTGAAGAGCAGACTAGAGAAAATCAGACTGGTTTTCGACCTGGTTGTATAGACCAGATATTCACACTACGTCAGGTTCTAGAACACAGACACACGTTCAGGCGCCCTACAATGGTAGTATTTCTCGATCTTAAGGCGGCATTCGACTCTGTTGATCGTAAGGTTCTATGGCAGTGTTTGTCACTGAAAGGAGTACCAAAGAAGTACATTAACCTTATACAGTCTCTCTACTCGAACACAACTGGTAGAGTGAGAGCTTATGGCGAACTGTCATCAGAATTGATTACCTCAGGTGGTGTTCGTCAGGGCTGCCCACTCTCCATTCGTGTTTAACTTTGTCATTGACGTACTTTCCTCATCTAAATTTACAGGAGTTGAACTTCTACCGGGAGGTTCACTTGTTGACTTAGAATATGCTGATGACATAGTTTTATTTGGCGAAGACGCTGACAAAATGCAGAGTCTTCTGACCACTCTAAGCAACAATGCAAGCATGTTCGGGATGCGGTTCTCCCCTCGAAATGCAAAATGTTGCTTCAGGATTGGGTGGCATTGACACTCGAACTAATGATAGGGATTGAAGTAATTGAGCGTGTCGATCGCTTCACTTATCTTGGAAGTCTCATCAGCCCTTATGGTCTGGTGTGTGACGAAATCTCAGCACGGATACAGAAGGCTCGACTAGCTTTTGTCAACTTGCGTCATTTATGGCGTAGGCGAGATATCTGTCTATCGACCGAAGGACGTGTTTACTGCGCAGCAGTTCGTTCCGTCCTACTTTATGGCAGTAAATCGTGGCCGGTAAGAGTAGAGGATATTCGTAGGTTAGTAGTATTAGTAGTATTCGATCATAGGTGTCTTCGAAACATTGCTCGTATATCCTGGGACCATCAAGTAAGTAACACAGTTGTTAGGAAACGGGTACTAGGTAAGGATGGCAAATCGATTGATGAAGTTGTGAAACTTCATCAGTTGAGATGGCTGGGACACGTGTTACGTATGCCCAACGACCGACTACCTCGACGTGCCATGTTCAGTGGTATAGGAGTAGGTTGGAAGAAAGCTAGGGGCGGCCAGACCAAAACATGGCACAAGTCCATGAAGTCACTGACAAGTGGTCTGAGTCATGTTGGTAGGTGTAGAGTCCCTGGTTGGGGACCGCGAGATGATAGCAACCGACGGTTAGAGACCTTGAATGTCATGGCTCAAAATCGTTTGCAATGGCGCAGGTGCATCCACTCTTTGTGTTCTTCCAAATTCTAATCTTCTAGATTCTTTATGTCCCTTTTTTCCTCTTCCCAAATTTATTTCACTGGATTATACTCTTTAAATAACATCTCCAAACCCTAATCTTCCCGATTACTGCTTATACTCTTACTACCTCTACCACTACGGGATTTGAGTCGACAACTGCATCTCTGTGTTAATGTGGTATGGCAACTCGAACTAATGTATGTACGTACGAATTTCTACGTTGTTACTGACTGACTGTATACACTCTTTGTCTTTCATTTAACCGTGAGATTAGAATTACTTGGTACCTTTCTTTCTACGAACTTATTCTTTCTGTATTATATCCCTATATGTAATGTTTTTTTATATATTGTCACCACTGAAGTAACTACTTCTATGAATTCGGTGTTCATTTTGTGCTAATGACGTGTGGCAAATTGGACCGATGTGTATATGTGCCTGGTCCTACTTTGCTGCTGACTGATGTATTTTAGTGACATACACTGCCACACGGTCTCCCGAATAATAGTGTCGTATCGTGCCCTAAGATTGATGAATACATCAATCATCGGTCGCGAAGTATGCCTATGCCCTGAGATCTGACAAAGAGAGAATATTTGGTATTTGTAAATCATTCGAGGCTTTTAATGGCTATAATGATTATCACCTACGGTCAGCTTGTTTAAGGTTAATTCTGGTATCGAACAGATAAAGTTAAATTAAATCTTTAGTTATCTAGGCAATACTTCCTTGATTTGTTGTCATTCCGGTGTTACTGAAAATTCTGTATGAATGACCAATATTTATTTTGCAGGATGCTCATAATTGGGGACCTTTTTGGGTGTTGTTTGCGATTATAACGCTGACTTTTGTGTGACCATCTATACCCGTCGGGTATATATATTATACGCTTCCGTGTAATCTCCGTAATCTGATCAACAATTCTCTTACCTTCCGATTATTAAGATAAAAATTTAAGGTTCGGGTAATAAAGTTTGTTATTACATTAACTATTTGTAACTGACGATAATCTTTTGTGTTTATGCTCTTACAGTACGTTAATTTATGCAAAATAATGATTTAGCCAATCATGAAGAAGCACACATTTCATGTAATTATCTACTCGTTTACCTTGTTCATTCGGTGTGAGTTGTAATTGGTGGATCAATCCAACCTCACTTTCATTCATCTCTGTGCCTAGTTTATCTGCCATATCGGTTTGAACTGGAATGCTGTTTAGAATAAATATTTTGTCCATTCTAGATTGTGAGTAATCAGGAATTCATTTATATGATTCTCCTCTAAGATTGTTTATTATTTTGTTGCAACAAACAAATACTTCTTTTTAAAGGGGGTAATTATAAAGTACTACTAATCTTTTCATTGCCTTTCTTTAAAGGGCATATATTGGTCAGTACATATTAGTAAATTTTAGAATTATCCAAACCATTGTTTCTGGTGTTTTACACCATGAAACGACCTGTCTCTAGCATTATGTCTAAAAATACGTAGTTGGTTCTTAATAGCATTTAAATATTTGTTAGAACTAAGTAGTAGTGCAGTCGGCACACTAATGAACTGTGATACGATATCATTTGTATTTTTACGGTAACCTTAGGCAAACTTCAGCATTTTCTTAAGAATCCTATATGCACATGACTAAAGATAAGGTATTTTTAGTGTTATGGAATTACTTTACTTTAACTAGTCACCAAATAACGGTCATCTGAGTTCTTTCAGTCTTCTAGTCGGTACAGGTCATTTAATCTCTTCCTATGATGTTATAACTGCTTTAAACTAATAAAACATTTATTAGCTTTATTAACAATACTCATTTCAGGTAAATAGCAAAAGCAAGTGTCAGTTTATCGTTCATTTATATTTATATATATATTCATAGTACACAGTAGAATATGTATACAGAATATAATTAATATTCGTTATTCAATACACATAAACCTATGTTACACACACAGTGAAATAGAACAAATATATCTATTAACATACAAATATGTAAAACCGTACATTATGAATAAAAACATAAAAGGTTTCCACTAGTCATAGGTTCAACGTTCAATAATTTCACATTGAACATATAGAAAAGTGAATATTCCTAATAGTAAAAACAAGCGATTTACTTTGTTTTCTTGATAAAAAAAAACTGAGAAAGAGCAACAAAATTTTTTTAGTAAAAATTCAACATTCCAAAATGAAAATTAGAACAAACGTAACGCGGAAAATAACACCTAAATTTGGAAATGTTTTATTTTGCACCACTGAATTGTTGTATCGGTTTGTGACAGTAGGAAAAGATCAACTGTAAATAGAACAATAAAAACGAGTAGAGTATTCATAATATAGCTGTACTGAATTAGTGTTTACATAAATTATTTCGATGGCAGTCCTTCAACCAATTTCATAATTCGTGGTAAATAAGACACATTAACAACAAGGAGTATTCATAATAAGGTGAAAAGAAACTGGCTAAATGGAGTGATAGTAAGGAATACAGAATAAACAGTAATGAATATGACAAAAACATTATCAAGCCCCATAATATAAACAATTAATAATGAATGATTTTAGTATTTATAATCCTGATCACTTTTATTTATTGCTTTCACAAAGACAATATGAATACTTTTCTAGCTGTATTATTTTTTAAATGTTCAGCAGTTTTGATTATTTCATTTAAAGAAAATATGTTTGTGTGTTATATTGATATCGATTAAATAGTTTGAAAACAACTGAACATTCAATTGATCAAGTCCCATAGGATTGGAATGTAACATTTTTACCAGACAATAATAATAATAATGTTCATTGTCATGTTTCATTTGTTTAGGGACCATTGTTCAATTGGAACAATTGATTTGTTTCAAAATATATTTTAAAGCTTTGTAAATATGAAATTTTGTAACTTTTAATCAACTAAAACTTTTCTTATGCTTTATGTTAGTTCAGTGAGCTTTTATAAAATCTTATTGTATATTAGTGCTTTCATTTAAACCTAATATGAAATAGAGAATTAATTAAGGATAAGATAAAACTAATTTTATTTTTGTTTTAGTGAATAAATTGAATATGATTGTGTAAAATTCAATTCAACAAGAAAAGAGGTAGTTTTTATGTTTATAATATTTTGTTTAAAATCTAACCATGAATAAATATTTGATTTGACAATGCACTATGGAATCTTCAAAAAACAATAAAATTTATGTGAATCATTTGAGAACAGAAGAAGATAACTATACCCAGCCGGAAAAAGTCAATTTTATTAAATAAAGAAAAAGAAAAGAAACTATATTTTATGCTACCTAATTCATTGTCTTATTTGTTCAAATATATTAATTCATTAAAATAAAACTAGATAGAAGGAGAAGAACTTCAACAATATGCAACTAAATAGATAACTGAAATTAGAATTACATTAACTCTTAATCGACAATTAATTTAATGATTATTGATTACTAATAGTTTTATTTACAATAAAAAAAATTCATTCCCTATTCTTATATCCTTTAAAATATAATTTGTTCATTGAGTTTGCTTATCTTAATGCGGTTTGTTTTCAATGTCCCAAGGCTGCCTAATTTATGAATATTTTTGTCTGCGTGTGTACAAATTATTGAATTATTTTATCAGAATGATCCAGTTGTGCGTACTTCAATGAATAACTTGAGTTTTAGTCTGGCTTGACTTCAAGAAATAATCCAGGTTGAGGCCAACATCCTGTACAGTGTCCTCCACAGCGACCATATATTAATTGACCATCCTAAAGCAGAGAATAGAACAAATATCACGAATATATAAATATATATATACGATTACTTCTTATATTACTAAAATATTCCCTTTTATCACGATAGTCTTCATTAGTTGCCTGCAGAACTTGAATTACAATATTTTCACCAGATATTGACTTTAGTCGAATACTTCTAATTATCATATTGGCGTCACCATGGTGTCAAATTGTATAGAGTTAGATATTAATTCAAGTGGAAATATCTCCGAACACTGCATGGAGCGGTTCGAAATCTGGTGCATTACTAGAGAAGATAAATTTACATCTAATTTGGTGACATTCATTGGAAAAAAGTGTATAACTGAAAGAATATGGCTTTTCCAGAGAAACCAATTTCATTGTCTTACAAATCTCTCAAGGAATTAATACTTAGTCATGTCGATTGTGGTAGCTTTGAATGAATAGAGATCTGAGTTTCATAAGATTATGAGATAAAATGCTCAGAAATTTAAAGACTTTATACTTGAACCATAGAAACAGGCCGTGAAGTGCAATTGTGGAGGCCAATTGGAAACTCAACTCCATGATTGGTTGATTGTTGCTACAAGTATTCATCATTTCAGAAAAGAATTTATTCGGAAATCCAAAAGTTCATTTCAGGGAATTAAAACAGCATTTATTAACTATGAGGCAGTATATGAGCTTGATTTTTAGTTAGTAAAAGTTTCTAATACTTTGCTTAGTCGTCGTGATGGACTACATTCTCAGGGTCTCTCAAGCTCGGATTTGTTTAATGATGGTTTCTATTCTAGTGAAAAATATGAAAAACGACTCAAAAAAGGATTTCAAAGCATGTTATGGAGTTGGGCACAAATTCGGCAAATGTTTATCATGTGATTAATTTCAATTACGTATTTAGTGTGTCTCATCTTGCCAAATGCTTTAAGTGTGATAAAATGGGTCACATAGATTCGGTTTGTAAAACCACTCTTCATTTCGCCAAAAGTAATACTAAAATTTGTAATTCAAATTCTATTAATTTGGGTTATCTAATAATCATATAAAATCCTTATTTACAACAAGCAATAGTTTTTTTCATATTCATGAACGATTATATTTGTCTAATGGTGCTATTCACGATTTTGTTGTTGACACTAGTAGTATCAAATCCATCATGTCAGTTGGCAAGTTAAAACCATTAAATCTCGATGCTGTAATTAAGCCTACTAAAGTTTATATTTCGAGTATTACTGGTCATAAACTTTCGATTCTTGAGTATTGTAATTTGCTGATTAGAAATGATAGATCTTACATTGTGAATTCCTTATCATTGATTGTGGAACATTTATCCTGGGTCTAGAGAATTTAACAATGATTACCGTGCAACTTTCCTTATTGATCACTGAGCACGGTTCAAGTGTAGTCCCGATATCTTGTTAATCGTAGTGTGAAAATTCGTGCAAATCTTCAAAGCTCTCTTACGCTGATGCTCAAGCAGAAAATGACAAGACCTTGAAACAGACATCAGTTCTATTATTGCTGTAAAATTCAAAGACCCGGAGAAGAGAGAATATAGTCTTTCAGTACAGAATCGCTAAACCGTACGAAGAAACAATGATAAGACTGCTTAAATAAAAACATTTTCGTCCAAATATCGAAGGTTTACAGTCTGCTAGTGTTACATATTATCGATGAACTGATTTCCCACAATCCATGAAATGTCTGCTAAAAAAGGTTGATAAGTCAATGATTTATATACTAGTCAGTTAGAACAACCGAACACGTTATAATGACCCAAATGAGTCCGTACCACCTTCTGTTGTTAATTCTAATGCTAATAATTACATTCTAGAGCGATGGACATCTGTTTTTACCGTAGTATGGTATTTTTCAGCAAGTCACATCCACGACTCTGTAAGCGGGAGTCTAGTCTACGTACTTCGGTCTCGCTCACGAACGTTTAACCTCTGGACCACTAAACCAGGATATAACGGTGTTAATATTTAACTTAAGATTATTGAACAGATAGTTAATTATATATATAGTAGAAGACTATGTGTCCAAGCTTTTAGGTCGTACATTTTCGAACCAGAAAAATATAGCAATAAAGCTTTTTCTTGAGATTTTTTCTAGCTGGTTAATTGTACATGTTAACCAAATATATTTACACGTTCTCTGAGCTGCTCACATATTATTGGTCTAATTACTGGAAAAGTCTTGAGAAATCACCACATTGGTTGACAGATTTTCTTTCCTATGTGTCGATCGGAGGCCAAACGAAATACGATTAAAACGAAATTCGTGCGTAATGTTCTGAGAAAATAGTGTCACAGAAGTAGAATTCTTGGAAATGAAGATAAATGGGAGCTAATCACTGTTGAGAAACTTTTTATACATATATTTATAAGTGTTATAATATAGAATATTTTATATCATGAATTCTTTTGTGCAATCAAATAAATATACATGGTTTTGAGTAAAATGGTTATCACTGGATACCTATAGATATTATTGTGCATTTTTAGTAAATGTTATCATTTAAAGGAATATCTTATCAGATGAACTTTCTTTTATTTTGAACTTAGGTTTAGTAATTATAAAAATAATAGTCAAGATCATTTCTTGTGATTGAACGATAACTTATGATTTGAATTCCTGAGAATCAGTCAACTTCCCAAATATCTCTTTCTGTTCTTGAATAGAAGCTGAACTACTTTAGATTTACGTTATCGATACCGACTTAAGGTGAAAAAAACTGTCTTCTTTCAAAAGAAATTAAACACAAGACTGAAACATTTTACATTCATAATTTCATCATTTCATATATTTTTTTATATTCAAATGGACGTACTTGTAATCGATGAATATGAGATACACCATCATTAATTTCATTATTGATCCAACGTGTTTTAACGCTCACCTTGAAATTTGTACCTCTCAAATCGATTTGAAATTGCCCCTGATTAAAACGAATTTATGAAAAAATCAAGTGTTAAATGTTCAAAGGCGCCAGTGTTAAATAGTAATTGCAAATCAGCATTTATTAATAATGAATTTTCAATAACTGATCTCACAATTTACAATATTCTGATAAGTATTTTTGAAATGTGACACACATTGAAAACGGTGTTGATGAACATTAATTTATGATGGCTGAATTGGTCACTATACTGTTTTCCTTTAGTTATTTATTGATACAAAATGGTCGTTCATTAATGTATATTGTCAATTTTTCTGTTTTATGCTAACTGTTAACCGAATTCAATCATTTCAAGTGAAGTATAGCCATTATTCTATACGGTTAAACATGTAATGATACAATTTTTGGAAACAATTATCTGGATGGTCTGTTTCAACTGGCATTAATAATTCTTAACTAAAAGTCAGGGGATGTAACTCAACTGTGACTTATCCGTGACAATTAGATATGATAGTACTTTTTCATAGTTTTTTTATGATGATTACAAATAAATTATGATCAAATAATGATATTTAATTAATTTTCTCATAGTAAAATAATTTTCCAAACCTTAATACCACCTCTAAAAAGAGTAATATGTTGCTTTTCTAATCTTAAACTATGTCTAAAGTGTTGGGAAATGGAATGTTCTGAATTCAAGGATAAGAGAGGAATAGTAATAAAAATTTCATGGATTAACTAAAGTATATTTCTGAACTAATAGTTTGTATCAGTTCAGTAGAATCTTATATTACTTGGAGTTTCAGTGAAATCATAAATCGATCAGTGTTAGATCATCATTGAAAACCTGGAAGCACTGAAGTCTCGTACTGGGACGAAACGGTGTCTGGCGCTTCCAGGTTTTTAATGATGGTCTAAAATTGATTGGTTCATGATTTCAGTGAAAATCAGCAATCTCCACAACCCTATACTGATAAATAATTTTGAGCTGGTCTTACAACATGAACTGACATCGGGAAAGTGCCGAAAATTGTCTGAAGTGAGAATTGTGGAATATTAGGTTTATAATCACTGGTCTGGATGGTAATACAGCCACCAGGATACCCGAGAGTCCTGTATTCCATTTCTGACGATGTTGTTTTGGGTACTACTGAGGAATCTCGGATTAAAGCGAAACATCATTCCAACGCTTTCTAGTTTCCAATGGTCCTCAAGCCTTATTAAGCGAATGATAAAAATAACCTCAAAATTGAATTACTCTCCTAAATTAATCAACAAAACATTAAATTATTCTGTGAATAAATGCCTACATACATTTAATATTTACATAACATCGCTCAATCGGTTTGTTCACTTGGTCGAAGAGTGAGTTAAGAGATGATGACTAAAAATGATATCTTCAGTAAAATATGACTTTTCTACATCGTTATCTTATCAGTCCATTTAGCCAACTGTTTAGCTAGTCTCCTATAAATCTAATTAAAGCATAAAAACGATTTTACAAAGACTTTATTTAATATGAATATGGGGTTGTGTAGAGATATCTCCAAGATATTTAAATTGGAAAAGTGATGGTAAGGATTGGAAAATTAGACTTCTTTAAGACATTAAACTCTATCAGCCACTGCTATTTCAGTGGTAAAATACTTTTAATTTCTAGACTTTCTACTTACTGGCTAAAAATTAGCTTCAAAATCAAATGATTTTTTAAACATCACTGTTAATTTGTTTCTGTCACGTAGTTACACTTAATGATTATTTTTCATAACCGTAAATACCCACCGTTATAGTCTTTGTTTCAAGTAATTCAGAGTCTTTCTCATAGTGTGTTTACAGTCATTTAGTTTATCACGATATTGTACATAGCTAGTTAATAAATATTACACTTCTAACCTGAGGACAAACGGTTGATGAGAAACAATCTTTTGCAGTCCCGTACGGCATCATTGATGATCCGAGAGTATGTGAAAATCGTCCATCATCAACTAAAATGGTTAAGAAAATTTAATTCATCAAGCAAATCAGTTTTATTATTTGTAACAACCCAGAAAAAAGACATAGTTCAAGTGGTAAATGGTATTTTTACTGATTTAATTCTACGTAATGAAAGAATCTTCGACTGTTAAAACGAAATAAAAGAATCGGCAGACAGTATGCAATACTACGATTTAGTCGGATAATGGTCTGTCAAGAGATTGAATAATTGATATATCCTCTGCTTAGCTGAAATAATGCCAGAAGACAAAACAGCTGCCTTGTAGAATAGGTCATTTTTCTAATCAAAAAGAACATGCGTATCTTAAAAAGTATTAACAGAAAAGCAAACATGATTGAATATCATAGGCAAATAGAGAAAATCAGTATCATAGGTCACTCCCATTCCGACCAATCAGAACTTTTCCTATCATGTCAGTCAACAAAATGTGATCAAATGATAAGAGAAGTGGTTGTTGATGTCAAACATTTAAAATTATCTCTCATGGAGTTGAGTGTTTTGATATTTAAACATAAGAAAAATCTAGTGAGACGATCCGGCTAGATTTGATGATCCACTTAATTTAGCTCAGAAAGTGAAAATATCATGTACGTGATTATGTGTGCACATTGAGGATATAAAAACAACTGTTTCATACTCCTTGTTTATTTCTTTCAAATAACCTTCATTTTGCCACAATATTTTTGTTATTACCACCTTTAAAGAATTGTCTTTTATTTGACGGGCTTCAGATAATGTGTTTAAAATTTTCTCTGAAAAGTTTCTACAACAAAATCCTTCAGAAATTCTTAAGACAGACTTTCTGTTATTTTTCTCAGCTATATTTGCGTTAAATACATATTCACAGTTGAAATCACGAATCAATCTAAGCTTGACCACCACTTAAACCTGGAAACACTGGATGATTTTTCTGTTCTAGTATGGGACTCCTTAACAGTTGGCATTCATGATCCCGCCCATGGGTGTCGAACCCATGAATTTCGGTCTCGCGCGCGAACTCTTAGTTTCTAAACTACTGGGCCAGCATTCACCAGTGTTAGTATCTAACTTCAGTCAATCCGTGGTCTTGCGCAAACCTTCATCTGTTGTCTGAGGTGGATTACCGTCTCAAACTCAACATGGATTGAACTCCACTAGTCACGGCTTCTCAATAGAATTCCAGCAGGTACATCTTGAAGCTAGTCACTAGTAGGAATGTGATTGTTATTCGTTTGAAGATTTGTGAAGATTGTAGTATTTTGACAGTCGAAATCACGAATCAGTCAAAGCTAGACTACCATCGAAAACCTGGATCGTGGTTATGCATTGGTGAGGCGTCTCCATACTAGAACGGAAAACTTCTCCGGTTAGGGTTAGGGAGATGATCCCCACACTGATAAATATCTGTTTAATGAATAACAATCGAATTGTAATTGAAAGAAAAATTTTAATTCTTGAGAAATTGCAAATTTGGAAGAGCCTTCTTTCGCAAAAAATAATGAACACTGCTATTGTTGAATGGAATCTGCATTTATGTACAAAACACAAAACTTAGATGGCCCAAATTCATCAACCCTTATAAGAGTGATGGAGAATAGGTTGTTATAAAATTTAATATAGGACTATTTGTAATGTTTTGTAAGCTGCAGAAAGGAATCTATTTTTGTGATAATCTCAACTAATGGAATTAAAAAATGGCCTCCATGTATTGCTCGGGAGTCTGTCTCGAGCATTTCCAGGAAAATTATCAAAAATTAGAATTATTGAATATCTAAATAGGTTCATGTAGCAACCAGTCATTTTCAGGATATTGACTTTTAAGTATCACTACCAAGGTTTGATTTGATAATTTCAAATAAGTTGAGCAGTGGGGAGATTGTTATAAATAAATAATATGTTTGTAATATCCCAATGAGTAGAAAAATTAGATTTTCTGACGTTTCCTGACTTAGTGTAAGTCACTTATTCCAAGTTTAAACTTGTATTAATTTAGTATGGTCATTCATTCTCTGAAGAAGTGACTTACACAAAGTCAGGAAACGTCAGAAAATCTAATTTTTCTACTCATTGGGATATTACAAACATATTATTTGTTCATTGAATTTTATTTTCATTCAAATGCGTATAGGAATGAGTCATTGGTGTGGCAAGAGAAGAGATTTGATATCTTAAAAAGGATTGAACAGCACTTTATTACAAAGTTTTTGTTTTATGAAAGCATCGAGTTGTTTTTCATGCAACTCATCAGACTTACTTACTTACTAACTTAATTACGCCTGGTACCCCTCATACGCCACTCACCAGCATTCTCCATCTAACTCTTCCCCGGGCAATCCTTTCCAGTTCTTCCAGTTGCTATTCATCTTTTTCATGTCTGCTCCCGATTCTCGCCGCAGTGTGTACTTTGGCCTTCCTCTTTTCCGTTTCCCTTCAGGATTCCAAGTTAGCATTTGCTTCATGATGCAGTTTGGTGATTTCCTCAATGTGGGTCCTATCCACTTCCAGTGTCTTTCTTAATTTCCTCTTTAACTGGAAGCTAGTTTTTCCTCTCTCTCGGTAGGCTGTTGCCGATGGTATACGGCCAACGGACATTAAGTATCTTGTTAAAACAACTATTTATAAACACTTGTACATGTTTGATGATGGATGTGGTAGTTGTGTGATTTCAGCTCCGTACAGTAGAACTGTTTTGATATTCGCATCGAAGATTCTCACTTTGATTGGTTGGTAGTTGTTTTTAGTTTCATATGTTCTTCAGCTGTAGGAATGATGTCCTTGCCTTCAATTCTGCATCAGGTCCTTCTTGTTTATCGATGATGCTGTTCAGGTGCGTGAGAGATTCCACTTCTTTCAGAGTTTCTCCATCAAGTGTGATTGGGTTGTTGTTCTCTGTGTTGTATTTGAGGATCTAGCATCTACCCTTATGTATATTAAGGCCTGCAGAGGCTGCTGCTACACGTTTTGTCTTGACCTGCATTTGTTGATGTGTTTGGGATAGAAGGGCAGGTCATCTGCGAAGTTCAGGTCGTCTAGTTTCATTCAAGCAGTCCATTGCATTCCGTGCCTTCCGTCAGATGTGGAGGTCTTCATAATCCAGTCAACCGACAAAAGAGAAAGGGTGAGAGTAAGCAGCTTTGTCTGACTCCAGTCTTCACTTGGAATGTGTTTGTCAGCTTTCCACCATTCACGACTTTGCAGTGTAGTCCGTCGTATGAATTTCGTATGATGTTGACAGTCTTCTCAGGTACACCGTAGTGTCGAAGAAGGCTCCGTAAAGTTCTCCTATCCACAGTGTCAAATGCTTTCTCATAATCAAAGAAGTTTATGTACAGAAAGAAGTTCCATTCATAACCGATCCTTACGGAATCAAGCCTGCCGATCTCAAAGTTGTGCATCTACTGAGTCTTTCATCCGGTTCGGCAACACTCTGTTGAAAACCTTTCCTGGTATTGATAGTAGTGTGATACCTCTGTAGTTCTGACAATTGCTCAGATCTCCTTTCTTTGTTATCTTGATGAAGTGTCCTTCTTTCCAGTCCATCGGTACTTGTTCTTTTTCCCAAATCTTCCTGAATAGAACGTGAAGCAAGTTTTTATTTACTTCTATGTCTCACTTTAGAGTTTCGGCTGCTGCTTTCCCACCTTTGATATGTCTGATGGCCATCCTGATTTCTTCGATCGTTGGTGGAGTTACATCTATAGGAAGGCCTGTAGGTAATGCTTTGATTCAATGGAGCTGGTTGATTCAAGAGTTCCTCAAAATATTCTAACCATCAGTTCCTCTGTTCATGAATCTCAGTGACTGACTGGTTCCTCTGGATTACTATATTTCCCTGTTAGTTTCTTCGTCGAGTCATATGGTCGTCTCATGTTTCCTTATCTTGAAGCTTTCTCCACTGTCATTGCTATGTTTCCCACATATTTCTGCTTATCAGCTCTAATATTCTTCTTCACTTGCCTGGTTGCTTTAGCGCATTGGGCTTGTGCGTTGACGGTTTGTTCTTGTTCGTCTGTTGTTTATTGTTGTCTTCTTGTTCTTCCTTTCTTGAATCCTGCCCAGGGTTTCCATAGAGATCCATTTGTTGTAATGATGCTTCTTGCGGTTCATTATCTCCTGGCACGACAAAGGTAAGGCTTCTTTGATCCCTTTTCAGTTGTCCTCCATATTAGTATTTTGTTCTTTCAGTAAATCCTGTAAGGCTTGGAACCTCTTATTGAAGGTTATCTTGAATTGGTTTAGTTTGTCAGTCTGTCGAAGGAAGACTATATTGAACCTTTATAATGCTTTCTGTCCAGCTGTCCAATGCTTTTTTACCTTCAGTTACATCTTGAAAACCACCAGGTGATGATCTGAAGCTATGTCAGCTCGTCTCCTGGTTCTCACGTCTTCCATTGTCTTTCTGAAATTTTTATGATACAAATATGATCGATCTGGTGTGGTGTGATCCGGTGAAATCCAAGTAGCTTTGTGTATGCTTTTGAGTGAGAATATTTTGCAGCCTTTAATCATTCTGTTGAATCCACAGATTTGCAAATTTCTCACGATTCTCGTTCGTTTCTTCCAGTCAGTCCATGTCGTCTTATGATATCTTCATACCAGATGTTATCCATCCCAACTTTGGCGTTTAGATCTCCCATCAGGATTGTCAAGTTTTTTTCCTGGGCACTTTGCTATGATGGATTGCAGCCTACCGTAGAACTGACCTTTGACGTCGTCATTTCTATCATTGGTGAGTGCATAACATGGGACAACATTCATTGTTTTGAATGGTGCTTTGATGATCCTGGATTCATGAGATGCCCATCCTATAAATGCGTTTCGTGCATATTTGGACAGCATCAGAGCAACTCTCTGAGTTTACGCAGTATCTTCCTTTTCGTGACTAGAGTACAGAAGCATCACTCCAGTACCTAACCTTTGCTGTACAAGTTGGGTTCAATGAATTTCAATTATTCCGAGTACTGTTAAGTTGTATCTCCTCATTTTCGTTGATATTTGACTGGTCCTTCCGGTCTCCCACATTCTCTGGACATTCCATTTACCCATATAAGTTGTTGCTCTAGTTGTTAGATGGGGTGACGGCCTCATTACTTTGGGAGAATTTCGGACTTCATCATGAGGCGTCATAATTCTTCTTTCAACTTGAGGAGGGGCAGAGTTTAAATTGTTCAACTTCTTTATTGTGATAAGCGTTTTTTAGCAAGGTTGTTCCCTACGGAACGAGATGGCCGACCACAAACGCAACCCTACTTTTTTCACGGGTTTGGGACTGGCAGTAGCTCTAGAAGAGCTACAGGTGTAGTTCATCAAACGCAGTAAGTCTTTTATTTATTTATCCATACATCTATGTATTTCCAAACATCATTAAAATAAGAAAATAGTGTATCAACTAACTTTTTACTTCTAAACTGTATATATCCAATCGGACTTTGTTATAGAATGTTTTTGATGCTAAATTCGACACTGTTGGACAATTCGGACAGTTGACGTTATTAACTTCCATACTAGTTAAAAGTGATTCAGGAATACCTTTTGATGAATCCAAATTTGAATTTGGTTGGTAAATATTTTTAGATATATTGAACATTGAGGTGTTTTGATTGACTGAAGGACACCATTTTAAATCAGGATACCTTTGTATATAAATAAGAAATCAAGTTATGCGTTGATCATTTAAAATAATACCATTATCATCGATATATTTATATGAGACGAATGTCGGTTTTCATTACAGAATAAATATAAATTAGCAATATTTCGTACTTATGATATGGCGTTCTATAACAAATAGGTTGTGGAATCAGTTGTTTGTGGTGTGATGAGATTCATTCGAGTTAGGCGTGCAAGAGATCAGCAGTTAACTACTCGATAGTTTATAGATCACCTTCACTGACTGTTTTATATGATAAATACAACCGAGTTTATCGTTTGGTTTAAATATTTGGACGATGAGTATTGATATTTATGGTGGCAACATTCATCATTATTGACTCAATGTACACTGTTTTGAAAGAAATCGTCAATTTGCTTTAAAAATTGCTTAGGTAATCTAAACCTTTAATATTAGTTTGGCGTGAAGACAGGAGAAAAATCTTTGTAATAGTTTTTGATAACTATATTTTCAAGAAGTGAGTTACTGTATATAATCCAAGGTGTTCAAGTGAAAAAACTTGTAAGTATTTGTAGGCTGAATAATCACAATAACCAAAAGGCAATTTTTAATTCTTGTAAAATAAAAAACTTTAAGATTCACAGCAACATCGATGGAATACAATTCCCAGTTTTCATGTGATAAGTAATCCGAGTATGAACCGAAAGCTTTTCACATTAAATATGTTTAGTTTTTTATTTTGTTCAATAATTTAATACGTGAGGCTAAGCATTTTTTGCTCCGATATTCAACAAAAATCCAATATTTAGCAATTTTTAGGAGTTTTCCTCTCATTTAGTCGATGAGTGCTGCATACAGTAATGTAATTTTTATTGGAGATAATCACATTTTTCATCATTTTATTAAGGTTTCTGAACCAGTAATCCGACATTACTGACGAACTATCACTAATACACCAGTCTCATCAGTCAATTGATGAACTGCAATCGACAATATTCTTACAGTTATCTTTCATTATAACATAGGTATCTACCGTTCCCTATATTAGTGGTAATGTTTAAAAATGAGAACTATAAATAGCCAGTTTGTGTCAGAATATGACTCTTCAGTAGTGATCACTCACAACCCTAACAGGGATTAAACTCAGATTCTTCAGTACCAGACCATTGATTGAGGTCCAGAGGCACACATTTTAAGCTTCAATCGATTCACCTTATAGAGAGGCGATTACCAAACGCCATCAATTACGACAGTAATGACTTCTTACTGGAACTTCAGGAACTCACCACAAATAAAATCACTAGTGACGTTGCGAGAATTATTACTTGAACTAGAATTACTTATTCATTTATCGAATTCAGTGGTTGATGTTTCAAAGTAGTGGTTGGTTATCCTATTACACATGATTTTCAATAGTATTCTAACAATATATATCGTAAAAATATCCTAAACATAGGCGAAAATTTCAATCAAAATCAGGATAGGAGTGCAAAGTGTTGGAATTTTACTGTATAATTTATTTGGAATGTTTTAAAGTAATTTATTTTCAGTTTTGTTAATCAATAATACGGGTAACCACAGTTTTAATGCAAACATAAAAGCAAAGTTAGAAGATTAACTGAAAATTATAGGGGAAAATATATTCGTACTTCTAATATAGAGTGTGCAAATGAATATGGTTCCATTAGCTATCATGAATTTATTTTGAAAATATATCAGTCAATTTTCCGTAAATTACATAAGGATTATAACGACTGTACAGTTATGATTTGGTACTCTTTTCTAACATGTGGATTATCGACGTTTTCCAATTTATTTGTTTTCACATCAGTAAGAAATTAGTTGAGTGGATTATGTAGCTTTGTTTAGTGTGATGGAGGTTTTAGTCACCGATTGATATTAACTAAGTAACCATTGAAAACGATTGACCAATGACATAGTTATTTATCTGGACTACGGAACTCATGAGTTGTCCAAATCTACAATTTAACCATCAGACAGAACAAACTTGTTAAGTATAGGCTACTAAGTCGAAATTCAGAAATTTAGAATTTGGTCTTGAAAGCCCCCAGGGCTTGAGTCTAGCTCTGGATGGAAGGGGATAAATTATATTTCTTCGCTGGTCAGAAATCCGATTTTAGGTTTAAACGGTTATTCAGTTCTCTCTAATTTTCATTATTTCATCAATTCATGTAGTATATTCTTGAAGAGTATCATTTTATAAATGGAAGTTAACTGTGAAATATGCTTTAGGTTTTATTTCTTGTGTAAATATCTTGAATACCAGATTATTTATATTTAAATTTCATTTTTGGTTGAAAAACATTAAAATGTGATTATAGCTCTTCTTTACATATTGAAAATATTGACTTTATATAATAACAGGAAAATCAGTGGATACATGAACCGAAAGTCACAACACCAGTCAGTCAGAAGTGATTGCGAAGATTCGCAGTTTAGGTGAATGATTTTAGTGGTGTCGTGTAGGGAATATAGGCCTTCATAATGACGTTCAGAACGAATATGAAAGCTCTTCAATTGCACTGCACAGCTCAGAAAATACACCACTAAATCTTACCGATTCATTCAAACAGTTGATTCCAGGACGTTCGCTTCTTCTTGTTTGGGACTAGTCAGCTGGGTATTTGAACATCTCAGTGTTGATGTCCATATTATGGTTCCAACTCAGTATCTTTATTTTCAAACGTTCAACGCCTTATCCGCTTAGCTTCTGAACCCGTTTGACAAACCATGCGTTATCTAGGCTCAGTAGCTAAGATTATAATTGTTGAGGGTTTGAAATGGAATTTGATGGGTTTGAGTCTCGATGTGAACATCAACACTCAGATAATTGTACATCCAACTGGTCAGTCTCAAATAGGACAGGATGGGTGCCCCGGTTCCAGTTGTTTTGTAGAGAGAGGCATGACAGATTTATTTTGCAAATAGTTTTTGATGTTATTTGTATTTATTCTGTAATTTTTCTTAGCCTGTAAATTTATCATTAAACGACTGTACGTGATATTCAAATGTATGACCTTGAACACACTTTCTTCTGTCATGTTACACTCATAGCATGACACATGCTGTTACCTACTAACATATAAACTACTATACATATACCACTTGTTCTCCAATGCTCGTGATTGTGATAGCTGAACTCTAAATCACCTACTGTCTACATTTATAGACTATAGCTAAATTATATTATATTCTACGTTTAGCTATATCACTGGATGGAAAACAATCTTACTGGAAGCATCAATCATCTTTAATTGTGGATTCTGGTACCGAACTCAACATGAACACGCACAAATTTGCCGAATTAAGTAATGTCCCTAATTTTTATTGTCGAAGCCAGGACCTATCAGTCTCGCACGCGAGCGCTTAACCATTAGACCACTGAGATGGCCAGCATCCAACGGTGTTAACGTCTAACTTCAACCAATCCACGACGTTGCGTCACCGTACACCATTGTCTTTAGTGAGCATATTTAGAGGAAGAGTAACACGCAGTTACATTGAACAGCTATTCAGATTCTCTAATTGTTAGTTTTCCATTTCTAAATCCATCCGGGTGCACGCTCATTCATAGTTTTGTGCAAATCACTACTAATTCTCTCCATATAATGCATATCATTACACAAATCATAATGTAAATTGCTAAACGAAGTCCGATACAAGGCAATAGTTTACAAATAAACCCCAATAAAACATTAAGAACAGCTAGTAAACACTCTTTTTCCTCTAATGTTAATTATATATTTAAAACAGATCAAAGGATTAATCTGAATCCGATTTGCATCATTATTAGTAATAGTTTGAGTCAGCCCGTAGTTGATATTCAGGACTGAATTTCGACCAGCCTTCTTTAACATACTGCCTCCTGCTAGAAGTGCTTCGATATATCAACTATATCACGAGATTTATAGAGTAGATGAATTTTAGCTAAAACTGAAATACAATATATGCGTTTTGTTCTAACTGGAACTCCTCAGCCTGATATACCTGAGTCTCAATGTAGAGGTCCCCGATGGGACTCATCTCAAATTTCCAACTTAAACTTCTACTAGTAAACCTACAGTCATTTAAAAAATATCCCAAGGATTTTCCTCTTAAAAAATATAAACAAAAATTTATTACTTACGGTTGTAAGAATTCTGATGATGCAGCATAGTTAATCTGACGTAAAGTGATGTATTCAGATGGATTTGAAGATTCCATGTTTGCACAATAAATCTACAAAATATGGAGAAAAACATTGAATTTCAATAAATTTCAGTAATAGACTATGAAATTCTGTTATTAGAAATTCAGCCGTTGATAGTCTTCAGTAGTTCGGTCGTTTTTTAAAATACATTTTCTGTATTGATATTGACTGTTTCAACTGTATCAAATAGCAATCAGTCAGTCTATATTGCGAATACACATTTATACTAGTAAAATCACTAGTATGGTTTTAATTGTTTCATTGATCAAAAAATAAGTTCTCGGTTGTAAATTGAATTTATACATACGTCAATGAAATATGGCTTTAATATATAATGTGAATTAAGGCCATTTACTCAGGATGTACGTATCGCAACAGAGACTGATCAACAGGAGTCATGAATATCAACAACGAGAAATTACAGACTTTTGAACGAGTTACTGATTATCTGGAATTAATAATTCACTAGATCACACAAAAAGGGTTTGTTGCTAAAACTACTAGTTTCAAGCCTCTATGTGAAAATCAACACTAAGATGAAATCTGAAATCGTTGCAAACCGCTGTTAGTGGGTGATTCATTATGAAGTAGGAAGTACTAAATATTTTTTTCTTCTTAGCCCGTAAATCTTCAACGACATAAAGTGATGACAACATTAGGGACCAGCCTAAGACCTTTAAATTTCTTTGTAAGAGGATACACTGAGTCGGAATTTAATCAGTTTATCATATTTTGCAAAAATCGTCCACCATTATTGACAACATTTGTCTCTTAGTTGAACTTTATTGGTCATAATTTCTTAAACTTCGAAAAAGTTTCCGAAGTTAATCATTGATTGCAACTGGGGGTTTATTCTTTTTTTTTGAGACTAACTTCTCAAATATTCATCATCTGTGATTCTTGCGAATTTTATCAATTCAAGATAAATTATGCATACTACATTAAACAACATGTATGAGATACACTTATAAGAAAAGTTTACTTAGTCATATGACCTTGAAAAATAGTTGGAGTCACGTTTACTAAGTGTTCTCTGAAACTTGATTACAGCTGTTTGCCAATAGATCAAATCGTCTACCGGTTTCGATCATTTCTATTTGTCCCCATATCTCATATATTTATATTTAGTACTGAGTAAATGTAAGTAATTTCTCTTCACCGGCTGATCGTCTAGTTCTAATTTTAATAACTATTCACTTATTAGCTTTGTCATATAAATTTGATTCTGTATAAGCCAATATCACTCAGATACATTTCAAAGCTCTTTAGATAGTCGAATGGATAATATTTCTCGTCTATAGAGTACCAGTTCCTTAAAGATTAGAGGTACACCTGACTGATAAATGTTGACCAGAACGGTACACAGATTCAGAGTTTTCTATGGACTGTTTTAAATTACATTGCATTTCGCATAGTGTAAGAAAAGTCGAGTGATGTAAATTAATGGCTACACTGGAACCTGAGGCACCAAAAGACTAGACAAATATGACGTTGGTCACTATTCAGTGACCAGTCAATCATAAACGAATCACATTAGTTAAAATAAATAAAAATAATTCAGTGTTATAACTTTATTATACAGAATTTGAGATTCATTATAAACTGTTTATTAATAGAGTTTTAGTCTTAGTCTTGATAAAGAGTACGATATACACACAAATTGATTAATTAAAGAAGTTAATATTAATGAAACTAAACGTATCAAAATTTATCGTTTTAAACATTCAATTAAAAAATGAAAAAGTATACTAAAATTATGTAGGAATTTATACATATTACAAACAAGCATTGATAATAAGGGAAAGAAAGATTCAGCTTACATAAACTAAAGATTGTTCAATTAATAATTGATATGTGCCATCATCAGCTGAAGGATAACGATATTTTAACTCACGACAACTTTTAGGGACATCTGTATTAATATGAGAAAAAATGAGTACAAAACAGTTTCTTTCTTAAGCTTTCTAAACATTAAATGAGTAAACTCATAAAATTGTAATAAGTTATTCACCACATTTGTTAGAAGTGATAGATAAATCTTCTTTACGAACATGTAAACTTTTATTGAGGTAAACTGTGCAAAATTAACTAAATAACTTGATATGAATTCAAAGTAATGATGTTCGATTTCGCTACATTTACAAAAACGGAACGTAAATGAACTCATAGATAAATAGGAATGACTCGATGATCTGTGGAGATCAATGCCTTGTTATATATATTTTATGAGTTTAACAACGGATGCCATATAACCTCCAGTGTAAAGTATTATTGAGATAATACAGCTAATCTGAAACGTATCTGTTATTAATATGTCCCTAAAAATTAATAAAATCTGATATATCTCACATTGACAATTCCGTTTTAGCATCAAACTTTACATATTATTATTATGTTTTCTCTGTTGATCATGATTTTTGTGACTATTCAATATATTTAGTAAATTAATGTCTCTCGAGACAAAACAATGATTAATTCCCATTAGAGATAGAATAAGTTGTGTGTTTTGAACAGTAATAAAAATCCTTTTTATTAAAATTGAATATTGGTAAGAAATGGGATACAGGATATGTTTCATCCTATTTTGAACTCTTTATGTAGGGATACCTTCATTTCGGTGCTGAAGTTATGCGTATGTCATTAAATAGCGATCAACGGAATGACTCAAACCCTTACAAATAATGAAAATGACCTGTTTAAAGCAATTCTATGGATATTTACACAAATTAAATTATTCTATCACCTATAGGTTTACATGCATCCAATATAGTGTGAAAATTTTAACATTTTGTGTCTAGAAACTCAAACGCTGCTTTGTGTTTGATTGCTTGATGTGTGATTGCATAATTCATATATATATATATATATATATATATATATATATATATATATATATATATATATATATATTACGGATCAAATTTAACTGAGACAAACAACGAACATTATAGAAAGATGGTCTACGGTTTTGTCTAAAAATCTATCGCAGCCCTCCTACAATCAATTCCGATTACTGTTAATTTTTGTTAAGCCCTTTTATTAACTTAACAGACAATTTTACTTGAGCAATAACAACTCATGTATTTCTTCGTGCTATTATGATCACTATCTTGTCTGTACAAACGTGTACGCTTGATCACATGACAGCCTATGCAGATATCTCTCAAACTTAAATGTTTATAGCTTAAATATTGCTCGATGACTCATTCTCTTCCCCATATATATGTACTCGAATTCTATTATTAGCCTTTCCCTTGCTGTGCCCTTATTCGATTTGACCATAAATTTGGCGCTGCATTTGCTCTCATACATTTATTCGCCTCTCTGATTCAAACTCGCTCGGCGTGCTTATAGTTTTGTAATCTGTGCTATCCGCTGATAAATTGTAGTCACCGCTTCTCATTCATTTCTGATATCAAACACCGTTGAAGTTTATATAATAACGGTTATGAAGGTGATTAACTAGCAAAGCTAAGCTAATACAAACCCTTTGTTCTGAGTCTGAAGGTTCTGGGCTCTCCCTATGACATGATTAGGGACGGTCATTGTTGTGAAGCTCCAAACTATGACAAAATAACTATCCAAATACTCTCTGATTTTTAATTCTTATCTAACTAGAATCAATTCGTGTTATCAATTATCTTCAAAGTAGATTTAAGTTTCTTAGTTTATCAATATCAAATATAAATATTCAAATTATCTATACACATACCTGCACATAAATTTGGACATACACCACGATTACTGGGTTTCAGATTCGCTGGACATAAAGTCTCTGAATACTCATTACCTAAATCATCTACACATTTTACTTGACGAGATCTCATTCTTGATTCACAAGTATCTGGACACTAAGATTAAAAAATGAAACAAAATAAAAAGAGGAAAAATGATTAGCTTTAAAAGTGTTGTAAATTAGACGAACTTGGTAAAGTTTGGTTATTTTAGATTACTGATTGAAAAAAGACGGTGGTAAACGTATAGATAGGGACAAGCTTAAAAAGAATTTCAACTAGTTTCTAGCCAACAAAAACACAGCTTTTGTAAATAGATAGTTTGCCAAAAAGGAAACGATAAAATTGGACAGAGTAAACCGATTTTACGTAATTAGTAATCCCGTCAACGTTTTCTGCAAGTTACTCTACCTGTAAACCAAAGCAACAACGATAATGTAAACTCATTCTTATGGATGTAGATTGTCTATATTCTCGAACCTATATAAGCACTCGATCAGATTTGTGGGTCTTTATATTGTTCTTTATTTACGTTAGATGTTTAGAGAAAAATTAAGAATTCGTGGTTTAGGTTTTCATCTCGTACTGACATCAGCTATAGTGTAAAGATGCTCGGTAGCCATATGAATGAACAAGAGTTAGGGTTTGTTTCAAGATTAAGGGTTTAGGATTTAATGATGGTCTTGACTTGCCTATTATATACAATCTACAAAGACTAACATTTTTACTCTGTGGTTACAAAACGTAATGTTATCCTATTATTTTGAACGTTTTGAGTTCATAAAAATATTTTTATCACTCGTTGAACATGATGCTCAAATTGAGCTCAAAAGCTCTTTTCTAATTGGCTCGTTCGTTTATTATACTTTTACTGGTTCTATTATTCCCTAATTGACATGGAATTATAACTACAATTTTTTTTAAATTGCTTTGTATTTATGAGTAAATTCTATTTCCAAGTTAACATCATGTTTGTGTATATGATATTTTTAATGTTTCATGACAGTCAATAACGATATCTTTGTTTAAGTGCTATGAACATTGTAGCAATTACTTATATTTACATAGGCATATGAACTGTGAGGACTAGAGCAGTAGTAGAATTGTATTCAGATACCTAGTTAGCAATTCAACCAGACAAATATTACAATCAGTTATAAGTAACTAAAAGATAAATATAATTAAAAATTTAGTGAGTATTATTTAGTTAAATAAAAAAATATTGTGTAATTTGAAAGGAACTATTAATTAGTACCATTTCCCTATGACGAAATACCTTTATTTAGACCAAGTCAACATAATACAATTAAGTAATAAATAGAAGAGCTGATTTTATTACTTACTAAACTCCAAGATCCTGTACTCCATTCAAATCGTTTGCATTTGAACAATTCACAAATGGCCCAGTTCAACGGTTTTTCTAAATGGTTACAAACCGCATCATCAACTGGACCACGTCTTGGACTGATACATTTGATTATTCTTTCACGTTTGGTCAATTCGCATCCTGTTATATTGCACTGAAAGATAGAAAAATTGATTTGAAGATCATATTAGATCAACACGGAACTTCTTAAAAGTCAGAAAAATTGTTGGTTATTTTCAGTTGTAAAACTAAAGGTTTTCACACATCAACTTCAGCAAGTATATTTCAAGTGCTTACTAAATTAGAAGACTTTCTGGTCAGATGATTTATTATCTATGCTTCTGATGGACTGATTATTTCCACGTAAATCATATTAGCTCACCCATTTTTCTAAGGGTTAATGGGACAGTTTCAAACAACACATGCAGAGTGATCAACCAATTTATCGAAGGATAAATCGGTTTCAGCTTGTGCATTTATTCATAAAAGTTAATAACTATCAAAAAACCATCATTAAAAGTGATGGTTACTGTATAAATTATGTTTCAACGACATTTTCTAATAGAATGATAGAGAATACGCTTATCAATTTATTCAGAATGATGTTAGATGATCAAAATTCACGATCAGGACTTTAGAATTTTAGTAGCTTCGGATTTATTTTACGCATCAGTATACCATGTGAGATAAAAACAAGCAATAATTCAAATACACTGCGCCGAAAAATGCAAAATTATTCATCACGACAGTATAACAGTGAAGAGTGACCTTTATTTATGATCAATATACTGAGAACTTCTGAATGTATTTTTGATCGATGCAAAAATTAGTTTTAGATCAAATTTAATGGCGATTTAAGTAAATATCCTTCCATAGAATATGTTATATTTTTATATTAACATTTTCTAGCCTACTAATAAAACTCCACCTGGAGCCCTTCTGAAGCTACTGCCGGTCTCAAGCCCTTAATAAAGGAGGAGGGTTAGATATGCAGTTAGCAACCTCATCTTGTAAAAAACTAACTCGATAAAAAACGCTAACCAGAAAAAGTAATTCAAACCATGTAAACTCTGCCCTGAGAGTTACAAGGTCTTCATTCAGAAGAGTTATGACGCCTCACATTGAAAGCCGAGTTCCTTCGGAATTCACGAGGCTGATACCCCTTCTGGCAACCAGAGTAGCCATTAATTTAGGTACATGGAATGCTTGTACAATGTGGGACACCGGGAGGCTCATCCAAATAGTTGCAGACTACTAATAAGTATCTAGTGATCCGTTATATTCAGTTGCTATGTCCAACTACAATCACTTATATAAAATCTTCATAGTGAACAAGTTTCATTGATAAACTATATTAATAATAAACATGTATTCACTAATAATTATCTTTGAGATAAATATTATCGATGATAGTGAATAATAACTGATCAGTATTGTAAGAATTTACTTACATTAGAAACTTAGTTGAATTGAGATCATATGGTGCTACAGTAATATATTACTTTCGACAACGGAATATTCTGTGTTTTATCTCGGATGTGGTCATGGTTAATAGCTGCCGCGCAGTCTCGAAATAGAAGGAAACAAATGTCAATCGGTTCTTTATTTCCAATGGTTGTCTTACTTAAGTTACTTTATTATATTTACTACCTTCAACTCGAGTAATCTCAAACCACAAATTTTAATTATATGAAAAATGTTATTAGATATCACTTGACAAATGATTATTATATACAGATTCATGAAATTAGATAGGATAAATATTTTTTATACGAGATTTCTTAGGTAAACAATTATGATAACCCACTATCCATCTTTGCGTATAACTATGATAACCGTTTCACAAAAATCTCACTACTCATAATATACACTTACAAGTCAATTGTTTTGTGAAATTTATCTATCTTAAGATTAGTGATTTATTTTGATTTTTAATATGAAAGACATATTTTGATTATCATAGTTCGGTGCTGAAGAAGTTGCTTTCTCTAGTTGCCTAAACTCTATTGGTTTATTAATAAAAAAGAACAAACCAGCTTGTCTAAGCGATTCAAATTTTAGTATTTTATATTACCGGGTTATTTGAAGGACGAAGTGTTAAATATATTGTGACCCACTATATTGGTAAAACCTGTTGTACTATATTTAGTATGTAGTATAATCAGTACTTAATCACTGAGTTCTCATAAACTAACAATAAGAAATATGAATACCTATTCAAAAATATGTCATGTAATTTTCTGACAATTATTATTTGTTCAATTTATATCAGTGAAATGTGTTAGTCTATTGTCACTAAAGAGTTCTCGGTTTTGAAATAACACATTTGAAAATAGACATGAAACTAAAAAAAATTCTCACATGTTTATAAAGTCGTAGAAAAATAGAAATTATGGCCAGAATTATTATAGAGAGTAGCTTCGGATGATTTTTATTATTTAGATTTTTTAAATATTCATATCCACCTTACATTTTTGATATCACCACTGGGGTATGTGAGGGAATTCAACAATCAAACAATATTCTTATTCGACAGCTGAATGTTAGTTCTATAGTTTAGTCAATCTCGGACGCTAAACTAAATAATATGAAAAAAATACATGGTGCTTGAGTAAAGAGCTCAAAACTCAAACATGTTTAAATTTTACTCAACTGATGATCTTGTTAGTTTGTAGCTTACATCAACTATTGGTTTCAGTTCGACGATCATTGGAAAGGAGGGATTACTAAAAAGTTGATTCATTCTAGCATAAAACTCCTCAACAGTACGCATCCACGGCACAATAAGGGATTGGAACTAGGGCTTTTGGGTCGCGTGGAGAATGCTTAACTGTTAGAACCACTGGGTTGGCGTTCAGTAGTCCAATACCATATTTAATGAACCAATGTCGTTGGTGAAACGTGTTACACACGTGATATTTCTGAACTCTCACAGTCGAAATTTTTTACTAGAACATGAGGAACATTTTTGAAGTCACTAGTATGCTAGTTATTTTATTTGAATATTAGTCTATTTTCAGTGCCTGAAATATTGCAATTAGACCAGTATAGGGTTGAATAAAGACAGTTTATTTAGCATCCCCTACACATTGAAATAAAGAAATAAATTGGAATATGGTATCAAATGAAATCAAAAGTTGGTAAAAAGTAATCAAATAGTTTTAGAACTCTGTTTAGCTGAATGTATGTTTAGGTCTGACATACCTCAGATGATGTAACGGGCCACCAGAATACTTCTAATCCTGTACATGGACGCGTTCTGCATGAAACTTTATCAATAGGACGTGGACTTGGACATTTGCGTTTTGTTGTGGCACTCCTTTTTATAGTCTGTATGGCATATTGAAGTGAATTTACATGAGATGTCTCTGTGTTGTAATAAAATGCCTTTTTATCATCCAATGTCTCAACATTAATTACAGTCCCATTTGAAGATCGGCAAATAACTTGACGTGATCGTACTCCCATGCCACAATTTACTGAGCACTGAAATAAAAGGTTTTATATACTACTGGTATAAATGTTGATGAAGGATTATAACAGAAATTCTAATTATAAGATATTAATGAACAGTTGAACTCATGAGTAGATCTAATTTGTGGAAACAATTTTAAGATAAATTGTATGAGGAATAACTCTATTCTTACTTACTAGCTTGTGAATAACTTGGTTTCACCAATGAAAGTAAACCATGCCACTGCCTCAGCGTAAAAATAAGATTTTTAATACTCCGTATCAGCTAACGAATATCTATCAGCAATACTCAGACTTTACTATAAAACACTTAGGAAAATAAAACTTGTACAGTGTTTTTATATAAATATTATCATGTTCACAGTTAATTTCTCACGTTAAGGCTAACAAAGCAGTGACACAGGAACCATTTCATTTTCATTTCAGTTCTATCTTTCTCTTGATACCTTATAGTTGTAGTTAGTTTACAGAATGACTTCATAAAGCTACTTCGCTGTTTTGTGTATACATGAAAAATGGGTCATTGAAATAGCTTTATTTAGGAGGAAGGATTTTTGAATACATAAAAAAACTGTTGAGATATCCATACTCCACAAGAATGTCTACTACACAATGAATTACTTATATCATCAATTGTGTAAAAGTAAACTTTGAGCAAACGAAAATCAAATAACTCTTTGTTAATTGACGCTTTAAACATAATTTTTGACTCTCCAATATATTTGGATTTATGTAATATCATCTCTTTTTTGATCACACAAATGAATTATTCCTATCAATTCAGTGTTTTGTGCATACGCTCTTCACTCAAAAGTTCACATTCCGTATTATGATCTTAATTGACAGTATAGTACACTTCAACAATACAGTCGATGCTCGACAATCAGTGTAAGTCTACTTATCAAAGTGTGAAGTGACGATTTATATATAAAGGTTAAATATTGTACTTGGATATCTAAATACAAGTAGATTCACTGTAGTTTCAGAATTACAATCTGATATTTTTAAATTCACTGCATAAACTAATGCATCTCAGCTGAGTTACATAACTAAGTGAATCAGAATACACAATTGATAGCGAGTAATTTTCAATGTAATTGAATGACTGTTAGTCAAGTTTTTTTCAAAGAACTGAACTTACTTTCGACCATTCACTTTTATACCAATAAGGACAACTTAGGTTTATTAAACATGGTCTTTCTGATATTGGTTTGGCACCGGCATTTCGACAACGTTCATGATCAACATCCATTACATTTGCTGAACGTGATCGACGAATTAAAGAAGAATCAAGATGATTTATCGATAGATGTAATGAACTATCATCTTCCGATTTTTGTAAGTGATTATTTATTTGTTGTGAAGAGGTCAATTCAATGATACATCTAATTTTTCGATGTTGTATTCCGTACTCACACTCACCTATACACTGGAATAAAAAACGTGATAAAATGCGTGTCATTCATTATTGACAAAATCGTCCTGAAAATCAACGGCAGGATCATCCAAAATTTTATTAATAATTATATAAACCTCATTCCCATTGAACAAGTAAGTGGTTATTCGGTAGCTCAGTGGATAGTGAGATGGTGTTTGAAGCAAAGTACAATGAGTTCTAGTCCTAATGTGAACTTAAAAACTAGGATTTAAGTACATCCAGCTGTCAAGTTCAACATAAGACAATATACTCCTGCTCAACAATTCATCAATTCTTAAAAACATTTTTATTGAGATCACAAACTCAATAAAGGTTAGACAACTGTTGGGAAACTGGATGCACTAGACCAACGAGTGGTTCTACTATGGGAATCCTCAACAGGGCATATCCACGAATACATAACCACGAAACAAACACAGGGTCTTCCATCTATCAGCGAACGCCTAGTCTTGAACCACTGAACCGGAATCTAGTGGTATAGAAGTTTAGCTTCAGTCAATCCATGATAATGGGCGACTTCCTTCTAACTTGGATCAACTCTTGATTTCAATGGAATTCAATCATCTCCACAATCTCATGCTGAAAATATTTTTAGTTTAAATCTCAGTATACATAATTAAAAATAATGGTTGAATATAATTATATTGAAGTCAAGTTGATTCTAGCTCACTGAATACTTATTGAGCAAAAGTATATTTTTTTCTCTGTATACGATCCATTTTAGTTTTCATAAATCAGAGGATTAATACAGAGGAAATAAATGAAATTACTAAGTATCCTGGCCAAAATACTTTGTTGATCTTACTTTGGAAAGTGGAGGCATGTAAAGTTCACTGTCGTATAGCAATATACCAAAGATATACATATTGAGTATAATCGAATTACTGAATGAATTATGTTGAGTTCGAACTAAAGTTTCGCTAAAAGAGTAATGATTTAATCAACAAAGTTTCAATAGAGCACTGACTGAAATGTCTGTGACAAATGTCACCTATTTCTAGTCTTAATGTATTCGACGTACTATTTTGTCTACAATAAGAGCAGATTAAAAAACTAAAATATTTAACTAGTTCATAAATGTTAACATTATGGATTTGTTACATATAAAAGTGTCGGGTTCCTACTCGAAGAATTTAGTAATCAGAACTCTTGGAAATCAAAGCTGCAGGTAGTTCATTCCTAACTTAACAGCATCTAAACTTTGAACACTTAAGTGATCATCACTTTGTCCTATTTACAGATTAACAAAATTTTTAAAGTGGCTATACTTAATGCTAAATGGTAAGTACTGTGTGATATCACTATGAACTGGTTAATCAGATAGTTCATATTCACTTCATGAAATGAAGTCCATTTGATGTGATTGAACGATTAGAACTGTTTTACTATGTAAGGATGTAATTTTCATATACTGACAGACCTATTCTTTCTTGATGTTCCAATTTTTTTGCTCTTAACACTCACAATAACTGAGGGTTTTGTTTTGAACTGAAGAATGTGTTGAAGTTAATTATTCCCTCTCTTCTAAAGTAGAACAGTGGGATTTTAGAAAACATTTATTCAATTAATTCTTGTAATGTAAACTTACTTCTTGCCATTCTTCAGCATGCCATATAGGACACGGAGCTTCAAGACACGCTTCTTGTTCCGTTGGCATAGGCAATAATGCATTATAACATATTTGTGAATCAACTACTTCAATATTGGATCGACTCGCCGTAAATATAGAAGTATATGATACTGAATGACGTTTATGTAGATTCGCGTTTTGTGTTCCGACTACACACATAACTTTTCTTTGTCTAACACCCAGTCCACAAGAACTGGAGCACTGAAATGTAGTAGAAAGTAAGCACCAATAAAAGTAGATGAATATCGTATTTCAATGTCAAATAATCTAAAATTGTCAACAGAAGAGCTGAGATATGAGCTACATTCAGCAATTATTAATGAAGTAACTCAATTATCCTAAAGTAACTTATACATTGATGTTAAAGGCGGTTGACAAAATGTCACGGTCTGAGATTTTATGCGACTTGGTACTTGTCTTCACTTTTGGGGGAACCTCTCATGGAATTGGAAATCGTGTGATTGGGAATCAGAGAGGTTGCCAGTGAGACATTAAGTCTCATTTATGCGTATGACGCTATTTGAAATGGGTTAATTCAAGTTGTTTTAGTGATAAAATTTACAGTCGATCTATGAAGATCCGAATGTTTTTGATGTAAACATGCAATTATCTAATCAACATGAACTATCGTATAAGATACATTTAATGAATGGTATCGACTATTATATGATTCATCATAAAACAACTTGCAAATCTTTATACAGAAAATATTAGGGGTAAATCTCTAAATCTGTAGTAATATTTAGAATAAATGTATTTAAACCTTCTTTAGAAACTTACAAGAATTAGTTCTGGCGTTAGATCTGACCAAATAATCTCTATGATAGCTCTTTTTGTCTTTTAATATTAGGCTTTCTTATAGATCTATTCATTTCAACATTCTAGTTTGTATTTAAAATATTTGACAAGCAAATAATTTAAAATATTTTACGAAAATTCAGAACAATCTAAAAAAGAATTTTTTTACCACTATACTACTTAAAATGTTATTTGATGCCTACTAAACAATAAGCCCAATTAGATTAAAACTTTCTGTGACACGTTTTCGTCAGTTATTGATTTTTGCTCTAAAACGTCCTTAGATATTTTAACTTTTGTGAAGAGTATTATGTATTTATGTAATTTAATCTTTATCTTATCAGATGTTGATTTAAGAATTTATTTTAACATGATAAAGAACTTATTGTTAGGAGAATAATATATATACATTTCAGAAGTTGACTAGTACAATAGGACCTGTAATTTATGTTTATACAATAATCACTAATTTGATGGTGAACTATTGTCTAGTACTTGACACCAGTTTATATAATTGAGTAGTCGGTTTATTTATCAGAATATTAAATTCACTAAAGTAGTATGGTACATGTTGATAAATTTACTATTATGTTTTAGAAACAGATTTTAAAATCAAAGAATGAGTTTTTATTTTAATATTTCGCATGATTTTACTGAACTCATTTTTTCTCTATTATCTTTACAAATACTACTCTGGTGTACTATGATATATATATATATATATATATATATATATATATATATATATATATATATTCAGTAGTTTGATTTGCTTATTTCTACATCGTTAAGAATTCATACCAATCTTTCGGGTGTTCTTAATTTTGTCAGTTATCTATAGTTTAAGTAACTTGAATGGATTAAGGTAGTTTACCTGAATATTCCTCTCCAGTTTAAAACTATGAAAAATAAACAACCTAAAGTCAGCATAAAATGATTCAGAATATCATTCAAGTTAGGCAAAATAACAAATGTATACTAACTGCACTCCATGATGTTGTTCTCCAAGCTGGTACACGCATATCACATGGAGCTTCATTGCAAGTCAGCACAACAGGCTCGTTTATATTGTCAACTTTTATAGGTATCATCTCTTGATCATTATCTATCCGTCGTTCAACAGTTTCCACAAATATAGTATCGTTTGTTTTATCAGTAAATAAACGTGGCATATACTGAAGATTTTGCAAACACTTATCATTGTCAACAATATGTATTCCTTGTAAAACAACATTTTTTTCATTAGAGCTTGTATCCAAATAATCTTTTAATATAACACTTTCACATGATATTCGAGTTTGTTTCACTCCGCTTCCGCAATTTACAGAACACTAAAAAAGCAGACGTAAAAGGAATCAAAATATGTGTTATATTTAAAAAAGTAGATAAAACATCAAGATTGAGGGGAATCTTAAAGACATTTATCGATCGAAATCTTGTGAAACTAATAATTTCAGGGTAACATAGTTTCTACATTGATTAATAAATGTCAATAGTGTATTAAATTAAAGTAATTTTGACAAACATTAGGCAGTTAAATGTAATCGATGGAAAAACTAGGGCTTTGATTTTATTCTAGTCGGCACACGTTACAAAGGCGTACCCTTAATATTGAGGGAACTGACTAGCATTGTGAGACTCGAGACTATATCGCCTAGCCTCACGGACTAAAGTTTATGTGAGATTTTGGGGCGACGATTATTCTCTTGTAGGATGAAGATATATATATATATATATATATATATATATATATATATATATATATATATATATATATATATATATATATATATATATATATATATATATATATATATATATATATATATATATATATATATAGCTGATTATTCACTGAGTATTGATGTCATGTCTGTTTACTTCACTGGTGCTGACTTAATTCCTCCGATCAAGAAATAAATGTACACTATGTTGAAATTTTTTGATTGTGAGAAGGTTAAATAAGAGGATGACATTAATTAGGTCAATGTTTTGTTGTAAATTTCGTCCAGGTTGATTCATCCGCTGTCTTAGTCAAAAGAACATCCAAAAAGGCTATTCTACCACCACTCTCTTTTTCAGATGGAAATAGAATGGCTAGATTTACTTCATTAAACTGCCTAAGAACCTCTTACTGTGATACGTTATCTTTACGGATGATGAACGTATCATCCATATATCGACAGTAAAATGTGAATTTTTGAATAATCTTTTTGAGTGGACCATTTTCTAGTTTGGCTACAAAAAATGTCGCCTAGCATAGGGCTCAATGGTGCAAAACCATCCGTTTGTCCATAGATTTCTCCGTTGAACTTGAAATTCATATTCATTGTGCATTTCAGTAAAAAATCCTTTACGACCTTGATAGGAACTGTGGTTTTGATTTCTTTTTCACTCAGCTGTTCACATATATATGCTACTGTCTCTATGAGTAGAACATTTGTGAGTAATGAAGTTACATCTTAAAGTTTCACTTAACAAGTTAACATTCCATTCGAGTTATATCAACATTAGCAAGTTTATTCTATTTTGTTTGGCAATCCTAAATTCACATGCTTTAACTTTGAACGATGCACTGTGCCCTTAGCATGGCCATTTTTCGGATTATTAATTTGGATATGAAATTGTAGAACCTGAAGAAAATTTATCGAAAAGAATATTCTTTGCTCAAATATTAGTCTTTGAAGATCAGTGACATACAAATTACCAATTCTTGAAAGTTTGGTGAACTTAGCTCATCCCACCCAGATTTTATATTAATTTAAGGTCTTCTGGTGAGTAACATCTTTAACGCCTGAAGCGTTAGTGATAAATAGATAGTATATCCTCAGTATTTAACTCCTTTTACTAACATAGGTATTTTTAATTTGCTGACACATTCTTTAAATGTCATTTTCTACTATGGTAGTGTAAAGTGTAATATTTTATGGTGAGAAACATTTGTTTCTGATCCTACGCTGATTATAATAAACTAGTTAACTTACGAGGAAAATTCCCAAGTTAGCTAGCATATATCAATTAGCTTGGAATTAGTATTTAAATATTCTTTCCTCATTTAAACAAATGTAAGTTAATTCGTTCTGAAAATTATAGATCAGTACAATACGAAGTTATTTTCTTTTTATTAAGATTTATAATATATCAAACTTTATCAATAGTTTACAATTAAATGCTAATTATTTTATGTAAAGGTACCATTTTAGTGTTTATTGTTTTGACAGAATGAGATATACTGTGACATGTAGAGTTTTTAAAATGATCTAAAATGATATATACTTGTTTGTATTATGAGATTTTACTAATTAGTGTTATTCAAGTTAATAAATTATAACATTAACGTTGATTTATGAATTCATCATAAGATGATAAAACCATGGCTTATATGCTCACACCTTGGTTTATAAAAGCTTAGTTCCTCTTTTTTACTTGTCATTATCGTCCCATATATTAAAAAAATAGCAATTAGTATCCAGGACATTGTGACAACACGTAATTAGAAAGAGAACAATAGTAACAATGTCACGGTGAAAGCATCAACGCTGGAGTGCAGGTACATCCTGCCTACGAGTCTCAAACAGGAACAAAAACGCACGATCTGGATTCCACTGTTATTTACTGTCTGATTTTAATAAAAAATGTCAACATAGTTTGATAATTTTTTACAGCTTCGACTGACTCAATATCAATTTATCCCGTACCTACTTTATGTATTTCCCCAAGTAAATTGATGATTTTGCTCATTCTAGTACTTTAAATTAACCATAAGTTAGTAGTATATTGTTAACTCTATCATAATAATTATAGCTGTAATTTATCTGGATGCTGTACATGTAATTAGACAAGACTTTATAAACTGCAGATATTGAGATCATAATTTATTTTTTGAAGCTTGCATTCCGAGAATCCAGAAAAGGTTAATTACTGTTCTATGTACTCATATCCACTGAGCTCGCTTATTGCGGATCGTTATCTTTAAAAGTATTTTATTTTATCCTTAAATTATTTTAACCATCCATCTTTACTTAAAAATCTTGTCACGTAAGGCTATATCGAGGAAATTCGCACTAGACGCACATATGCCAACAAGAGACTGATCAATCACAGTCCTAAATAACGATGGGAAGATACAGGTAAAATAACACCAAGTGAATCTAAAGTTCATAGTAGTTGAAAAATAGCTAAATTTGCTTTGTTTACCGCTGACAATTGTCCATTTCCCCATCTGTAACATTTTGGTTGAGTACAGGCTTCTCTACCATATGGTTCTTCCATTAGTTCCCCAAGCATACTAGCTTTACGACAAAAATTTAAATCTAATTGTATTCTTTTCATAAAATAACTCGACGTCAATTGATCGGGCATTATATATTTGTTTAGTGAAATATGATAATTATCATTATTATCAATGATACATGAAACATTCCGGTAACGAACACCAATAATTTTATTGATTAAATCTTTGCGATCCGTAATGTTATCAACTAGACGACAATTGGACTTCATCTGCTCATCCAACGGTTCACATTCGGACCATTTAGTTGTAGACCAATTAATATCATTTCGACATTTAGATAAAGAAAAGCATTCATTATATTGTTCAATATATAAATTGTGTTTAAGCGATACTTGGAAACTGTTATTTTGTTGATAAAGTAGAATGATTTCTTGAGCTGAATGAATAGTGACAGATTGTTTTGGAGCTTTTGAATGGTGAATCATTGATTCACCGTAAGTCATACATTCATTGAGAGGCCAATTTTGCCCAATTTCATCTTGACAGTAAAGAATTCTTTTACGTGTTCCATCACCACAAGAATTGTTGCACTAAAACAAATAAAAAGTTATTTAGGATAATTGACACTTCAATACAGTGTTTGCTCATATATTTTAGCCAAAAGCTTTTATAGAAATATTATATAATAATAAGCTGATTTAGAAACTTCGTAAAGCAGCATTGTAGTTAGTCAGTTAGACACAAAGTAGAACATGGCACACGCGTATATTAGTTTGGGCTGTCATGCCCCATTAGCACAGGACGATGGAATTGTCACGAATCATCATTGCACATTTATGAAACCATTCAGTGATATTTCCTTACCAAATATCATGAAGTTAATTAGAAACCAACCTGAGTTTATGAACAAGCAACACTTATATCATAAATTGGCTGTGAAACGAAGACTTCTTATAAACAATAACTATTATAGGGAGGTAGAATAGCTAAACTCCATTCGTGTGGTAAGAGCGATTGGACTAATATTTTCATAGAAGGGCTTGCTAAGTGAGCAAAAATGTAGACAGTAAACTAAGCTTACTTCTGTCCAATTCGATAAAATCCAATACACAGGATAACATGAACCTTTACATGTAACATAAGCTGGTTGTGGTGGAGCTTTTCCCAAGCCTGCTTTATGGCATACAAGTTCTCCTAGTTGAGCAACTCTCCAAATTCCTTTTGACTTATCTTTTTGTTCAGCAGGTACAATATATTCTTCACACACATACTCGACAACTTCATGACCTTCATTACATCGTGCTGAACAGCTACTAGTATAAAAATCATGAATACCATTTGATGTTTTTCCTGTCAGCACTGGTTTAGCTGACCATCGTACACCACAATAGTCGGAACAACGTCTGAAAACTGATGGGGGCTTTGGCATAGAGGCGCATAGATAATCAGCTACTGGTCGCAATAGATCAAACTGTGAAAATTGACTTTGCTCAGTATCTTTCGGAACTAATGGATAACATTCTGCAGGTGTTGTGACATTTCCTGTGGAAGTGAAAAAATTGTGTTATTTGTGATGTGAATTTGTGAATAAAATAATTTTTCAGGCAAAACCTTTTGGTGCTTAGTTTCTGTACAGCACACACACTAAACGGCCAGACTCAACAATTCTTAGAAAAGTAATTTAAAACTCAGTGTAATAACGTATATTAAAACGGGAATATTGTGGTGTTTACTACTTAAGTTTGTCGATATAAGTATTATGTAACACCAGTCGGAAGTGGAAGCCCTGTCAGCAGAAGGCTAAGAAGATCAAGTTGAAGAGAATAGAATGAGAAATGGAAAGGAATTATAAATAGGAAGAAGGATACAGAATATGAAAGACAAATGATGGAAATTCGCAAATAAAGTATTCAATGTTTTGTTCTTATATTTTTTCAAGACACTCCATAATTTTGTGAAAAAATCGGTTGTTCCAACCTGTGTTCTGGTTCATCACAATATTATAGTTGATGTGAATGGGCGTGACTTACTGAGTGGTCTTCCCTTTCACATAATCCCTCACTATTTACTGTTCCTTGACTTTCGCGGCTTAACTAAGTACTAGTTTCACTGTTCATCATATGAATTAGAATGAAAGTCGAAGATGGTATGTATCTGATAACCTTCTGTATTTCTGTAACGTGTTTTTGTTTGCTTATTGGTATCATTCACAAAAGTAACTGATATTATTTAAGTATAAAATCACTCAAACTCTTTCAAATGATAAGTGAATATAATTTCGTCATATATTATGTCTTCTGATCGAAAACCAATCTGATGGTGTATACGTACCAATTTGTTAAAAATTGAACCATGGACCTCAAAATTTATTCCTTAACCTGTAGAGTAATGTGTTTTTATGTCATCCAACCCTCCTCACTTTCTATTTCGATCAATCGGTCTTACAGAACATTAGTCATCTAACATCATTCTAAGGTAATTCCCTAACTTGCAACAATTCTAGACCTGATCAGTTACTAATTTTAATAAAAGTGCTGAGAATTCTATATTGTACCAAAACTATAATATTGAATACAGCCATTAATAATAATAATAATGATAATAATAATCCTTCTAGAAGACAGTTCATAATGAGTACATGATTCCTGCTTGGCTAATAGATTTGTCGAAATTATTTTAATTATTGAGGTGGTTTACTTTATGAATTGAAATCAGCTGGAGAATCGTTAGAAATTACAGAACATTAAACAGCTGTATTGACCTAGTATAGGTCCCCACAGATGATGTTAGTGACAAGTGCGATCTTATAAATCAAATCGTTGTCTACAAATTTTCCAACTAAATCAAATATCTCTTTTAAAGATGATCATTTGTCTTATAAACATGACATTTTTGTTGGTTTAGTAAATGAAATTTGCTAATTTACATTATTATAATCTTAATAGTGGAGATTATGAGTCAATTGAAGCTAGACTACCATGGAAAACGTGGAATCACTGGATGGCCGTTTCGTCCTAGTATTGGACTCCTCTGCAGTGCGCATTGACGAGCCCACCCACGGGATTCGAACCCGGGACCTACCTTAATTACGTAGACATATGGACAAGATTAATAAAGAGAAAATAAGTCACTAAGTAAAGGATGCAAGAATAATTTGATTAACGTTTTCTAATTTTAAATCACAAAAATACTTGAATCATGAACATAAAACAGAAATGTTTATGTAAAAAACGAAGAAAAACAAAACAAAAAATATATGAATGAGTGAACGAACGACAGAAATAGATTACAGGTGTTTAAATCGTTCAGTAAAATTGTCTTGGATTTGTTAACACTAAATTTTATTATCCACAGCCAGTTAATAATTGAAAGTGTCATCTTGCCTAATATACAGAAACAAACAGTATATATAGTCAGCAAAAAACATCTAATTAATCTGGTAATTTTATGTATACGAATAGTTTAAATCCAAATGTTTTGAGACTTTCAGTTGCTCAGAATACGTAAACAATGAGAGTCAGTAAATATTTAAAGTCATTGATAAAATGAGTGAATATTATGGATTAAAGGATTTTCTGCTTTTTTTCGTTTTACTCATATGAAGCTGAAAGAAGACAAAATAACTTAGTTTTATCATAGAATATCAGTTGTACTAACTGTAGTTATGTGATACGGTTTTAAGAGATAACAAATGAATGGTGTAAATGTCCTGTTGCCAATATTGTATGAGTTTAGGAGTAAACACTGTTTAATAGTTCGAACCAATAATAGTATTGTCTAAAAATGAGTCAGTTTTTCGTACAGTCAGTTTATTGATTAAAAGAACGTAAAAAATATTTAGTTCATCTTCCTAATGAAAACTAGATGTATGTTTATTGGCTAAACTACTTTCGGTGTTGCTCATACAGAGTTAGTAGAATGTCTATACTTTTACTACAGAAGGTATATGTACTCCTGTGGAATCCCGTGGTTTGTCGAAACCTCTGTACCACACTTTCACTTTCTCCAGCCAAATTTAATCTGTAATGTAAACTACAAATTTAACAATCTCTACAAATCTCCTATACTCTCTGGTTGTTGAAGATTAATATACAATATTCATCAACTAAAGAAAAGGTCATCTTCACAATAAATATGAATTATTTTATTTCCATATGAAAAAATATCTCCTAACTTATGTATCCTTTAGTGTTCTAATAAATTTATATTTAAAATGTCTAGTATTTACTAAATCTTCCGTAATCAGAATTTTTTAAAAAAATATGGACATCAGTTACCTGCACATGTAGTACAACCTGTGGGTAGTTCACTAATTCTCCAGACGAAATATATTTTTGGTTTCTCATTCTTAATTTTACGATAGTCTAATTCACTTGGTTTATGCTGTACAGGATTAATCAATTTATCAACTGTTTCATATGATGATTGAGTATATTGTGATCTTCCAGTACGACGATTAATTCTATCTTCAGCTAATCGTGCTTCGCTTTCCGCAATGAAATATAGTGAATTATTTTTTTGTAATTTATCAATAAAGTAACTGTATTCCACTCTTGGTAAAGATTGAGTTGTATGCGAGTTTTCGACACGAATCTAATAAAATATAATAATTAGAATTAGAAAATTAATTATGATAATGTTGCAAAATTCCTGAAGAAATGAAGTCGTTCGTTGTATGCAACTAATGATGTCTTATTAGCTAACACAAGGATATTTACTTGGCTTTGACAGACTATTGAAATCATAATACTGTATTTGGTTAAAACGAAAGATATTTCAGAGAACTTCCGTTCGTCTAACGGTGAAAGAATGTTTGAAGACTAACCAACCAGTATTAGGAAAAAAACTATCAGGCTTTTACGTGAAATTTGAAAGTGAATGACGTTTTTATTACATCACGTAAAATGAACATTAGGAATAACGCCGAAAAACTACTTGTTTCTGTTATAGAAAATTATAGTGTGAACCATATGAAGTAAAAATGTAAATAGCATGTAGGGAATAGCAACTGGGAAAGACTGCCCACGACAGAGTTCGATGGAGAATGCTGGTTTGTAGTCTATGCTCCTCCATAGGGAAAACGGGTGTAAGTGAGTAAGTAGTGAATCGTTGTATGTTGAGGTTCTTAGCTAGACCATTATTAGAAAACCTTGAAACTGTTAAGATAATTAATAATCATGCGCTTATTAGTGGGCAGCTTCTTGATGCAAATTTTTGATGGAGTTTTTTTCTCTGAGCTGAATGGTTTGGTCGTGGAGCTTTCATCGTTATTCTGAACGACATCGTTAGCACAAACTTCAGATAAAAGTGAAGTGTTCGAATTTCTCCATATGCGTTTCACAGCTTGTTCTGTACACTTCGACGTTGATTGATTCTTATTGACCTTAAATTTGTCGTTGTTTACTCCTTTGTTTTGGTTTTGTCTCCCATTCGTTTGATTTTTGTGCATAATTTTCCTGATTAGTTGATAAATTGGATCGATTTCAATGTGCTTGTTGATTGCTGATTGACCTGAGTGCCCGGCTCCTAAAAATTCTCTGGTGTATGTGCTGATGACATCGTTCATAAGAACGACGAAAAGTCCACGACCTAACTATCCAACTCAGACAAACAAAAGTCCATCAAAATCATCCACCCGAGCTACAAATCTTCTCCACCATCTAGATGCAAATCTCGAAGTTCTAGTGAAAAGCCATGACCAATGGAATTCAACTATGTAGGATGTGAGGCAGTTATTTGCCATAGACAATTGAAAGTGGTCGCGCGGTATAGTAAATTAATTGAAGTTATTCTTGTAAATCATTGGATACCAGCTTAGTGGTATACAGTTTCGCATTCGTGCTCGAAACCGAATATCTTGAGTTCAATTCTTGGGTGCAAGGTTGCCGATGCTAACCTCTGAGGAGTTCTGTGGTAGGAAAAAACGGCTATTCAGTACTTTCAGGTTTTCAGCAGTGGTCATGATCCAAACTAAGATGTTTTGCTTTATGTTTGTATACACAAGGCCAGTTATTTTTTAATCTGGAGTGACATTTAACCAATCTTTCGTCTATTCTCTATACTCCATTGACAGTTGGCATTTTATAGTTAATTTGTTATATTTTTTCAGACCTTATTATCGTTTTGTAATGTTTACATGTTGTAAAATATATGATATTTAAACATGTCGACCCTATGGATATAAGTTTATTTTGTAAAAGTTTGATTATATAAGTCAACTTTCTCTTTTTTAGAGAAACAAATATCCAAAATTGAATTGATTTTAATCGTTGATTTCGACAGCCTAATAAGTTAGATAACAAAACTTTTTAATTATGCTGGAACAATAAACGTCTTTTGTTTTGAGCTTGAATCAAAGACTATGTAACCAATGAAAACTATGTTGCACAGTTTTATTCGAGTATGGGACTATTTGAAAGTGTTTACTTAATACCCAATCAGGGATCAAAATCAAGACCTGTAGATTTTACTGTTAACGCTTAATCTTTGGACTAGGGATTCGGATTTCAGGTGTTTGAATCAGTTTGTGATGAAAGCAACCTATAAATCGCTAATCAGTCAATTATTAGAAATGATTAAAGATGATAAATAATTAGATTTTTGAATACAAACTTCAGGTTTATTTAAATGAATCCCTGTGACATTCATTGTGTGTAGTGAACGATATCTGACAAAATAAAGTGAACTGAATAACACAGCGTTTATTCTTTGAATTCCAAATTTTATATTGACGTAATATCCCATGTTAATTAGACTTGAAGCTTCTCAGTATTTATCTCTGTCCAGTGCTCATTTCCCCCATTTATTCTTATGCAATCAATATGGGTAAATAACCGATGTATAAAGTTTCATACTGTCCCACCTTTGAAGATAATTAAAACTGATTCTTGAATCCAAAATTAAACTGACGTTTTATACATCTATCGTGTATACTGGGTTGCAATAATTCGTCAGTTTGTATTTCATTTTATCATTATCAATACTATGTTAGTTAACTTCACATCATCTAATTTTAATGCATTTTTTAAATTGTGAGGTTATGATAATAAAGAGGTCATTGGAAAGCAGTACTTCTCCACTCAGTTCGTATTTTTAATACCCAAATGGGGATATTCGAATCATTTATATTTATTTGTTCTGTTCAATTAACAATTTTCTTCAAAAACTCAACAAATCCTATCTATAAACCTTATTAATTTAATAAAAGACTGATACAATCTTTTAAGAATATTCAGTAAGTGTGATTTTGAAAGCTAAATGAGGATTAGTTGGAGCTCCATTTTTTAAGGGATGATTATCAACTGTGTTAACTTCGCCTGGAGTCCCTCCCAGGGCTACTGCCGGTCCCAAGCCCGGATAAAGGAGGGGGGTTGGACATGCGGTTAGCAACCCCATCCCGTAGAAAACTAACTCGATAGAAGACACCAACCAGGAAAAAAATAGTTCAAACCATTTAAACTGTTCCCTGAGAGTTACAAGATCTTCATTCAGAAGAGCTAAGTTCCTTCGGAATTCACGAGGCTGATACCTTTTCTGACAACTATAGTAGCCATTAATTTAGGTACATGGAATGCTTGTACAATGTGGGAGACCGGGAGAGTCTTCCAAATCGCTGCAGAAAAAAAAGAGATACAATATGGAGATGCTTGGAATCAGTGAAACACACTGGATGCAGACAGAACAACAACGAATAGCTTCAGGGGATCCTCCGTTATGCTCCGGCCATGTAGAAGAAAATGCCCAACATATACAAGGAGTTGCACTGATGCTATACAAACAAGCACAGAAAACACTTATAGGATGGGAATCTCATGAACCAATGATAATCAAAGCCTCCTTCAAAGCAAAGAATGAGAGCATTTCAATGAACGTCATCCAATGCTATGCACCTAACCACGACTACAATGAAGACGTTAAAGGTCAATTCTACGATATGCTGCAGTCAATCGTCGAGAAGTGTCCAACAAAGGACTTGACCATTCTGATAGGAGACCTAAATGCCAAGATTGGAATGGACAACAGCGGATATGAAGAAATCATGGGACGACATGAACTGGGAGAAACCTATGTGCCTTCAATAAACTGGTTATAGGCGGCACCATATTCCTACACAGAGGTTGTATGAGTTGTACATTGCTACGCTAACTAATATCGATGGTATCAAATTATTTCTTCTGTCATACTGTTAAACATATGATTCAATGGATATGAAGATATATTAGATTCCTATTTTCTGAAGGTTTCCTGGTCAAAACGGTCTATTTCAGTTGATAAGGTCGTATACGTTTAGTATTGAAGTTCACATTAGTCAGGTCTATGATGAGTTGGGAAATTAGACAAATCTACTACATGTTGGGTTGAATTTTTCTATAAACTAATTTTATAATACACGGTTTCATTAAAAGTGATCTTTTTAGAAATGAAATCTCTCACTTCTTATGTGCTTGAAAGAACGTAAAATGAGGCATTTATCTTGCCTTTGACAGATCAAAAAACTGCCTTGGAATTAGTTGTGGTGATTTAATCATCATGAACAATTTCATTTTCATTTTACTTATTTAACATATGAGTTTTTGACTGGTTTGTTTGATTTTTCTACCGATACAATTTTAGTATGTTGAAAATATGTGCGAAAAATTGAAATTTATCATGTTATAGACTTGACTGTTATTGTGTAAATCAATATATCAAAACAAAAGTCAACGCAACTCGAAATACTCTGATACAGAACTTATTTGTAAATTAGAATGGTTATTTACAATAGATCAGAATGTTTCATTTTTAAGGTGTCTAGTTATAATCGATATGATGATAATAAAATAAATCATGCTAATAAAGTGTAAAGTAGGAGACTTTTGACGGGTTAATGGGGATATCAGTAATGATAATAATGATAATAATAAAGTCGTGGGGATATATTATGTAATAAGAGTAGTGTTGTCAAGGTAACTACGCTGATAAATCCATGTAGATCGGGAAAGACTAACATGTAAATTTAAAATAAGGCAGGGAAGATAAAAACACAAAAAGAATTTTTAACTTATAAAATTATTTAACGTACTAAGAGGTTTTATTTTGAACTTTAAAACACCGCACAATATTAGTGACTTATAACTGTAGAGCCTGGTGACGGAGTTAATAAACACAATTATTTGTTCAAATATTCTTCATTTCTAAGTATAAATTTACATATATTATTCTCTAATTGGCTTAAAAGTGGTAGTAGGCTTATCGAAGATACTTTTGTAGTTTGTCCCTATATAATACTATTACCTAATTATAAAATAATTGATTGATATAGGTCGAATTTTTAAGACATTATGCGTTTCCCAACAGAATTCTGGTTCTAGTTCTTTTATTATCGAAAAATTGATGGAATTTAAAATAGATTTGTATTCTTTATGTTTGTCTTGAACTATAGGAGGGACATAAAAATGAGTATGAACATAAACTTTACTTACAACAATATTCACATCTTTATTGAGCCTTCCAGTAATTGAAACAATTTCTTCACGACTACGACTACCACTGTAGTAAAGCTCGGCTCCAGCAAATGGTTCATGTGTTTCACCTCTACGTATTTGAGTTTTCAATTCCTCAAATATCACTTGATTGAAGAGAAATAATGAAATTCGTTTATTTACGGAGATAGATTCATTTGTTTTAGAAAGTATAACGCATTTTCATTTCAGTATTTGAATAAATATCTAACGGCTGATCCTTTCTTACCGTTCAGATACCTGTCTATACAGTTCAGTATGAATTATCTATTACTATCGGGAAAGTTTGGTAAATTTAAAGGAGATACTATATAAGATATTAGTTGTAAGTAAATATAATCAATTTTGTGTTGAATAACTGAATTAATGATAGATGTTGGTAGAAATGGTGAGTAGTTAAATGCTCAAATTAACCTTTTCATTGACATATTTTGTTGATACCTTTAGTTCCTGTGGTTTCGAAAATTATGGATTGCTAAAGTGTTGATTTTTTCTATTAAATGTGCTAATTATCTAAAACCTGACATTAGACCTCTTTGATCTAAAAGTTTGACCAACGATCAAATCTTATACATAAGATTTAATGGCAATTTAGCAATCAACATGTGTACAGGCGTTTGAAATTTAATCCATGGATAAGAAATCTACACAAATATTAGATCAGGAACCATCTGTGAATCACTAAATTGAAATCTAACACTGATGAATTTCATACATTACTTCACATAGTTGATAAAATAGTGATATACCTTAGAAAATAAAAAAACGAAATGATCCATTTTTTATAAATAGTTAAATCTTTCAACTTACACAACATAAAATCGTCATACGAATCTGAAGAGTAGGGAATAATACGATCAGAAACTTTTCTGACAAACGCATTTGTAACTCCTTTCGGAATACGTACAGCTGTGATTAAACCTAGAAAAACAATACGATGTTTTTTAAAAACAAGGTTGATTTTTTACTTTAAAAAAATAAAGCTTCTCTGCCTAATTAAATTTGTTAATTTATAAATTAAACATACCACGTGGATAAGTACCAGGTGGAGTCAATGTATTTCCATTGAAAACGCCTTTAATTTCCTCACAAGTACTATTATCTCCACCGCATACACGACAACGATCAAAACGTAATCGAGAGCCCAAAATACCATCACAGCCAGTTTCCTGCAAGAAAATATAATAAAATAATACTTAATGATATATCTATAGTCTTATGTTCACACATATAGGAAAGATGGAAACGTAGAAGGTTCTTATTTAAGATTTCGTTTTGCCGATTTTCTCATATAAACATTCATATTCATGATCGAATAAATCTAAAGGGTGCATACATTTTAGTAGTAGATTCAGATTCACTTATGTCTACAAACAAAAAATGAAGAGTTTATATCACAGATTGACCTTAATTAAACAACTCTTACAAGCCAAGAAAGATTATGCATCTGTTTCACTCTAGTATTAGACTCTTCAGCCGTGTTTGTCCATGACCACTGTACCAGGGATCGGAGATTCATCACTATCAGACCTTGTATCAAAACCCATTAACCACGTGGCTGCTAGCCTGATATCAAATGATTTATATTTCTAACTGTAATTAATTAACAGTATTACTCAACCGCTACTCAATCATTCATTAATTTCTTAAGTCTTATGTAGATTCTAGAGGTTGAGTGCCCAAAAGCGATGAATGATGTCCGGGGTTGTGAATGTATATTTCTGATGAGTCGCACACTAGGACAAAACAACTACCCGGTGCTCCCTGGTTTGAAGTGGTTGTCCAACTAAGATAATTTTGTGATGTTAACTATATTTGAATGATCCTTGTTTCTTCTTACACCATGATCAAAATATTTCTGTAAAAATAATATAAAGCATTTACACCTGTTTTTAATAATTAATGGAGGTGTTTCTGGATTGTAGGTAACTAAATGAAGTTTCACTTATAAGATATGCTACACGATCACTTAAATACAATTTTCACCCTGAAAACACTGTACACTTTATCACTTTTGTTTACTAATGGAGAAAAAACAAAACTATATTTGTAGGTATCTATATCAAGGTTGGGATGTAACAAAAATATATTTATTACTAAAAACTATATTTAGTTATAAAATAATCCTACTATAGATGAAATCGGAAATTTATTTTTTATGCCTAATTATCAACTTACCCAACATTTGCCTTTTATGCATATATCATCTCTTTGTGTATAACATGGTGTTCCATCTGGTAAGCTGAAACCATGGGATACAGAATGGGAATTATACAAGCAGATCAAATTGCATGATGTAGGCTCACCAACTACAATTAAGAAAATGAAAGTTGTTAAAGAAAAAAGAAAATAGATAAAACTTCACCCATCACATAATTTTAAAAAGTCTGCTATAAATATTATTTTCATGACCTAGTAGTTCATAATCTGACTTTATGAGTGATCTGAACCAAATTCTCTGTTGTAATGATCATAATAAAAATTGGTTGGATTTGTTAAAGGTAGTCGTTAGGAAACCTTGAACATGGAGTTCGTGAAAGTTGATGCCCATCAGTAAGGTATATCAGTGACATTGAGGTAACTGATGGCTAGTAAAGTATTTACATCAGTGTTATTGGGCTACACAGTATGGGGCATTAACACTGAGTTATTGGGGCTGCGACTGAACAAGTGTAGGGTTGAAATGTTTATAATTTATCAATCACTGAATAGTGATCGACTGACATTCAACGTTTCAAACTTTCCACTGCTTTAGAAATAGTTTACCTCAAGCTAAACTTATGTATTTTGATTACTCCACCTAAAAAAACATGTGATTTCAGGACACAGGGCAAAGACACAAGGCTTGTTAGGATAATAGTTAATCGTATGGCAGTCACTTAAGTTAAATTGATTAGTTAATTAGTTGTCTTGAGGAATAACCTCTCTACCATTTCACATGATTGTGTTAATGAATAAAGTATCTGAGATGCGTATTAAACCATTTTAGTCCTTATCATACAGTCAAGATTGCTCTATTATATTGAATGTTTTAACACCTCAACAATACAATATTATAAAACTCACTACGTTTGCTGAGCAGCAAAATAATTAATTCTGGACTTTTAAGGCTTATACAGTTTTCGCAGTTTAAATCATAAACTGATCTTAGTTAGGATACCACTGAAAACTTGGGAGCAGCTGATATCTGTTTCATCCAAATACAGAACTCTTCATCTGTGTGCATCCACGACTCACATCCAGAAAGTGAACTTTCTCTCTTGTTTAACCTCTATACCACTGAGCCGGGATCTACTAGTTTACAAGAATAACTTCAATAAATTGATGATATCAAAAAACTACCCATCAGCCCTTGTTTGTGGATAGCCGTCTAAAATCTGACATGGTCGAACTTCACTAGTCATGACTTCTCCCAAGAGTTCCAGGAGCTACGTGTTGAAACTAGCCAATAATTTGCACATTACAAATTTTGGTAAAGCAGGATTTGTCAAGAAGGTAGAATCTTCATAGGTTTAGCCACAAAGCGGTTCTTATTGAACCACCATGGAAACAACTGTTCAACTTCAATACTCTTTCAAGTCATATGGAGCTCGATAATTCAGTCTATTTATTTCATATACTACCTTGTGGAGTATATTTTATACTTATTTCATTCTTATCCAGTGAATGATTTTATCTAATCAATGAAGGAAATGATGGAATAATCATTTTTGCACAAATATTTTATGTACGTTTATTCTGTCAGCTAAATTTCTTCAGAGAAGTTTTAAATAAACTGTTTATTAAATAAAATTACGAAGGACACTGTTTAGATTTGTCATTTCTATGTATTACATAATGATATTTATTTTATAGATAAAAACATAATATGTTGGTCACAAAATATCCACAGTCCGTTCAGTTGTTATCATCAGATAACATTTTCTCACAATAATCATTGAATAAACCTATGAATTAATTCGTTGCGTAATATTACGTACTGTATATTTTATGGACACAACCACACAGCATCATAAATGTCTATCTGAAAAATGTATAGTTAGATTAATTAGATATATACATATCTTGTTTTGGTCGCTCGTACCGTTTATTAGCATATTCGTTATTTTATTTCAATTTCTTATTTTCTACATAGTTTTGGTGCAAAAAGTAATTTAATACCAGGGTCGTCAATATCCACTATTAGCTTATTGTACGTTGGATCTGAGAAAGAAAATTGACGAATTCCAGGTTTGAACTATTTTATATACATTCTAACAAATCCTTTATATTGTTTTGCGTTAAATCAAAATACACAGTTTTAAATAATTTAGAGACTACGAAGTTATTGCAAGTTTTATTGTATTTATTTTAATGTACTTGAAAATTGTTGTCTAGCGAATTACATTTGCAGAAGTAATCTGAATTTATAACTGGATGTCTGATTCATCGTAACAAGAAGTGATAACAATGTAATTCATTTACCAAAAACAAATTTATATGTACAGTTAGATTCTGGTTGCTTGTGAGATAGATAGTAATGAGACGCAGTTGCTTAAATTGAAATAGGAGAAACAAGGTTCGAACGGATACTTTACTGTCATAGTTACTTGTTTTGAGAAAATTGTAACTAAATTTATGTAGACTGTGTCAAGTACTTGAGAAGTTAATTTTGTAAGCTACGGAAATTTAAAAAAGGGCTTAACAAAGAAAAAGAAAAGGAAGTCGAAAACACGAAATTTTTCGTTGTCGATTGCAACTATTTAAAAATTGTATCATATAGAAAAATCACTCTTTACTAGCATATGGTGAACATTAGTTTTTCTACAGGTGGTACAAGACAAGTAAGTAGATTTCGTCACCTTGTAATAATGTATCAACCAAAGTGCAACACAATATTTATTCAATGGATTTAGTGATCAAATTACGGATTTAATCAACAAAATGTGTCCAATAACATCGACTAAGTAAGATGATGTTGAGAGACATTCATTGAATGGCTGATTATTAAACTGATTACTAATTTTTTCTAAGTTTGCTGTGACGTATACTGAGCGTATGATGTTTGAAAACTTAACACAGAAGTAGAACTTTGTAAGAAAAAAATTAATAATATTTAGATTAGTTTTAATCATTTGGTATTGAAGATATAGGCTTAGAGCTTCTGCTCTGATAGTTTCTTTTTAAAATCGTTTCTTAAAACTTAATCTAATATATGAGCTATGTAATACTTTTATTTTTCTTGAAAACGTACTTAATGATAAAACTTATTACTTTTGAATGTTCAAGTAACAGAAAAGGCGGTATACTAGATGAGGATAGTGAAGCTGTATCAATAAGATGGTTAGAAATAACGTATATGTGGACTATATTTCTTTTACCGAAATGAGGGTAATGGCAACATATTTACTTGTTTTGAGGTGAACCTATCGCCTTTGTACTCAAACCACTTCATCCTAAAACATTGATTAACATTTTCTAAATTATTTTAGGAAAAATTCTGTCGTTGAAAAAACTGTTCAGTTGTTCATGAAATTATAAATATTGATTAGGATACTTTAATCAATATTATAAGTAAACGTTCCATAAAAGGAATGAGATATATTCATATTTGATAACTTATGATTTTTATAATTTACTCCACAGACTGACTTTGTTAGAGAACTACTAAAAACAAGGAACGAGTGGGCTGACCGCCATTTCTTAGTATGCGACTCTTCAGTATTACACATTCAAAACCTTACCATGGATCAAACCCACCACCTTTAAGAGCGCTGAGTTTGCTTCTAGTAGTTCATATTCCTAACTTTATTCAATTCATGATATTGCTCAACTTTCTTCCAATGTTGATGAGTAAAATGATTAGTAAATTTTGATCTTTATCACTTTAATTTGTACACTTAACTTTTCCCAAACATGATTTGGTTGACATGTGCGTCTCTAGCACAGTTTTGATATATCAGTTTTTAATTCATTTTTTTGAGTATGATCAAATGTTTTATTACTCTTGAAACTACGTTTAGTTAAAACAACCAAAAATCGACAATTAAAACATATTATCAGTAAAGAACATAAGTTATTTAATTCCCTAGAAGTAGAAAAGGTTTAAACGAAATCACTCCTATGTCTCATTGTTTACTATTTTTATCGTAAAATCTTACAAGGAAACGACATTTCCTGTAATGTTAAAAGAAATAACATGAAAGCTGTGTATGATATTAATATGTTATAAATATAACGAAATGCTTAAAGCTATTCAAATTTAAACTGTCGGTAAACACTTCTAACGAGGAGTTGATTAATCAATGAATCAAGGGTGAAAATTTAAAGTAGTTCATTGTAATAAGGTATAATGTTAATAATATAAACAGGCTAAACAACTATTTTTTTAGTTATATTCATCAAGGATTGATTTCAGTTGGAGTACGTTTTAAAACCACGGAGTGTTGGGTCCCTGTATAAGACTTCCAAGAGTTCATAACAAGCCTTGAAGGTCCTAAACTTTATCCGTGGTGGGGCCACAGGTTTCTAATGCTATGTGAACCTACACTATGATGAAACATCTGTCCAGTGCTCCCTGGTTTTTAACAGTACCCTTAATGATATCAATCTACAGTGACACACAACTCATATATTATATAAATTTCCTAAAAACCTTTTCAGCTAGACTATGACGATTATTGTTTTGTTATTTCTGTTCACTAGCAATCAATGGAATCCCATATCTATGTCTAGTTATTATTATGAGTTAAAAGAAAAAAATCTGTATAAAGTTATTTCAGAATAAATGAGTAAGCATTAGAATATCCTTATTAGTGAAGGCTTGAATTAATTATTTGATGAAATTCTGTACTGAAGTTTTATCAGTCATTTTCGGTACATACGCACTACGTTGGTGGGTGTCTGTATACGGTAGATCAGTGGTTGAAAAGTTTGCGTTTAAAGAGAAAGGTACTAGGTTTGAATCCCAACGGAAGAATCAACTCCGGGTTTCAGTTACATTCAAATGAAATAGTGGACGAAACATGAGTCCTGAATTCTACTACTGATAGTTACAATTCATCTACTTTATTGTAATTATCCGTTTTAACAAAAATATTAACTTACGTTTCGGAAAATAAGCTCTTAATTGACCTTTGTATTGTCCATCTATTTTATCACATAACGTTTGGCGAATATTAAGTTGCTTCTCACAAGGCTTCATATATTAGCAGTATATATAAAATAAAAGATAACAGGGTAATTGTTATATTGCTGATAACAAAAGCTGTCAATTACAAAACATAGAAAGTTAACTTAATTCTGTAAACGGAAAAACATTTGTAATGAATATCTATACAATAGTAAAGATGCTTTAACAATGTTGAGAAATTATTGTTTAGTTGAGTGTTTTATGAAGATTTATTTCAATTTCCATATAATCTCCACCACACACGAACATTACCTAGAAAACCATTGAAAATCAGAGAGCATCGAAAACTGATTGGAACAGTGTACATGCATTATCCCACATACAATCAAAATCATGATTTTGTGTTTCTTAATGAGTACTTATCTTAAGAAATTAATAATTCGTATGTTGAACTTATCGATTTAATATGTGAAGAAAACCAGCGAAAATAGTATAGAACAGACAGAATTTGGCTAGGAGTTAAAACTGGAATGTGCGTTTCGACCTATTTGGGACTTGTCAGGATGTACTTGCTCCTCAGTACTGATGTTCACACGAAGATTCAAATCAAATACTTTTCGTTTCAAGCATTTTGCGAATTATCCACTAGCCTACTGATTCCATGTATCCATCTAATTGTGCAACGGGTATGAATTCAATTTGATTTACAAAAGCATTGGAGTTTTCTTGTTATTGATATTCTCCATCAAATTTTGATCAGTCGAGACCTTAATATACATCAATTTGAAGATATAAGTACATTCAGTTGACAAGCCCCAAACAAAACGAAATACTTACGATAAATCCCCCTACTAGCCATAATTTATCTCTTCTATAAACGTTGCGACAAAACGGCCGTATTAAGTTGGGTAACACAGAATGCACAAATACCAACAACGATTGATAGAAATTGATTCAAGGAGACGAACAACAGGAAAACTCGAAACCATTATTATTTCTTATCTCTATGTTAAATTCTAATACGTATTTGGTTGTAAGCAGCTGAAGAAAAACCACGAAATATAATGAATTCATATTACTCCGCATCAATATTCATTCTGGCTTTATTTAAATTTATGAAGGAAACTAACTGCATGAGACAAATTAAACTGTTTGTTCGTTTATTTGCCACCAAAGAATTTTCTATTTCATTGTCTATCTTATACCAAGTTAAGCAATTAAAAGACAAATAGTTTGGGTATGTAGTTTAATTATTGAAGGATTTGATGCTAAGTTCGTTTTCTTCAAAGCTAAAACCCATATTTCCTAAACTTTGCCTTATGTTAAGTTTATTTATACAAAAGGTACAATTGTATCATACAGCTGAAGATGAATGACTCACTGAGTATGATTCCCTTGCATATTTTCTTAACTAATGATCATGTAGATAGATTGAACAAATAATATGGTAATAATGAATGATGAGCATAGAATACTTACAACATTTTCATGGGTTTTTAATTGTTCAAACTTTACCATAGATTTGTTTTATAATAACAAATAGATTTCGAGGATCTTTACATTGGTCCAATGTCAGTTATACTGTATGGTGGTACAATTAGCTGATTCTCATTAGTTCAAAGAGTTTTATTGACTGCAAGAAGATATCGTTTTTGAAATCACTCAAAAACTGAATGATAGACAGTATTGCTTTATAAAACCTCTGGAAAAATCCCAAGTCATGTTCTTAAATCTGATTGGTTCAGAGCTCTTTGAAAGCCTAACCTCTCGATGGACTATATAATATTAAAAACATTTTATTTGACAAACTTTTATAGCATTTTAAATTTGGATTGAATATTCCCCCTTTGTTTTATTTGATTTACTTCATAGACCATTTAATTTCCTCTCTAGAATGTTTTTACCATTATCAAAAATGATATCTGACAAGTATAACATGTTTCAAAAAAGGTGATTTTTTGAGTTTTTATAGTATTTTAAATACAGTATCCTTTTCATGAAAAAAATTTATAATTTTTTAATCCTTTGTTTCAGTTATTGTGACTGGTAATATAGTTTATCAATGTTTAGTCATTTTATTCTGATTTCAACATGGTAAACTACTTAAATATCATATGATGCCCTTTTAGAGCAAAGTGCGATTCATAGTTTACATCACGAAATGACTTGAGGTAAAAAAAACTACTTAACATAAAAAAAGCGTTGGTCTGATTTTTCGCTCCGGTTTTCTTCTCAGTGGTATGTGTCCACGATCTCTACAGAGACGGAACGCGAGACTTTCCGGTTTCATGTAGAGTGCTTAGTGTCTAGACTGACAAATAACACGGCACCCACCATTTTGCTATCTAACTTCAGTCAATTAGCGTTATTACACAACAATATTAGAAATGCACTGGTGAATAACTGTTTCATAGCTGACAAGGTTGAACTCTATTAGTCACAGATCCTCACTAGAACTCCTGAAATCGAATCATTAGTGAGCGATTGGTTACCAGTAATGTGATCGTTTTGAAGATATTTTCGAATTTTCATAGTTTACATTACTAACTGACCTGAGTTAAACAACTGATGAAAATAAAGAAGCGCTAATTTTCAACAACTGTCTGAGCATGATCACTTTATGATGTAAACTACGGAACTCGATAACCTCAACCTGTTACACCAAAGATACTATGAATTCTGTAAAAAGTCAAAATCTGTATAATACATGTATAAATTCAATGAATTAACATAAACCTTACCTCAGTTCCACATGATCTCATTCGAGTTCGTGTTCCATGACAAAAATTACCACCATTCTGAGGTCTAGAATAGGACGTATAGAAGAATGTATGGTAGAAAAAAAGCAAAGTTGATGGATTAAATTTTCTTAGTGATTAGGTACTAGTCTATTCAGTTAATTATAACGAAAGAGCATGTTTAATGTTGGAGTCCATTGATGAACGTAAAAATAACAGTAGTGATGAAAATTTACTCATGCGTATTAGTTCCAACTAACTACATTTCTAATTTGAAAACCTCCTGACACGATGGAGTTTTCACTGAGTCCACTAAGAAAATTTCACTTACAACCATACAGTAGATAAGAAATTGTTTTAACAAAGTTTTTTAAATTATGTTTCTTGTATTAAAGCTTATAATTTAATACTGGTTGCCTAAGTAATTATTTATTTTTCCTTACTGTATCATCTTAATCAACCATAAAAACCATCATTTATAGTCAGTGAATTCACATTTCGACTAATTAATTCATTGATTAATAAGAAATAAAGTTGTGATAAATGTAAATCATACAGAAATCGCTTCTTTTTCAACAGTTTAAAGTTGTATAATCTTTAGAATAGACTTGAATTATCCAGTTGTTAGTATTCAGGATTGAATTCTGATCAGTTTTTGATATGTGAAATATGTATGAATGGAATAGATATAGTCATTTTATAACAAGTATTTTAGAATAGATGAATGATGTCTAGCATCCACAAAAATGCCATATCAACGCAATTGATATAAACCGGCAAAGTCCAATCAAAATTCAGTCCCGAATATCAACAACAAGATAATTCAAATTGCCACTTATAATGACATAAACATTATACCCGTTGGATAGTTTAGTGGTTGTCTAAACTTGATAGATCATCGCATAACACGTTAGCATGAGAAAAGTATTAGAATCTAGTCTCAGAATACTTATCAACACCGAAAACAAGGTTTGCCCAGCTGACGACTCCTGGACCGTATGAAACTCATATTCCACTACAACCGGAAGGTTGTCTAATCTGGACTTGATTTTTATGAGTGTAAAGTCAGTTCAAGAACTATTAGAAAGTCAAGGAGCACTGAATAACTGTTTTATCCTATTTCAGAACTCTTCAGTGTTTTGCATTTACAATTCACCCTTGAACTTAATGTTTTCAACATTACCAGTCCATCTAAACAATTAATTATAATATGACAACAATGGCCTCTAGTTTTTAGGGTTGTGCATAGTGCTTCAGATATTTGACCTGTAAATTTTAAATTAACTATTAGAAAATGCAGATCGATCTGAATTAGAGGTTTGTTAACACTTATTAAAATAAGTGTATTCATACTTGTGCAAATGTTTGGTCATCTAAAAGTAAAAGCCTACACCATCGCAAATATTGTCACTAATGATAAGTAGATTTCGTGTATTCGACAATGTAAAGTTTCAGGCTAGACAAGAAAATGATTTTCTGAAGTAAAATTTGATCTTCAGTTATCCTTAATCAGTGATAGTTATCATTTGTTTGTCGAAAAAGTTTATAACTTCATTTCAAAATGTCCTCGAAATTTACTAAATATAATAGCAATATTAGTAATTGCACAGTGAAACTTGACCGTTTTCTAAATGTCTTTGAGAATCTTTTATTCACTCGTGATTTTCTGAGCTTATAGAGACTTGGTCAAGAAATAATGATTAAACCATAACATATTGAATCGCAAATATTTAATTATTTCCTCGACGATGTTTGTGTAAACATTATTCATAGACGTGAGAATAAATAGCTTATCGAATTTAGAAAATTTTTAGTCATACTCATTATAGTTATAAGGTAAATTCTAACATAAATTGGCAAAAATATTACTGTCTTACTCAGGATTATTGCATTCACGTTCGGAAAATTGTACTCCACCGCCACAACTACGTGAACACTTTGACCATGATCCCCATTCACCCCAATTTCCATGTAATGGAGTTGGATTTTCATTAGTTGATACACATCGTCCCTGAATACACCACTAAAAATAAAAAAAATTATGTTGATAATAATCTGGAGAAATGGGTAAATTCTACGTATGACAAGAACTTAAAAGTTTAGACAAAATAATTTAAAATCTGAAGTAATTTTTATTGTTAAGTTACTTTGAAAAAATGATTTGAAAAAGCGATTAGTATTTGGCACCGTCACTGTGTTCTATACAATGGTACTTGGCTGAAATCGTTCAAAAATGATCATCATTTTGCAGTTTTATGGTTTCGTGACGAAAAGAATGATACGTTTCTTTAAACTATAGCAATTTGTACTTAGTTGAATTTCTTAACATGTTACATTTCGCAACTTAAGATAAAGATATGTAAATTTTAGTCCTGATTCTCAATACTTTTGACAATAAGAAATATCAACCAGTCTCAACCATCAATAACGGATATCATCTAGTTATTAAAGGGGATTTTTTCTCTTAAAATAATAAGTGATCAAAGACTAAATACTGAATGTATCCATTATATAAATATACGTTAACAATTTTAAGATTAAACTTTGATGGAAATTACATTAATCCAAATTCATTATGAAGTATGAAGAATTTCAATGTCATTTAAACAAATTATTTACGAATTTTAGGAGTAAACATCTACTATACAGTTTTTAATAATCAGCATTTTATATCAACACATACTGACTGCATGAGATAATTAAAATAAAAATAGACTGACCAGATTATTTTTGTGCTCGTTTACTACTCAGTGATTGGGATAATACTTTAAAATGAGAGACCTTGGACCATCATTGTACACACTGAGAATAGATTAACAACCCAGTTCCGTTTTGTTGAAATTTGCAGAGGACATAATAATTATGGGGCTTAGAATTGACTTTTATAATAAATACTTCAACAATTAACCTTAAATTACTTAGGTAACATAAATGAATACTGATTATTAATCTTATTGTTCATTAATCTTTAAATTTTCGAGTGGGTAAGTTTTCCATAATCTCAAGGAATGGTCCTTCACAAATCTACAACTTTTTAAGAACTATTTTGGTGCCAATTCAATGGTCTGTAATGATTGTGTGTTAATGACAAAGGGCTTACTACTTCCCATTTTTATCAGCGCATATTATACTGTTTCAATCTTAAGGTATATTGAGGTATATGTTATATACACTTTGACTGTATTGTTGGATTACTCTTACCTATGTACACATGCTTGTCCACGCAATTAATCGAATTGGTACTTGTTGGTTATAAGTGAAAACGCTATTAAAACGTTCGGCTGAGTATAGACTCCACATTGTTAAGTCATCCAAGTATATCATAGTCAGCAATTACGGTCTTGTTTTCATTTATTTAGTCACGTACTTTTAGATATTTTGAAATGTATTTTATTAGAGAGTTAATTAAGGCCATGACCTTTGCAATCTTGTAATTTTCTTCAATCTTAACTGACGGCGCTAAAATTGACAACTCCGTAGTACAATAGAGTGGCAATTTCGTAATGAGAAACATTACGTTTTCCATGTAAGCAAGCTAAAACTATAAAGAGCGAGACACACCATCATGGGTTACTTATTTACTTACGCCTGTTACTCCCAATGGAGCATAGGCCGCCTACCAGCATTCTCCAACCCACACTGTCCTGGGCATTTCTTTCTATTTCTATCCTATTGTTGTTCATTCTTTTCATATCTGTCTCCATTTTTCGGCGTAATCTGTTCTTTGGTCTTCCTCTTTTCCTTTCGCCTTGACGATTCCAAGTGAGGGCTTGCCTTGTGATGTGGTTGGGTGCTTTTCTCAATGTGCGTCCAACCCACTTCCAACGATTGTGCCTGATTTCTTCCTCCGCTGGAATTCGGTTGTTGCTGATAGTGTCTAGCCAACACACCCGAAGTATTTTGCGTAGACAGCTGTTAATAAACACTTGTATCCTCTGGATGATGGTTTACGTAGTTACCCAAGTTTCCGCCACATACAGTAGAACTGTCTTGACATTTGTATTGAAAATTCTGACCTTGATGTTGTTTGACAGACATTTGTTTTGAGTTCCAGGTGTTCTTCAGTTGTAGGGACACTGATCTTGCTCCGTCGGTCTGCGCCTTTACATTTGCATCAAATCCATTGTGCTCATTAATGATGCTGCCCAGATATGTAAAGGTTTTCACATCTTCCAAAGCTTCTCCGTCAGGTGTGATTTGATTGTTGCATGCTGTGTTGTTCCTGAGAATCTCGCTTTTCCTTTCGTGCATGTTGAGATTTATTGCTGCTGAGGCTGCTGCTACACTGGTCGTCTTCTGCATTTGTTGTTACGTGCGCGATAGAAGAGCCAGATCATCTGCGAAGTCTAAATCGTCTAGCCGCGTCCTAGCTGTTCACCGTATGCCATGCTTCCCCCCAGACGTTTACGTCTTCATCGTCCAGTCGAAAGTCCAGGCGAAAGAGTAAGGGTGAGAGTGAGCAACCTTGCCCGACACTGGTCTTTACTTCGAACGAGTTTGTCACTTGTCTTCCATTCGCTATTTTGCAATTTAATCCACCATAGGAATTCTGTATGACATTGCCTATCTTCTCAGCTACGCCGCAGTGTTGAAGAAGGCTCCATAGTGTTTTCCTATTCACGCTATCAAATACTTACTGGTAGTCAATAAAGGTGATGTCGAGTGAGTGATGAAATCTATTTAATTGATTGTTTCACAATGATCCGTAATGTTGTTATTTGGTTTGTATACGATCGATCCATATGGAATCTAACCTGTTGGTCTCGAAGTTGTGAGTCTACAGGGTCCTTTATTCTGTTTAACAATACCCTGTTGAAGACTTTTCCTGGTATTGAGAGACGAATGATGCCACTGTAGTTATCGCACTTGCTGAGATTGTCTTTTTTGGTATCTTGATCAGGTGTCCTTCTTTCCAGTCTGTTTGTACTTGTTCTTCATCCTAAATCTTGCTGAAGATGATGTGGAGTATCTTTTCAGTTACTGTTGTAACTGCTTCCAGTGCTTCAGCTGGAATGTTGCCTGGTCCAGCTGCTTTGCTGCGCTTGGTTTTCCTGATGGCCATGCTGATCTCTTCAATTGTTGGAGGGCCAACATCGATTAGGAGGTCCATGGGTGCTGCTCCAATGTTGGGTGGGTTCAGTGTGGCAGGTCGATTCAGGAGTTCTTTGAAGTGTTCTGCCCACCTGTTTCGTTGTTCTGCATGTTGCTGTCCATTTCAATCTTGGCATTTAGGTCTCCTATCAGAATGGTCAAGTCCTTTGTTGGACACTTCTCGACGATTGACTGCAGCATATCGTAGAATTGACCTTTAACGTCTTCATTGTAGTCGTGGTTAGGTGCATAGCATTGGATGACGTTCATTGAAATGCTCTCATTCTTTGCTTTGAAGGAGGCTTTGATTATCATTGGTTCATGAGATTCCCATCCTATAAGTGTTTTCTGTGCTTGTTTGTATAGCATCAGTGCAACTCCTTGTATATGTTGGGCATTTTCTTCTACATGGCCGGAGCATAACGGAGGATCCCCTGAAGCTATTCGTTGTTGTTCTGTCTGCATCCAGTGTGTTTCACTGATTCCAAGCATCTCCGTATTGTATCTCTTTTTTTTCTGCAGCGATTTGGAAGACTCTCCCGGTCTCCCACATTGTACAAGCATTCCATGTACCTAAATTAATGGCTACTATAGTTGTCAGAAAAGGTATCAGCCTCGTGAATTCCGAAGGAACTTGGCTTTCAATGTGAGGCGTCATAGCTCTTCTGAATGAAGATTTTGTAACTTTCAGGGCAGAGTTTAAATTCCGCGTGGAGCCTCCTGGGGCTGCTATCGGTCCCAAACTCGGATTAGGGAGGAAGGTTGTGCATGGGGTTTACGACCGTATCCCTCAGAAAACTCACTCGCTAAAAAAACGCTAAGTAGAAAAATATCATGGGTTACATTAGCGTAAATAATAATTCCAACTTAATCCTGGTAGGTTTTCAGATGTAAGGTCAAAATTGAGAGCAAGTGTGTAGTTTATCCTCAGTCAAACATCCAGGTTGATTCCATTGCAAAAGAACACACCTTCAAAATAATTTGTTCTTCACTAATAAATGGATTATTCACCAAATATTTAAATGTTAACATTTTGAACAGAACTAAACTAATCGTTTGCTCGTATTTATATGGAGAAAGGAATAAAGTGCCACATGTTCATTGTACTATACATGTCCTGCCCAACTTACCTAAATTAACTTTCTAAAGAGAACCCAAGATCATGCATTAACACGAAGCTGTTTGTTGAAATCTGTTGCAAGTTGAAATATCCATATATATGTATATATATCATCTATCTGTATACACAGCAGGGGATTATTCCTTTGATATCGAACTTGGAAACACGTTTGTGTATTATACGTTAACTATAGTAGTATGCTAAAATCAATTTTTTAAAATTAAACTAACCGCTTATTTGTTTGCCCTTTCAAACCTATTTCATAGTCTGTGGTAATATCAGAAAGTGAATCATGTTTACTAAAGACCACCACTGATGCACATGACAATGTGTTTGATAAATAGATTGTTAAACTTCCTGTTTTTCATTTCAGATTTATAAAGATTTTTAAAAAAATATTTTAGAGAATTATCATAGAGTTCTTTGTTTATTAACTTGAATTTATTATTAAAATGCTTGATGAAATGTTTAAGGATTTCAATTTCTAAGGGTTATCAACAACCAAGTGAGTGGCGAACCAGAAGTATGATTAAGACCTCGATCAAGTTATTATAATTTACATCGCCATTTTGGTCAAATGACCTCTGAAAACCAGTATGTACTAAATGGGCTCTGCCAAAGAATCCCAATCTATAGTTAATTAGCTCTACAATGCTTTCCGGTTTTCAACGGCTACTCAATTTAGGTTAGTCCTTGATTTTAACTGTAAAAAGTCCATCAATCTTCACAAACCCTCCGTATAGTGATCATGATTCATCTATTTTAGGCTGACAATAGTGAAGAAAATATTTACGCATCTTAGTATGGTCTAGTGTGAAAAATAGTATACCGTAAGCAGTCACTTCTCAAATGCTTTATGTTGTCATTTGAATCAATGACCTGAAGCACTGAATACAAAAGAAGCACTCTCAACCTCTCGGAGGCATCACGTTTAGTCAGTTGACAGTCATTCTTTTGATAAAGTAACTCAATACACTTAAACTCATTCCTTTTGGTTATTTTCCTTTCTTACTATGTGCTGGCTTCATTTTCATAATCTATTACATAATTCCCGTATTACGTAATCGTTATCGTCTCTTTTCACTTATTATTCCCATAGTTTTATTTGACTCGTAGCCTATTTCAACCAACCATTAAATAACAGGAAGCACTAGACCATTGTTACATTCTAACACTGAACTTTCCAGAAGTTCTCATTTACAACTACAACGGGGTCTAAAATGTCAATCATTCGATACCTACTCAGTAGTTTGAAGTTAAATTGTCTACCATAGGGCTCGAATGTTTTGTGTTCGATCCCCAATGGGGTCATGAATGTGCATTATTAGAGTCCTATACTAGAACAAAACTGCTATTCAGCAAATGCTGGCTTCAAATATTTGTCTAAGGTCAATTCCTAATGTAAGTTGGAAAATAAATGAATAATCGTCACCGAAGAAAGTCATTAATTTCTGCAGAAATTTGATTTACTACGTACACAAGAAAGTAAATCATGTGAATTATTATTGTACATAACACTCATAAATAATGGTATAACTAGTTAATATGCATTTTTGTTTCCAAGTGAATTATGAATCTTGTTTCTTGGTTTGTGGGGTAGTTTATAACATAATTTTATTATGGTTAACATACCATAAAATATATTTTGGCTTAATTATAGATAATTATGTTTTCCCGCAATCTTGTAATTAAATCAAAATAATTAATAAAACTAAACATATTAAAAAGCATAAAATAATTTATTCAACGATGAGAACTTCTTCGATAAGTTCAATTTCAGTGTCGTACAATTTTACGTATATGTAGTAGATTATAGTCTAACAAATAAATTGTATCTCTATAAGAATTTGATTAACTGATAGTTGAAATCAGAATACACTATTTTAAATACAGGAGGACATTTATAGAACATAAGAAATAGATAATCAATTAGGTAAAAAATGGAACTGTTAGTATTGTGAAGTTAAAGTAAATATATGTGGAAGGTATTGAATCTATTAATATTTTTGATTGAATTCTGTAAGTTATCTTTAATAATGAATACGAGGTTTAACATCCTGCGCCTACTATATATTGTAGAATCGATGATGTAAATAACGTGTTCAGTTTTGCTGAACTACACAAGTAGATGTTTCAGAATGCGATGGAAATGTGGCCTTGACGACCAACTTAAGTACCAAGCCTTTCATTAGCAGCTGAGGCGATATACTATTATTTATGGGACGAGATACCAGAATTCAGATGAATTCGGGAGTAGTAGTAGCATAAGTTCTGTTGAAGTTCTAAGTACCGCATATAATACAGTTTGTAATAATTGTTAAAACTAATTATGTCTTGGCCTGACGCAAATTTTTGAAAATAGCAATATATTCTAGTATCTTAACACTCTGGAATAAACACATTATGATAAAATGCTCATAAACCACATGTATCATTACGCTTGATTTTTGACACATTCTTATTGTACCAATCAAAAGCTAAATGTGATATAAAATCAGTAAATACATCAACGTAAAAAGTGGATTTGAATTTGTTGGAATGACAGCATATACGTACATAGCAGTTAAGCATGCGGTGTTTCCTGAAATGACATGATTATTTACTTATATTCTACCGACGGGAAATATTGACTGCAAATGCAAATAAATAGTATAAAAGAAAATGGACATATCGATGGGAGTAGGTAAAATGAAGCGGCATTTGCTTAAATAGACTTTGAACATATACTTTATGTTTATCAATAAATATTTTTCAAAAATGGATACATGAAAAGATATACGTTTGGTTTGATACTAAGAGCCATGCAACTGGCTACACTAAAATGGGCCGTCACATGATAAATTAATTTTATGCAACAAATTGGTGAGTTAAGCATTTAATCACTTTAGCTAACACATATCCCTTGTTTTCATTGATACCCCTCTTGAGGACAGTTTGTGGAAAATATCTCCTTCAATTTACGGTGCTCCTTACAAAACGTTTACAACGGTACCACTGATTAAAATTCATCACTTTCAGGTATAATTTTATTTTTTTCACTAGCCGATATAAAGGATACATAATCACGCATTAATTATGTTCTAAAATCACTGAATCAAATTTTTATATGATATTCTGTAATCAAAAATCATTATCTGAGCGGTTAATAATCAAGTTGAAATTACACAGCGTCTCTATACGATGCAATATACACTAGGTTTGAATTTAATTGGTTTACTCATGTCTTCTAGTTCACATTTCTCACTTTGTGTTAGCTTATGGAGTAAAATGTACAAAGAGTATAACTAAATTTAATATGTGCTGGTAAAGATTATGTTAATGACTCATGAATAATTTTGACACATCCAGGATGGTTTTAGTAGTTAAGTTGATAAGTGATCTTCTTTATGAAGTTTTCAGCATGTGTTATTCATAAACATAACTTTACCGATTGCTGTAGCCATTTCATATGAAACATAAATCTGTCAGAACTCGTTATAGTTTCTCTTGGTTAGGGCGAATTCTCTATGATATCATGTTTTTAGTGATGCATGGTATATTAAACAACACTGTATTATAAAAGACCTTTATTTTTTTTATGATCATGGGTGCTTATTGTTAAGCAGTTTCATTATACAGTGAAGTAATTATCGAATGAATACTGGTTTTCAGTTGCTTCAATTCAAAGGCTTAATGTATCCCAAAATTTACAAACAAATGGTTAAGAGACCATTGTGTCACCAGCTTTTTATCAACTTTCAATCAACGTGCATATATTTATTTGCGACAAAAAAACATAAGGAAACTTGTTAAACACATAAAGTCACTGTATACACAAATGTTTTCACCATTTCGGAGGTATCACAAGAACTTCAGTGTCGCCTAAGGTGTCGTACTTGAGAGGTAGAAAGGATATTTTCATAGCTTAGTTCATTTACAATGAGAAAGTCATGTTATTACTTATGTTTTGCAAAATTTAAAAAATAACACTTACTTTACTGCTCCCGCATGGTGTTCCCTCAGCCCAAGCCGTTTCCATTGGTAAACATGATCTATGTTCACTATCTTGACAATATAGCTGGCGACAAGCCGGAAGCTAATTATTAAGATAAAAGTTATTATTAGTACGTAGTCAAGTAAATTATAATTTCCGTACATAGATCAAATCTTTACAAGCCAAGGAAAAAAATGAAAACGTGTTTCTTCAAAGTCATCAATAGTCAGTGACATTTTCAAGGGTTTACCAAAAGTTTAAAATAATGCGAAATGGAATATCGTCTAATAAACTTTTGAAATCACAAATAAGGTCAAATATTTATGTTGACTGTCATTAAAATTCATGGATTATTTTTTTGTTTTGGTTAGTTCACCATATGAAATCATAGTGATTTATGGTAGTTTTTGTAATTGAATATAATACAGGTGCTCAACTGAAATATCGGCTAGATGTATTCGTATTAATTATACCAGCGAGCAATTCGTCATTAAATGTTGACCAAGTAGCTTTAAACTGTCGCCTTTGTCATAGAGTTTAAAAGATTCTGTTTTTTATCCTGAGTTAAGTATTAAATGGACTTTGTCACTGAAGAGTTTTAATGTAAGACGAAATAGCTCTTCAGAGTTTCCTTGTTGATGAAATGATTTGTCCGGTAGCGTCACTTCTTGATGAAATTTGCTGTTCATACGTGACAAACTATCTCAAAGACAATCACTGCATGGTTTGAATTTTTTCGAATGTCTTTGTTGAATAATATTTAGGTTTGGGTTAAAATAGGATGACTCTACAGTGCTCTTTGATTTCTAAGATTTTTTCTAGCTAATGATATGAACTATTTTTGTACAAATCATTTTTTCAGTTCTCATTTACAGATAATTCAATCATATAAATATGTTGCGAAAGTAATGGTATGTTCACCGAGTAACATTGTTCACTGACCGTGCAAATTTCAAGTTTGTAATATGAAAATATTTACTGGATTTTCATCCGATTGATTTTAATCATTCGACGTTAAAATGGCACATTCTTAGTTTCGGTTAGCTGAGTATATTGTATCCGCTCAAGCAAACTTAATCTCCATCTATATTAGGGGTAAATTCATGAATATGAGTTTTTTGGAATATAAAGACTAGTAGTATTATTAGACTAGTAGCTAATAATAGTCAAAATCGGGTTATTGTAGATATTATAGTAATTTAATAATTGAATTCACGGATCATTTGAAGCTAGACCACCATGGAAAACCTAGAAGCACTGGACGGCCGATTCGTTCTGCTCAGGAGTCCTACACTAGGACGAAACGGCTGTCCAATGTTTCCAGGTTTTTTATAATTGTTTAAATTTAGCACATGTTTTTATTTTCTCAAAAGTATTCTCACATACGTTAAAAAAGTTGTAATTATTTGGTCTCGGCAGCTAAGTAGATAACGTATTGTCGTTTTAAAAGCGAATAATACTGTGTTTCATTGGGGGTGGGAATACCTACAGTGGGGTTCATGTATATCCAAGTGTAATAAGTCGAAAAAGAACTGATGCTAATCTTAGCCATAAATGCAAAACTGATAATATCACAGTAGTTCGTTTTATTGAAGAGGTTTTATGGCGTTCAGTTTAAGTTATAGGTAGCACTTGACCTAGATTTATCTCATTTGAGGTGCCCTTGAAACCAAGCAGAATTGGATAGGTATTTTGTTTCAGTATGGGATTCGTTAACAATTGGTACTTATGAACTAAGTACAGTTTGAACTTTGGCTCTCTCTCTTCAGGTGTAAATGTTGTGGGCTAGCTTTCTACAGTAAAATTTCAAGCCTGGTCAGTAAGCCATATAGCATTGTGAACACACATTATTAATGATGACAACTATTTTATTCCCGACGTGCTTGAATTTCATTCATTACAACCGTGTAGGCGAACTTGAGGAACATCCCAAAGTAAGTCACTACTAATCTAACTGTTCAAACAATCTGCAAATTATTAGGGGTCGTGGATGCTTGCTGTTGATGATTTGCAAGGTGGGGTGAAACAGTTGCCCTTAGCATTTAATTAAAACCCATATGAAATCAACCTATGATGAATACTGCCTACAAAGTAAATTGGCATTTACAAAAAAACCCTCAAATAAGCTTCAGCAGTTAGCTCACTAATGCATTACTTTAAGATGTCCTCAAAGTACCAGTGAGACATTGTTAATGCTGAAGTTCAAACACGTTAAATATATATGAGTTCCAGGGTGAACATTAACTCTGAGACGCAGGTACATCCAGCTGACGGGTCATAAATATGACGAAACGCATATCCTGGATTCCATTGTCACCCATCATCCATATCTATTTATTATATTTGTGACTTAAGGTAATATCGAGGCAGTCGGCATAAGATGCACATATTCCAATAAGAGGTTGATCAATTTCAGACGCAAACATCAATGGGAAGATTCAAACAACCAATTTAAAAAATATATGAATATATTTGTTATCACAATCCTTTTACTAAATGCTAAATCTAGTTAAAATTATTAGGTAAAACCCTTGACTTGATATTTGAATAATATATGGAATAACGTTGAAATATCTTACCAAGACAAGGTATATAGAAAGCTGGAAATTTTCAGACTAGATACTGTACTGCTAAATTAAGTTCATATTAAGCTTTCAATAGATTATGAACTGATTTCATCCTATGATATCACAATTTTATAACAAAACAATTATATAATTGAAATATCACATTTTTAACTTACCATCTCACCACAGAATTGTGTTCCTTTAATTTTTAACACAAATTCACATTGTTGATTAAGTGAGAATATTTGCCCAGGACGATTATCCATAGATTGACTAGCTAACTTTTCAGCTGAATAAAATGTTGTTTCAGAGTTTAAATGTCTTAAACAATTAGCAGCATTTGATCTAATCATTTTAAAATTTAAAAAAAATGACAACAGATATTGTTACCAAAAATGAAAAGTAATTGTCATAATTAAAAGGATGCTGAAAGAATTGTAGATTTCAGAGTTATCTTAATGTTTACATTTTTGTTGGATAGCTATTTGGCAGTTGAGTTATTATATGTTTACATATTTTTTTCTTTTGGTTTATAAACGTTTGTTGTATAAGTTCCCTTGTTTGAGTTGTTTTTTTAATTAGTTGCAGACTTAGTGTTTATGTTAATATGTATTATTGTATGAGTTTGAGTTATAAGAGGCTATTAGCAATGAAATAGAGATCTGCTTTCTGTGATCACTTATCAGACTGAAGCCTGGGTTATAGAGAAGCGGGATCCCCTTGACCCAATAAGTGTTTGATTATCCCATTCATATCTGATGGGGAATCTTTGTCAGTCGAATCATGTGACTGTTTACATGATATGATATTCGTCTATAGATGAAACACATATATACGGAGTGGTGAATACTAATTCTAATTCTGATTGGTGAATCTTACTGAGTAGTATCAATTAAACCAAAATTATAACAGTAATCAAAATGGAAAATCCCAGAAAGAATTAAAAATAATGGTTACAACACATCGTATTCAATAAAGAATTGGTTTAAATTATGACTAAACACTAATCTTTAAAAGTGTTTTTTGAAACAAAATGAATCCAAGGAAAGCAGTCAACAATGACTGAGTAATAGAATAAATTCAACGATTATTTTTCCCCTTAGACCTATCCTATCAATGATCAACTCACCGCATCATAAACGCACACTGATTAGCAGAAAAACTAGAACCGATCCGTTGGAGATTAGCAACATATGTGTTAAAGGATTCATTCCAGTTTGCTGAAAGACTAAATCGTACGAATGTTACCGATAAGTCCATGGTTTCTTTTGATGTAACATCCTTGTTCACTAATATACCACTTTTTGAAACTACTGATGTATTTCGTCAGAATTATGGTCTTCTACCTTTATCAGCCCCAGAATTCAAAAAAGCTACTATTAATATGCGCAACAGACGTTCATTTCCAGGTTAATAACACCATATATCGTCAAATCGATGGCGTAGCAATGGGAAGTCCACTAGGTCCAATTCTAGCGGATATTTTTATGGGGTATCTTGGAAAGACGGTGCTTTAACAGGCGATTAACGAAACGACCTAATACTCCAGATATGTTGATGACACGTTTATTGTCTGTAACAATAAACAGCATGCAATCTGCTTGCTAAAACTCTTCATTAATGTTCATCCTAACATACAATTCACTATGGAACACGAATAGAATGACATGTTCCACTTTCTTGATGTTGCTATAAAAGGTAGGAGAGACGGGACAGTCCAACGTTTGGTTTATCAAAAAAGTATATGGAATGGCCTTTACCTGGATTTCAATAGTTTTTGTCCACTCAGTTACAAGAAGGCATTAGTTAAAACACTATTTTATAGGGCAGAAAAGACATGTACCACTGATAAACTTGAAGAAGAATTGATGAACGTGTAAAATGCTTACGAAACAACTTTTACCCACAAAAGTTTATTGAAAAATATAAAAAGCCTAAAAAGGCAATACTGAAGTAATTACGGTCAATACAAAACCAATAACTATAAATCTTAACTTCAAAGGCGATGACGTTGCAAACACAATCAATAGGAAACTGAATACTGCACTAGCCAGAACTTATCTGGCGGCCAAACTTCTAATTCTGTATAAAACAACATATTCAATAACTCAATCAAAGGTTGATAAGCATCCTTTTTATGTTACCTCCAATTGCATTTATAAATTTACATGTACCTGCCAAATAAGCTGCATTGGCCGAACAGAAAGGAGGCCATATCTTAGATTTTTCGAACATGTTCCAACAAGCCTCAGAATAAGACTCTAAGACTCTAAACAGTTCAATCACCAAACATCTCCTTGATACGAGACATCAGGTCGATACCCTGCAATCATTCAAGATGATCAGTAAGCAGCCAAACTCCAGTTTTCTGAAGCCGTTGGCATCAGGTGTCAAAAACTGATTTATGTGTTCAAAAGGAGATGGTTATAAATCTTTTCTTGCCTTGATGACAAATATTCCTTCATTGCATCTTAAAACCTTTATTTAACTCTATCTTGCATTTATTACATCATTGTGCTTTTATTTCGATTGTCTTCCACATTAGTAATCTTATTTTGTTTACTGAGCTTTACCAAATTTATTCTTATCAGCGTTTACTCATTATGTAATCACTTGATTTTGGCCGTTTGAACCGTTGTCACAATCAATGTTTACAATATTCAGTCTATTAAATTTACTTACACCCTTGCTATACTATACGAGTAGGTCTTTATTAAAACTTTCAACCAAACCCTCTCATGTAAGTAATTTAAACCATTTATGTAATTGTGATTTTAAATATTAGAGGTTGTAAGCAGCTGACGAGAACCAACGAAATAAAATGAATTCATGCTATTTTGCTAGAATGTTTGTTCTTGCTCTTTTCAAAATGATAAAGGGAACTATGTGTATGAGATTATTTTTAATCGATTGATAAGCCTTTTCTTTTCAGAATATTTCAGTAATATCATCAAAATGGGTAACAATTACATAATTTTCATTCTAGAAATTAGAAGACCATTTTGATAATCCAAACTATCATATATTCATTAGCTTCTTGTATCAGTAATGATTACTAATCAACCTTATATATATTTTACTAGTGCTTGTACAATACTAACTACATTAAACAGTAATGAAATTATTAAATAAATTTACTTAATTTACATCTGATTGTTCACATGTGATCCACACGAAAGATATGTGACATTGTTTATTCTAATGAGACAGATATTTTCTTTCACAAAAAGGATGAACAAATCACAAAACACATAAATAAAGTTTAGAAACCACTGTAACACGATTATTAAATACAAATGTGTAGGAAAACAAAAGATTTTTTAAAAGTGATTAGTTGTAGATGCTTTACATTAATTATGGGAATATGGGAATAAGATCATTTCATCAGTATTAACAAGCTAAATCTGAATTCTGCTTTACAGTTTCTAAAATCGAAATATAACATTGGAAACAGTCACTTGAAAAAAATAATCATCTTCGTTTCGGTCTCACGGGTTAAATGTAAATACAAGTAGGAGTTTTTAATTTCCAGTTGTTAATATTTAAGACTACAATTACTCCTGATCTGTTATCATATGGATCGTCTCGAAGCAAAATAGAGTGATTAATTATAGTCTTGACTATTAACAACGGGAAATTACATACTTTTAATAGAACCTTCGTACTTGTTGACTAAATTATGGATATTTAGTATCAATAGCTAGGTGGTAAGCGCATCTCAGAGTGAAAATCAAAAGTGAGATAAAGGCCAGAGCAACAGATGAGTACCATAAAAGAAAAAATCTAACTTCTCGGATTTCACTGCTAACTACATACCAAATATATTTAATATAATTATCTGCCTGTGAATTTCACTTGCTGGTTATATTATCCTGTTTAACATTTCGACTGATTTTCTTCAAATTACTCTCAGTTTGTCATTTGAAAAAAAGAATCACTAGAGTAAATATTCATTTGTATAATTATTTTGACCAATATAGTATGTCTAAAGTGTAAAAATGTGTTCTGTTAATATTTCATTCTAATTATTCATATGTGTTACAACTGGGGATATATTTAATCTCATATGATTATTAATCATAGTCACATTGTCAAAGCTAATTCACTATGGCATGATAGTGTTTATTTGATAATATTGGTCGTCTGAATTACATTTTCAGTCTATTTCTTCCTCAAACTCTAGAATCCTATTTTTATTTTACCTTACCTATTATTAGGATCGTTCAGCTTTTATACAAAATGTTTTATTGCACATTTCTAATTATTGTAAGTGCCTAAACACTTTATCAATCGTTGAAATATGTAACTTACTATTAGACAATGACAAGTTATATCATGGTTTTATCATAATGATCTTCTAAAACAATGTAATAAATATATGATATAATATCAAAAATCACTGAATCTGGAGTGTACGTTTCAGAAACTATTTAAAATGTTGCATATATAAATCAGATTCAATACGATAACGTATTAAGTTTGAAGTTTTAGTGTTGAGTTTAAAAAGGAGAAAAATGCTCGCTCGTGATATTGGAAGAGAACACGCTTCATCACAAATAGATATGTTAGTTAATTTTTTATAAAAGCGAACAAAATTCGGAGATATGTTAGGTTGTATCAGATAATAATTAAATATATTGTATGATGGCCTTTATCCAAGCGTAGATGTTCAAAACATTTAATTCAATTTACACAAAAAGTGGAAACAACAAAAATGTAGATAAATATTAAAATGAAAGAATTTTCAAAAATTCTATTTGTAACTCACTCTATAAATAAGTGTATAGCTTGTCGACTACACGCAGACCATCTTAAAGGAAATTGATCAAAGTATAGTGTACCAGACATGATGGTATCTCGTCGAACGAATTCGTATTGATGAACATCAGAATTACGATAGTCTCTGTAGTTCCGTTCATCACCAGATTGATAATACGGGTATGTACCTAATTTTAAATCGTGAGCGCTACTTCTTGTTTGCGGACCAACCATATGATGATTCTGTTCTTCCAATCCACAACTAGAATTTAGTTCAAAATCATGTTTGGCTCCAAGCCTAGAAAATCGCGTATATATAAGACGATTGAAATATTACAACAATATCTGAATGAAGAAATATATTCACTATCATTCCAATATTTAATTCATGAAGTTAATAAATCTTTGAAGGGTTTATTCAACTAGATCCGAAAATGATACAACTTACTTTATTTTATTAATTTATTACGCACAAACACATTTTTGAAAATATACACAAGAATTAATTTCCCTTTTTATGTATTCAGGCCTTCAAATGATCAGTCTCGATTGGTATATGTGTGTCCTGAATGGTTTGTCTCAATGCTGCAATCTGATCATTTGTAAAGTGTTAATCAGTGAAGGAACAACAACAGTAGGATGCAAGCATATTTGACTACTGACCGTCAAGTAGTACTAAATGCGCTTGTTGCAGTCTATCGCTAGCAGCAATCCAACTTTGCAATCAAGAATGTCTCAAGCAATCACTTTTTCTATGCTTTAGAATTAAGATCGACCTGAAAAGCTTCTGTCAATTTATTGGATTGTAATGGTCGAAATTGAGAGCCATTGAAAAGGAGCTGTTCATCATAACTAGATAGCTTAATGAATGAAGCACAGGAGTTTAAACTTGTGTCACTTTCCATCCATTTGTATGAATTTATTAAAATTACATTAATTATTTTCTGAATAGCCTTTTTATTGATAAACTTTAAATACAAATAAGTTTTAATATCATCAGAAAATGTTTTGATGCATTAGTTCAAACGGCTCTTAAATTCAGCGTTGATAGGTTATTTTTGGTCACGTTTATTATTACTGAAAATTTTAAGTTTCTTATAAGGTAGAAATAATATATTTGGCTAGTAGGTCTATTTAACAGTGTTTCACTTAGTTTGATGAATGAGTCAATTAGCAGCTTGATATCTATCTATAATATCTGATAAATTTAGAAAACTTGTTGTTTTAAATGTCTTATTACTTGTAGTACAACGCATTTATACCTAATTTATATCAATGTACTCTAAGTATATTCTAGCTGTAATAATGAATAGTAAACCTTATTTTAGAAAAGATGTGATGTGGCTAGCAGTGAAATTTAGGACGCGCGTTTCGTCCTGCTTGGGACTCGTCAGCTGGATGTACGTGCATCCCGGGGTTGATGTTCACTCCTGAAAACGAGTCCTGTACTGTAAGCCTTAATATCAGTGGCTTATTCACTTAACAACTGAGTCTAGTTAGTCACTCGTTTGTGTGACGTGTGAGTTTTAGTTCATTTTGAAACGGATTGGATTTTTCGGTTGACTGAAAGTTGGTGCTAAGTAAGACTTATCAACCTTCAGACATAAATATCACCAATGTGATAACACAACCCATTTTAAATTAAACTAAGTATACATTGGCCCAGTTAATGACTTGGATTTCTGTGTGCGCATGTATTATCACTTACGAATTTATTTCTATTTAAACCTGTGATTATCCAGTTTTACTCTATTATCCAGTCATTAACACGTTAAACTAAAGCTATACGTTCCTTATGATCCTTGACTTACTGCATTATTGATTGCGTTAAACAGTTATGAGTGATTTAGATCAATGATCAGATTTAATCGCATAAGTTTGATTCTAATCTGAATGTAAAAAGCTGTTGTTCCAGTTATGCTCTTCAATTCTATTCAGCCTTTCGCTTTGGCTGTTTAAGAATCGTTCTGTGAATTCCCTGACATATGAAAATATCACTAGAAATTGTCAACATCTCGCTGATTTTGGTAGTTGAAATACAGCGATTGTTAGTCTTCTTTAAAATACTTCAATTTTTATTTATGCTTCAAAGCTTCAACACTTCGTTTAGTTTACATAAAGCGAAATTTTGCCAATGCATTATATGAATGATTTTGGTTAGAGTATGACTAGTGCTTGGGATTATAATGATAAATGCTATGATCTTTTTTAATCTATCTTTAAAATTTTTGTATCCAACTTAGCTTCCTTACGCCTGTTAATCCTATTTGAGGAGCATAGGCTGCCCACCAGACAATAGATGTTGAGCATATTGCGTAGACAACTATTTATAAGTACTTGTACCTTCAAGAAGATGATTGTAGTAGTTCTTCACTTTTCAGCTCCATACAGTAGGACTGTCTTGACATTCGTATTGAAGATTTTTCCAAAGTAGCTCTTTGTTGGTAAACCCTAGTTCAACTTAATATTTATTGCAATCGATTGTCTGAGTTTATTTCCGAGTATCTAACATCAGTTTTCGATAAATATCAGTAGTAAAACTGATAAAGGTATTTGAAATGGAGTTTGGTCAGCTTAGAGGTCTCTTAAAATATTAATAATGGTAATGTAGTAAACAGTTCCTTCCAAAAGCTAAATACAGTTTTAGTAGCTATCCAAACATAGCTAGTAAATACATTTAAAAGTGTAAGAGAATGATAAACTGCCTTATGGATGTGTGGAAAATATTATCTAAAAGATCAAGAGGGATGGACTTAATATATCAACTATATATTTTGTAATTTTTCATCTGTTGTGACATAGTAACCTATAACATTTGTGTATGATTCCTTAATTAGTTCCTAATTATGTAGTTCATTGTAGATTTGGATGAATGAGTGGTACGGTAGATATGTAGATGTATTTAAGATTAAGGTCACAGAAAGCTAACCTTTCGAAAATAACTTGTGCTGTTGAGATCAATCACTTATGCAGAAGTCTTATTTATCATATTTTTCAGCATCTATATCGGCCACTTTGTCTTTCAAAAGTACATGACAGGAGGTATTTTTCATTATAAATACCCCAAATTATTTCTCTCTTATCTATCCAAGACACAACTGTTTTCTTATAAAAAGTTTTTAATGGGTGTCAACTTATCACTACATAATACAGTAATAATGATAATATTTTAACTTACTGATGTCCCAGTTCGTGTGCTATTATATATCCTGTTCCAAATCCGCGATCAAGAACAGCTAAACATGAACTTTCTGGGTTACACATTGATCGATAGTGTGCGACTCCTGCATCAATATGTGTTAAGTAATAACGATCAAAATTAAAAACAAAAACTGTACACACTTTTAGGCAATTTGTTGAAAGCAGAAAAGTGTTTTAAGTATGGTAAACAAACATTTGATGATAAGAGATATTCAACAGGAACTCCTTACAACTAAGTATGCACGTTTAAAGATGTGTAGATAAACTGCTATTTTAAAGCAACAGTAAATACTTTTAAAAACTGGTGGAATGGATTTTATTGAAGATTTGTTCAGAGAGCTGGTATAAGTTATTTTCGAACTCAAACAGAATTTTCACAGATTTAAATCATGAGTCAGTTGAAGCTAGACCACCATTGAAAACCTGGAAGCACTGTTGAGGAGTCCCATACTAGGACGAAACGGCCGTCCAGTGCTTCCAGGTTTTCAATGGTGGTCTAGCTTCAACTGACTCATGATTTAAATCTGTGAAAATTTCTAAAATCTCCACAAAACCCCTTCTGATCAAACAGAATTCACAATCGATTGATCACTGAACTGTGACTATTGTCAAGTTTGTCAATTTCTTTAATGCTGAGTGGATTCTATGGATAATGTTGCTATGTGGCCACTAATCTAAGTGACTCAGGATCACGTGCACTATGTTGAGATACTGGGTGGTTAAAGGTAACCGAGAGAAAACGTTTAACCTAGTTTTCATGTTAGTAATCGCAAAGTGTACCTAAAATATCGAGGGAATTCATATTCACTGACAAGTTCGAACCTGCATCACTCTACTTAACAGACAGAGGCATTATCCATGAGGTATTGAGAGTGTAATTGCCCCCCAGTAGGGAATTGCAGTATAGCTTTGATTGATTTTACTATGAAAATCGGAACTGTTTATGACAATATTAAGGCTGATGAAATTGACAGTTATTTGTATAGACATTTGTCTGAGTATTTCAAATGTCCCAACTATCCCACGCCTTTCTGATCAATCTCGATCTTCTGTCACATTTCATAGAGCATATTTTCACGAGTTGATACCGTTCAAAAAACTTTCTTTCAATGTTAAAAAGTAAATTTAACTGCTCCTTTGTCCTGACTTGAGAAGTTCTATGAACAAAAATGATCAAGCTTCTAAAAAGTCGAATTAAAAGCCTTTTGAATTAAATGCCGGAAAAGTTATAAACAAGTTGCTTAAAATCAGATCATAATAGATTGGATAATCATTTATCATTATAAAATTCATGCACAGCTCAACTTACCGAGCGCTGTAGATTTGAAATGTCTAAAATAGAAATTGTAGATTGTTTAGTAAAATTATTTTTGCGTTCTAGAGGTAATGGAGGGGTTTTTAGAAAATACATCTGACGTATTTTCTGTCCTACAAGAACATTATTATGCTTCACCCAAGTAAATATTATCGATTTTACCGCGGATTGTGGTCAGCAAAAACATTACTATGTAACTGCTAAAATATGTTACCTAAGATGAATATTTCATATTAATATGATATTTGGGCTTTATCACTAGTTTTTGGATGGTTTATGAAGATTCATACTACTTAAAAATAATTTACGTTTCTAAATAACGTCCTCTGAAAACTGAAGGACAAAAACTACAGTGCGGATCAGCTGTCCGATATTATTAAATTAAATTCAAGACAATCGGGCATCTCGGCAGGCAATCTAACCGAATAAGTGATTTGATTTGGTGAGATAATGATTAAGCATCACCTGAGATACAGTCATCGCTCTTGTCATCGTTAAAAACCACAATTCAGGATAGATTTTTCGAGCAATATTAAATTATCCTTGTGTTATATGATGATTTGCATAAATCCTAAACTCTGGTAGTTTATTATTAAATACATAGTCTAAATAGTAACATGTTCAATGAAACACCTACAATTCCCGTTTGAATGTTGTACAAGAAAATTTATTTTCATAACCGAAGTTGTTACGCTAAATACTGTAGTTGTCATTGATTTTCGAGGAAAGAAAACCAAACTTTGAATCATCATTATCAACCATAAATATAAGCAAAGGTATTCATCATCGATTTGGAACATAATTCTCCTTGCTGACAGCTAGTTAACTAGGTTTATGTTCAACTATGACACTGATGTTTGTAACATAGCTGAAAATAAAATATAACCTAATACAGTGAGTTAATCTAATAATTTTAGTTAGTCAATGAGCTTTGTAATGATTATTTCTCAATTTCACTTTATTTATAATCGGAAACAAAGAAGTAGGTAAAAACTGTCCTATATGTAGATTTAGAAACTTTAAATCAGCACAAAAATTTTATAGAGCTTGAGATTAGCGCAGCAGACTGCATTAGATTGCTTTTCCATGAAGATATGAGAAAAGAGAATTCAGAAACTTGAGGAGGTATTATTCCACCATCTGAAATTAAGATTGATTAACTATTAATTTCTTTTCCGACTATGTCTGAAAAGCATTATATCTATATATTGTAGTTATATATACAAAGGATTTAGTGCCAATGTGGTGTAAGAAATATTGTAGAAATGTTGATGTAAATAGGTTAACTTGACCATTAGACTAAAGGATAAGTCCTTAGAGAGTTTTTGAATAGCAATATATTATGCTCAAAACTGAAATCGTCATTGAGATAAAGGAATCATAAGTATCTAGGTGTTTGAAAATAAACGGTATTCAGAATAATGTGATAAAAGTATATTGTAAATATTCATCGTGGTCATTCATTAGTAATGCATTGCAATAATGTCGTTTATTGTATTAAAATATCATAAGACTTATCATCGTAGTATTATTGTCTAAATTAGTATGAAATGATAGCGTGTATTCATATTCATAAGAAAATTCGAGAAAAAATAAATAATTTTCTAAAACCTCACCCAACATTCAATAAAATCGCTGAATCCCAAGTGTACGTTGGCGTTCTTAGTCGATTAACCCATTTGCAAAATCTGGCCATAACTTGTTCTTGTTTGCTGTTTAACCAGTCTTCAAGATTATGTCTGCGCTAAAAATATAATAATAAATTGTGCAGAACGATAAACTACTAGCAAAACTAATAGCAAGAAATAATATTTAGTAACAAGTTGTACTTTGAGAGACTTTCATTCATGAGAACTGATCAGCCAAAAATTGACTGCATTATGATGTTGATTAGTATTGGGTTATCTAATAATTTTGAAGTGAATACGACTTTAAATGTGCATGAATTAGACAATTTGGATTAGTAAATGGGGTAATATATCGTTCTATGAGACAAAATGCATTTCTGCCATAAAAAACTTATCTCTAAATTAGAAAAATAAGCACCCTAACCAAGTAATAAGCGTCTGTCCATTAATGAATTAACCCAAGATACAATGAAATAAATTACTGTTGGATGCTACGGCCTACAGTTGTAGCCATTTTAGCAATAACACGGTGTCACTTGGCAGACATTGAATGCAATTTTATTTGGAATTGGAAATATTCATGATGAGTTCCAACTGCGTATTTCATGGATATAATTCGAAAATTTAGAATCCTAGACAGCAAGCCAGTACTTTTTAACTATTTACTCACCAATGTCATTTTGCGATGAAAGTTCACTTTGGGTTATAAAGTGGATTGACAAACCACTGCTTACAGTTTTATTAACAAGGTCAAAATATTGCAATTATTCAAGCCTACCTTCTTGAATAATGACATCGAGAAACAATCTGATACCAGACGGGTTTACAACTACTAACAGAGTTCGTTTAAATATTTTCTTTTTTTAAAAAGATTTACATAAGTAGTATGTTTAGAAGACTTTTCTGACTACTGCATCCCTTAAAACAGTATAAAACCATATGAAACTTGATATGTCTGTGTCATTTCAGTAACAAACGAAAAGTCTTAAAAAAGTAAATGCTGAATGTAAAAATCTCAAGTAAGTCCTCAGACAGCGACAATAGTTTGTAGATTAGTAGGATGACTTATATGGTATTAAGTTCACTTAGATAGATGATCTGAATGAAAAGCCTTCTTTGTGTTTCTAGAAAATATCGCCAAACTCAACTCATGTCAGACTTTTTTACTGAACTCAGTGAAATATTCATGATTATATCATTCAGCTCAGTGAATGTCACGTTACTAAAAATCTATAACGAACCCAAATAAATCAAATCGAGAACGAATCTTGATGGCTTTGCCATGAGCTACCAGTCATTACCATTGTCTTGAGCGATAACTTTTATTATTACTTTTTATTTTAATATTAATTAGTAAAAAACGTGTTAGACTTACTGCGTAAACAGGATCCAAAAGTATAATATCCACAACATTTAGCTGTATTGAATTTTTCAAACTTGGATGCCGAAGAAGTGTTGAGACCTAAATAGGAAAGAACAGAAGTCTTACTAAATTTTGTAATACTTAACCTGATTCGATGTAAAAATTAAAATATGCAGCTTTTCATGATATTTTTTTGGCGAAAAAGGTAACTACTTGAATTCTATCGAACATTCGATGCTACCATGGAATAATGGTGAAAGGTTTATAACTTTGTAATGTGACCGGAAACTACTAATCAAATTTTCGTTTTTAAGTCGTTGTGATCAACATCAGGTTGATTTCAAACATAGGAATTTATTTCCTTGAAAAATATGCTGGATACCATTTTTGTAATATCCATATTCTAAATATTCTTATTAGATAACCAGTTGAATAATTAAGGCATGCGAAATATAATTAATTTGTGGCTGTATTATTAAGCTGTTTGTTTTTAACTAAACATCGATAGGTTTGATCAAATTAACCCATCTTTATAAAATGAACCGATAAAAATATTGATAAATAGAAATTTTAACATAATTTGGATTAGTTTACTTTTCTTTAAACCTTTGGTACATAAGGAATTTAAAACGTGGGTCAAGTCTGCTATTTTGCTAGGGTCAAGATGACGATTGAGTAGCATTCCAAAATATTTCAAAATTCTAGGTGGGAGTTATAACTTATGGTTCAAAGATAGTTTAGAATAAAACAGTAACTCACTGATAAGACTGAAAGTGGATTGTGCTGTACACAAATCAACTATAGTTATAGAAATTATACCATCAACGAATTCTAATGTCAACTTCTTTTAGGTTTTTAATGATTCACCGGCTATTGTCATTTTATGATGAAAATTACCATCAAGTTACAACAGAAGGACAAAATTCTTTACGGAAAATAGTTATGTTTCATCTAAATGAATCATGTTAAAGAATTATACAGTTTTTGTTTTTGCGATGCAGATCAAACAATAAAGATCACTAACTTGCATCAATAAATTTAACATTGAAACCACTTTACAATTCGATCTTCATTGTGTCATGATAGAAGTGAATAATGTTTGTAAGTAACTCTAATTACTGCCTATTCTAGCAATCTACAATGGTGTAAATTAATTTTTAAGTACTTCTGAGAACGGATTTAAAGCTAACTACAGAAATTTAGACGTTAATAAATCACCGTACTGGATGTATAAAAACTTAATAGGACTGTAGTTTATTTATAAAGTGTTCCTTCATATTACGGTTTGAATTAAAGACTTGATTTAGACAAAAACCGTAGTCCAGGAATCAATAAACAGACATTTTATTCCAGTACGAAATGTTTTTCAGTAATGTGTATATATGATCCAACAAAGATTTTTACCCAAAACCACCTGATCTAAGGGCGATTCCAACACCATGACAAAAATAGCTGTCTGGTATTTCGTGTTTCTCAACAACTATCAAACTATAGTCAGTCAGTGATGTAAAATATAAAATTCAATGCACTTACCAAAACCATTCACGTCACCAAGACCATATTACCTAACTTCAAACAAAACTAACACTTTGTCCAACTCAAAGTAAATGAAATAGAATTCAAATCCCTAACTCTTTAATTTAGTAATAGAGCATTTCTAAACAAAATCACTGTACTTATTATTGTTTGTTTAAGTTCTATTAAATCAATTTTGATTCGTATAAAAAAGATATTTCATGGTTGGTTTTGCTGATTTTCGTTTTCACAATCTTGATCTTTCATTAATGTTTAACCTAAATACATGAATTTTTAATTAAAGATAATGAAATATTCCTCAACTGTCATGAAATAAGATCAAATAGCTTGTTTAGATTTTTTCTTCTTGATATATAATATCTATTTCGCATATACTGAAATGCGCAGGTATATATATATATATATATATATATATATATATATATATATATATATATATATATATATATATATATATATATATATATATTATATATGCCCAAGTGTACGATAATGAAAGTATGTACGTAATGAGCGTATATATGTTGTTGCATGTAGACATATGTGCTGTGTAGATGAACGTATGCAATAAACATAGACTTGTGTATGTGAAAATTATTTGATTCACTATCATTGTCCTGGAAAAATAAAAATGATAATTGTACGATTTAATACTTGAACTAGTCAGAATAAAATGTGACGTTGAAAGTGTGCATGCATTAAAGATCAGAACTCTTTATAACATTTAGATATACATTAACTGTTTTAGGTTACAGAACAAAGTATCTATATAAGTGATTAGCTTCCTAGTTATTTTTTAATGAGCATATGATACCACTGTTCCAGCTTGGCGTATTGGTAATAATAATAAAATGGTACTATTAATGAAGATGGTGATCAGTGTTTAAGCTTACTACTTCGAAAAAGTTTTTTCTAAATCCTGGTTTAAATAAACTCTGGTCTGGGTTATGGATTCATAGTTAAAATGAGGGTAAGGGTTTACAGTCAAAATCGAAAATCTATAGACAATGAGTGAGGTTGGGGTTTTTAGGCTAGAGTCAGTAGTTTAGGCTTAGGAACCCTATGTTTAGATCGCAGCAGAGAATTTACTGCTAGGGCATAGAGTTACGCACGTTCTGCGTGGAATGTTTCGTTTACTTGATGGACTTAACATCGTTTTAACTGCAAGATGGAAAAAAGATTTTTTTCTTTACCATTTGTAACATTCTGAGCGCTGTATAAGAGTGTTTCGTTTGGGCACTTGAGGTGATAAAATTTTTAAGTTATTTATGTCAAGTTCATGCGAAAACTTGTCTTTCTTATTGTTTTTGACGTCTACCATTTTTTAGATATTAATTATTACTGCAATAACGGATACTTGTCACAGAAGAACGTTGCGGTTCTTGAGACACAAAAAGAATACTGAATTGATTATGGAATCACATTTAATTCACCTTTCAACAACAAAACGACTTATTGATTAAATGCATTCCTTTCTAATATAGATCTTACTGATGTTTGACAATTCTTCAATAAAAAGTAGTGAACAATCAATACTTTGAATTAGAAACAGAATAACTGATTTTCGAAAACCACATGGATTTAATAAATGTGACTCAAACTTTTTTCGTCCCTCTGACAATAAGATTGAACGTTTAACTCTAGAATAAAATTACCTCATACATTATTGTGAAAGATTTACCACAAAATCTGAGGAAATGATAATGAAAAATTGTCTGATATTAAGGACTAGTACCGAATTAAAAAAGTGTGTTTACAAGGTTTTCCGATCAATAAATATTGCGTACAATCACTAAACAACAAAAGATTTCAAATAGTTTAGAATAGTGACTTTATTGCAGTTCCATCAATACTAAAATCTCGACAAGCACGACGTTGGTTTCTACTAAATAACCAATCGGCGTCAAAAGAATATCATTCCTACACTATGTCAGTCTTCTAACTTGAATAGCTGAGTGATGAAATTTGACTGTGATAGTGAGTAAAACAGGTTCTATACTGACATAGACCAATGATTGTTGAAGAACTACGATTGCAGCTTGATAATGACCATCAGCTGGCACGAAATCTAGATCCAATGGTTTATCTCGATTGGATATAACTATGATTTCAGTGGTTACCCAGGAAATGTTGATTTGTAATGTGTAAAGAGGAGAATTCAAAAATACATATAAACTCTCTTCTTACTAACATAAACATTAATTATTTATTAACAAACAATCTGTTAGAGTATAGTGGGTATTTAAAGAAGACGAAATATTTTATGGTGAAATATTTTACGTCCACTTTATCGAATAGATATTACATATATGGCCTTTTGGTTTTTATACTGTCCTATTTAAAAGCCTTAACTCGACTTGTTAATTGTCACATTCCAGAATTATTGTCAATTATTTATCTACTTATTGCTCCATTTTATACTAGTTGTGTGCGCATTATGATTTCTTATTCATGTGTTGTAATCACTTAATTATTGTAAATAATTTTATGCGTTTATAACAGAAATTTTATTGGCCTGATGTGTTTGTGATCCGACTCCGGTTATTAGTGTTTGATAAATCAGTGTTTTAAACAAATAGGTATAATGATTTTTGACATCGTTGCCCATTTGTTTTTGGTTAAGTCATGTTATTGGCCATAGTGAAGGTCACTGGTTTGACGAAGGTTGGGCGAACTTGTGCTTAATTGAGTATATCTGATGATTTGCCTAAAGGACATATAAGAGGATCGATACAATCGTAGATAAATTCTTCTAGAAAAAAAACAATATCATTATGCAATCTTACCGTTGTCATAGTAGAAAGAAGATATTCATTAATTAATGGACCAAATTGTTGTTTCATGCTTTCAGTAACAACAACAAGTAACTCGACTGTATGTGGTTCAACATATTGAAAACTTAATATTGGATTATTATTTTGCTGATTGCCTTTCTTCGCTTCATTATTTACTAATAATTCATTTTTTAATGAGTTTGGAACATGATGAATAGACGTGGCCGACCTGTAGATTGTTGTTGGTGATGATACGGTTAACGATAATGATGGACGATCTATAACAAAAATACTTTTTTGATCCATACGAACTGACTGACTACGTCCATATACATTCATTGTGTAATTTGAGATATTGTTATAATTACTAGCAGTACGATTTCTAATGGTTTGCTTACAGTTAGTGTTCTGTAATCTGGAGTGTTTATCATAATTGTCTCTGAATTGTTTCAATTGGTGTTTACTAAGATGTGATATGAGCATCATATGACTTGCAGTGTCAAAGCGTTTCTCTGGATGATATGCTATATACAGAATATAGATAAAATATGCGTAAAAAATCAGATCGCTTCAATGATCGTTTTGTAAAATATCATGTATAATGATTTATATAATGATTCTATCACACTTGATCGATAGCGGTCATATAGTGGACAGAAACAAGTTGTCCAAAGTTATTTATCGTATTCCCACAAGTTTTCCTTATGGTGTTCGATCTCGTCTCTTACACATAGCAGAAGCAATAGGAATCCGAGCCAACGAGCCAAGTCTTTGTGTTCAGAAGAAATTTGTAACACCCTTATCTCTCCCCTGGCCTTCAGTAATAAATGAATTTATTTATTTATTCATTTTCTGACTTTTTCTTCGTTTATTATTTTTATCCACACCCTCCTACCACTTTATTTTCTCTCATCTATACGTTTAATGGTCCAATTATCTGAACATTTCTTATTACGTCATCTTATAATTTTATGAATGTTATCTCAGTTTCTATATTTTTATAATCATTGACCTATTTCAGATTATGTAACATTGATTTGAACCTTTATTATTCTTATCAAACCTAGTACACCTGTCATCACATTAGCAATGTGTACTTTTCACATTTTACATATTATGTAATCGTTTTCATTGTTATCATTGACTTATAAACTACCTTGATTGGTTTAATAATTTCGTATATGCATATAAATATTACTGTATATTAGAGTAAAGCCTGATGAGGATCTAATCGAAAACAATATTGTTCGCTTTTATATGTTGTTCTAAATTTATAATGATTTAATAGAAATGTTTAGAATCTATAACTTTATTCATGGTGTATCAATACATTCATTATACTTGGTACCAATATACACTGAAATAAACATTGGTTTAGAATACCTTTGTTCAAAAACTGCTTATATATATAGGTTTATTATTGTGAATTGAACTTAAATCGATCTCTTTCGGTATACGTACATAGTGAACAGGTTGTTTCTACATCGCCTTCAATTACGAGTCTTAGGGAAGTTGAATTATGAATAGTAATTGGATTTGGGACATACATTTGATCCTATTTCGGGTTCACTAGCTCTACATACCTGCATCCCTGTGTTGATGTTTACACTGGGGCTCATTAACAATACTTTCCACATCCGAGTACCAATAAGTTATCAACTGGTCTGTTGAGTCTAGAAAGCCACTAGCATATAAAACGGGTAGAAGTTTATACGAGGGGGTTTTAAGTTTTCCCGTTTATGGTAAAACTTATATTAGTTATTGAAACAGAGTATTTTCTACATGAATAGTTATTAGAATACTGCTTGATTTAACTGATATTTTTTATGTAAATTGTCTCCGGGTGCATGCACTATGGAAGTAAGCTTACAACAGTGAGAAAAAAATATGTCAGTAAAATTAGTTAAAACATACTTAATTGTTACAAACTGAGCATTTTCGGTCAGAAAATATGATGTAGTAATTTTCTTTACGTTAGATGACTAAGAAACATAATTGTCAGACAATGTAAAAATCAACAGTCTTTTTTCAAAAAAAAATTAGCAGTTATTTAACTTTTCCAAATTAAAATGACTAAGATCCAGGGGAACATTCTTCTTCTTTGAAACTGGATTATAGTATCCAGGGGTATTATAATCGTTATTACTTATTAACCGTAATAGTTTTTATAGTTGAAAATGTGTACTTGAAATAATAATACTTGATGATTATTTCATCATAACACTTTCTTGCAAACAGTAAATTTGTCCATGAAAATAAAAAATTGAAATAAACTGATTTGTTCTTCAGTGTAATTATATAATTAACTTACATGAATAGGAAGTATAAAATGAATTCATTTGATTAAAATTTGTATTATGAATATGCGGAGTATGTTGTTCTTGATTACTTTCTATAGAAACATTTATAGATTTGTCAGGAGACTAGAAATTAAAAATTAATAAAATAAGAAACATATTATGAGTTGTCTGAGAAAAGAACAAAAACAAATTGATTATTATTTGCGTAAATTTATGTTATTTGACTTATTAACTAAATATCTTGATTAGTCGCTGCCTGAATAGCTAAATAATAATTGTCAGGCTGTTTAGTAGTGGATCGAACCTGTAAAAGAATATCAGTTTCGTTAAGATTATAAGTGTAAACTGGTAAAACGTTTGAGGTAAGCAGGATTTCCTACCAGCTGCTTCCAACTGCTTAACATCTTAAAACAATTCATGTTTTCTCGAGCCATTATGACTGATGAGTAGATTACAACTAGGTTAATAGAATTCGATTATAAGGACTCAATAAATATGACGTTAATCATTAATTGATCATTCAGATGTGTAACGTTCTTCACAAATTATCCATCCAAATGGCAATATTATATTCATTAGAGACTTACTTCGGGATGGATTCCTGGTGTTCCAGTGAAAAGTTTCGATCTGTGAATTTTAACTATGTATGTGATGTGACATTGATTAATTATGGTGATAGATTGGTATAACGTTGTTTCCTAAAAACAATTAAGTTGGAAATACCATTGGAGATTTACTTGCTTTAAAAATCAACAAGTGCCCGTTACTGCAAACTCTCGAGCTGTCTCTGATGTTAATTTAACGTTACACTATTATAAAGGTTATCTTTAAAAACATCTATTAATGAAATATATGTTATCAAATATGATGCAAAGCATTCCGTAGATCATCAAAAGAAACAGCAGCAGGTAAACTGAAAAAGACAATTTTATACGTGGTGAAGATATATCTTCCTTACAGTGATTAAAACGATGTTATTTATAGACAGTTTTTGAGATATAGGTATTGCAATATGTTTGTTAAAGTACAGCTGACTAAAAAAGTTTAATTTCTCATTTCGGTCCATATATCAGACGGTCAGCCAATTCAAATCTCATGTGCATAGTAAACTTCACACAATGCAATAATATTTTCTTTATTAGTGAGATAGAGAGTGGTTTACTTCAACTTTACATAGGATTTTCAAGCATTATAAAATATGAGGTAAAATACGCTCATGAAATCTTTCTAGAAATTTCATGTTTAGAAATTTCAAGCGTCTTTTTGTGTACTGAACCCTATAACTAATCAATTTAGCTTAGAAAGATTCAGAAAAAACATCATCAACTAGTATCTTAATATGCAATTATTTTGTCTGCAAACCTGTAACAAAAAGTACAGCTTTCCGTCAGGCATTAATCCGATATAGCACAAAAATAGACTTTGTATATGAAATAAATTTACGGTGAAATTGATCTCATGAACATAGGTTTTCACTATTTCCTACGTAATTTTAAGTAAAAATTAACCACCTATATTTTATCAGAGAATTTCAAAAGAAACAACTTCACTAAGTTATGGTCATATCAGTACACTATCAGTCGTCTGTCTAGAAATTGATAAGTCGACACTAATAAGATTGAAGAAAATTTACTTAAGAGATAGTTCACTATAACTTTACTGAATTAAGGGTGCATGTATAATGAATCACTGTTAAAAAGACGTTCTACTAGATAACCAAAACGTTATGGACAAGGATGGTTGTGTATTTCCGAAATTAGTTTACTATTGGTTTCTAAACATACAAAATGTCATATGAGTTACTTTTCATCGGCCAAGTTTCGAACAAGAATCAAGAAAAGAATAAAAAAGCTAATAAAACTACCACGATGACCTACAATCTATAGTTGTTCAGTTTCTTTAGATCATGAGTTTAACAGGATAAACGTATGGTATAGAGATAAGCCCATTAGTCTCGAAGTGGTGATTTCGAAGGGGCATATGTGAACTAGTAATGCGCAATTTTGATGAACACTTATAAGCTATAAGCTTCTTCAATTCAAAGGTATATAATGGGACCGTGAATAATAAATGAATATGGATGTTTTAAGATATTACTGTTATTTGTGGAAGTGATTCACTAAAACAGGACTACCTTTAATTGGTTAGAGACTAAATTCTAGATAAATTGTATTAGCAGTAGATCGGTTTATGAATCACTCTGTATCAGGTGAATCGGCTCAGTGGATGTAATCAAAATAATTGTTGTCCAGTGGTAGCATTATTTTCGCTCCAATATACTATGTGGTTTTCAAGTTTTTCCAAGTGTGGAAATGTTAAGGATATCCATCAGAAAACGCAAGTTTCTCCCCTTAGGTTAAATAAAAATTTCACTAAATGAAAAAAACATTGAGTGCCAACCGTTCTTTTAAGTATTAATTTACGAGTAAGCTGCTTAGGCTATTAGAATAAAAATAATGATTTTTCGTATTTGACACTCTTGTAATAAAATTTTATAAAGTAACAACGGCAAACACTACAAACTGAGGTCAATTCAATCCATCCAATGAGCTCTAAAACCCCTTTACAAATGTACTGCTTTGTATTAATAAATAAAACGTTTATCAAATATATCTTTTTTGTATAACATATGCTGTCATTTGGTTCATAAGTGAAAAAAACAATCATACACATTTTATTCATATTTATACAGGTTCCATTTAGAAATAAATAAAAAAAACAAGGGAGAGAGAGGTTATGACGTAATCAAGTACAGAAAACATGTGCAAATTGTTGTTACGATAGGCGAAATTGATGAACGGGATAGCAATTATTAAACAATAATCGTAAAGTATACAAAAGTATTTATCAGTGCCGAATATAAGTTTCGTAATAGAGGAAATAAAATGAAAATGACATACGAAATGAAGATGGGCAAGATAATTGTTCACTTGATGAATTTATCAAGAGTTGAGGATTATTGTTTAAGCTTAAGTATAAGGATTTGAGGCAATTAGAGACTAAATGTATAACCTAAACCTAAATCGTAAATGTAAATCATAAATTGTGAATTGTACATCTTAATCTTGAAACATAATATTGATTTTAAATCAAAACCGTATATCTAGCTATATAATTATGATTTCGCTACTGAAACTGATGATCTACATTAGTTAGGTAACGTTCTAATATGATGCATACACCGTGAGCTTTAAGTGGTTTGCGCGTTCATCAGTGTATCCCTGAGATTTAGATGGTGGTTAGAGGTAGTCAACAGGAAACCCTGGACCCCAGACTGGTGGCCACATTGCAACATGATCGATAGCATTCGATCTGTACTAATAAGGACTAGACAAACATGACATTGATCACCACCCAGTGATCAATCAATTGTGATCAGTGTATCCCTCTTAAGTTAAGGGATTGACCTAGAACAGACAATTACTTTCGATCATCTGACGTACCTTAAAGAAACTGTTTTGATTGGGATTGAAATACTAACATTAGTATGACGATATTATATCATTAGTAAGGTAGAACAAAATGAACAGGATTTTCACACTGAACATAAATTACACATTAAAATACAGGACATTTTCTTTTCTACTGTAAATCTATCAGTGTCAATAGTGATGTTGGAAATCTGAGATTTGAAGTGCTAAAGCAATCATGTAAAAGATTTCTTATTAGTGTTTCATAATATTTGTAATACTAACAGTAGTGTCATATCCGATTTCACGTAACTTCTACTTAAACAAACAGTGAGACTGTTAAAAAATGCAGAAATTTTCATGAAACTGATTAGGAGAGCAGCATTTTAAAAATTTCATAAAGTACAAAAATAATTTGTTTTATGGGAAAACAGCAATTTTTAATGCTGAACATTTTTAAAAAAATGACAATCATCTTGTGTAATTAATTAATCCTTCGTTCAAAACGTCAGTTTGAATTATACCTTTGATTTGATTTACTTTGGATTATGGTAGTTATATATTACTGAAATGCCTCAAATAATTTTACAAAAAACTATAATTCAATGTCTGGATAAAGGTTATTTCATAACTACTTTTAATCTATTTCAAATTGGTTAGTTAATAAGTGGTTTCAAAATAAAAGAATATATGGTGTAACTATAATTTATGAACGACCTTTGAGCGATGCTAGACTAACCTTGAGAGCGTCCACTTAATAACCAGGACCAAATGAGCATTTTAAACCTGTGTGAGGAATAAGAATTATGATTTACCGTTGATGCTTAAGGTTATGAATTAGATTTAGGGTTTTCATCACAAACTGACCTCAGCAATAATACCGAAACTCTATTTAGCCAAATGGATGAGTGAATTTCACGCCAAAATCCGAGACCTGTTATCTTATACACCTGATTGGTTCGTCCATAAATTATAGTCTTACCGAATATGTATAAGCATTGAGCTCTAAACATCAGTTCTAAACAAAGAACAATTTGAGTAAAATGTTTAAGTATGAAAAATATGTTATGTTTAGTGAAAAACAGATTTGTAGTAAAGTACATGTACTTTACTGGTATTCCGTATAGAAATAATTAAAAACAGTAAAGATATTATCATACAAAGGTGACTGCATATTATTAATAAACTATATACACAAAAATTCATTATTTATCATTTTTAAATATCTTGACATTATGATAAGTATGGTATGTTTGTAATAGAGAATAATCTTTTCCTTGATTTTTTTCGTCTTTAATTTTTGCCTAAAAATTTTTTGACCATAGATTTGTGTTTAACTCCAACTTATCAATAATTTTGCGGTGGATCATGTTTTTCAAATTGAAAACGTTAAAAGTAACAAAAAGTGTCTGAAATGTTTGGTCCAACTTTACACATTTCTATTATTTATCAAATAGTATTCTTATATCAATATTTAAACAGAATAATTAACCAACGTGCTAAAATCAATAAGTGGATAAATGTTTTTTTATTAGTAGTCGATCGACTTAACCTTGAGGATGAAATGAAAAAAAGAAAATCGGATTTTATTGTTTCTGGATTATTTAATAAACTATCTATATATCATCTTATAATTTAAAGAATTGTTTTCTATAGAAAATAGAATGCAAAGTGATAATAAAAGATAAATGTCAGCATGCAATATCTTTTTCTTTAAATTATTTTATAAGGAATACTGTACATCCATTCTGATAACAATATAAAAATACTGAAAATGTAGTGTGTTATTTCCCGATAAGAATAACGAGTGGTAGTTTTGGGAATCCATTTGTGAACCAATACTATACGTGTATTTTTATCGATTAATTGTTAATTAACTAAACTATTCATATTGATGTCTCTCTTATAATCAGCTTTATTTTAACCTATGAACTATTATTATTATACATTTTACCATTCTTGAATTATTCCCTGTCTATTAATCATTACCTCCCACATTCACAGTGACATTTCGCCAAATCTTGTACAAATGTTGTTTCCTATTTTATGGTGCGATGTGGTCTGTTTAATTGGTTTATAAACACTGTATGTTTGGAATAAATGATTCATATCGCAGAGACTCGGATTGATGTTCTGGACTTAAGTGGCTAGGCTAGACCAGAAGCAGAACCGATAAGTACTCTAGACTGCTCATACGGGTTTACGCGTCACTGGTCCAATCGATAATTCACTGCCTTTTAATTAGCGGTATTAACACGTTAAACATTAACAGGGCACACACGTCACAAGTTATAACATAGTGCCAAATAAACGATTGTCAGTTCATTAGCTTCTTAACTTTGATAGTGATTTAACGTGTCACTCCTAATGATGATGAGATGCCATTAGCAACATTATCTAAACAGGAAGCTACACAGTCGACGGAATAGTGTAAACTATTACATAGGAATAATCATAGGTTTGAATAATTTAGCAGAAACGCTATGGTATTGACACGGCTATAATATTTCCACTAACGCAAATTCTACTAAGATTCCAAAGCCTTTTAGATGGGAATTTCGGCCAGATGGAAAAAGAGTTTTGTATTGATCTCTATTTTATTCATGCAGCATACTCATAAGTATATTCTTGTTTGAAAACAATGTATGAATTATATATTTTCTAAATATATGCCTGTTTAAAACAGCATACCACAAAATATCATAAAGTATTATGAAAATATCTCGAAATTTACTGAGACTTCTGTGCAAAGAAAAAGTTATTGTTGTATTCTTACCAAAATGGTTTATTTGTTTCAACTTAAGTTCAAAAGGTTTCATGCAATAATTGAATTAAGAAAAACCAAACCTTAACGATCAATGTGAGCGTTTCAAGGGTGATCGCCCTTTGTTTATTAAAAAAGCCGTAATCGGTTTTAAAAATGTTATGTCTAGGTATCCATATACATATCATATCACATGTGGTTTCAAAAATTGGTATCTGGAAAATTATTTCAAAACAAAACTACAAACAATTCATAGAGTGAAGAAACGATATTCCGAGAAAAACAAAGTTTCAATTACTTATAAAAACGATTGACTGAAGATGATTTATGAAACCTTGACAAGATATACATGCATGCATGTAAATTTATAAAATGTCCATCATTAACGAACTGAAAACTTAGCAAGTCAACTGAGAAATAAATATAGAAAAGTTTACGAGTTTAAATGGAACTGAAGATTTAACATGAACATGAAAAACAACAACAGCAAATTATGAACTAGTTATCAAAATTAGATTCAAACAAAAACATGAAGTAGGAAGGAACGATTAGTGAAAAATAAATAAATAAACAACTGTATAGACTTAGAGCGCCAAAGAAAACAGAACAGTAATAAAAATTTACCCATTTTTTTACAAGACAGAAGTAGAACTAAACGCCTGCTCGTGTAAATATGCATAAACAAATACAATAATTGGCTGACAGCATAATATTGAATATTTATTACTGTGACTCATTACATTTCTAATAACTTCACATTGTAATCACACATAAGCTATGTTTATACATACATATATATTGTCAATGTCTAAAATAAAGCTCCTTTTTTGGACAAAAGTTAACTGTAAAATACCAGATTCTGGATATCAGCAAAACAGTTTTGCCTTAATATTAGGTGACTGAATATATTTAAATCCTGATACTAAGGTTGATGTTATAGCTTTCAGTAATGACAGTAAAAGTTTCTAGCAGATTGTTATGACACAGAGAAATGAAGGGTATATCAATTCAATTTTTAGTAGTTTGAATAATTCTGTTGCTAATATTTTGACTGGAATCTGGTCAGTCTTGGTTGGCATGTGTGTATACTGTGCGGATCATCTTGATATAACCATTATGATGCAAGTTCTAATAAAATAAGTGGAATCCAGGACCAGCGTTTCGTCTCATTTTAAACTCGTCAGCTGCATATACCTGCAGCCCAGAATTGACAACCTATTAAGATCTCTATCTCAGTGGCAGTCTCTGAAAACTAAATAAAAGTTCATAGCCGTTGCACAAGTGAGTAACTATCTGGACAATAGTCAAGTGGGAAACGCATTGGCGTTTTAAACGAAGAGTACCAAGTTATAATCTCAGAGTGAAAATCACCTGTGGGATGAACTTAATTTCATCAGATGCGATCTAAATTGAATAAAATGCGTGTCCATGGATCCGACAAGAGAATTGATACTTACTTGATGACAATGGTCCCTACTTTTGTTAGATAATACAATATCGAATAAATAACAAATTTATTGTTATGGGAACTGGTAATTCGAATCAATAAAATCTTAGTTGTTCTGAATACTGGTTATCAGTGACTACGAAGCATTCTTATTTTAATTCGTGTTAAACATTTGATACTCACAAGCTTTGAAGAATACTTTCCACCCAAATTAAAGTGTAATTGTCAGCAACTCATTTTTTTCCTCCAATACTTGACGACTGATATCCATTACGTTTTGCAATAAATCAACCAATTTAGAAACGTCTATAAATCAATCAAACAGTGATATATGATACGCAAATAATCCTACCCTGGTATAGTTTTTATGGATGTATTTGTGTTTTAGTGCTGATGTTCATGTTAGAACAGAAACATAATACATTAGTCAAAGAGTCACAATTGGTTAAAAAGATTAATGTTTTTCACGACTCAATATTTTACTGGAACATTATCCAGTGCTTGAATTGATCGGTTCTGGTTAGTGAAGCTGGAAATATTCACATTTGGATTCTGATACATTGGTCTAGCTGCTAAATGTTCGTGCGTAAAACTGAATATATATATATATATATATAAATTATTCTAGTCTTAGATTAAATTTAGATATCATGCAGATTCATCACTGGCAGTAACTTTCAAAATCCAAATATGATTGATACCAAACATCTTTTTGTTATTGCTATTCAATGATAATAGGTATTTGGACTTAGTCAGCATGATGTTTTAAACCTATCATTTTTTGTAGTCAGTACTCGTCACTATGACGGGACCCATAATATTGAACGGACTAACGCTTCTTAAACACGCATATAATCACTGAAAGTTTTATAGCCGGTTTGATTAAAGGGAATTAGCCTAAATATTCTGTTAATCGACAAACTTATATCATTTACGAGGACAACTCATTTAATAAATTGGAGGAGGATTTTTTACCCAATTTTACAGTCAAATTACTTGAAGAGCTGTTCAAACATATAGTCTCCAAATTATAGTCTCAATAAACGGAATTAACATAATTTTTTTTAAAGATAACGGATCATATTTGTAACTTGTATTTTACATTGAGGTGAAATACGCTAGATAAGTACATCTGCTTATAAGTTCATTTATATTACCACAAATTTCGATACTATGGTAAACAGGAGAGGAACAAATCAAAATGTGTACTTCAATGATTGATGAAAATCCACACTTGAAGTGTTGTGTTGCATTTACTTAAATGAAATTCATTTATAGGCTCGTCATCTACAAAAAAAGGTTTTTAGAGAAACTATGTATAGTACCTTGTGATACACTAACATTGTATAGTGATCAATTTTAGGAATTTACTAATTATAATCCTATTAAAAACTTATACAAACAAGTAAAATCCAGACAGTTTGCAATAAATATCGAAAGAAATGACATGAGGAAAAATGGCTGAAAAGAAATTAGATTTATGACTTTATATCCTAACTAATGATTTATGTGGTTTTATTGATTTACTCTTGTCTGAATACGCTTTTACAATATTCATCTATCTCCTCTATTAAGACAAATAGTGAGAAGTTATACATAACATACTGTTTTTCAAGTCTGAAAAATTGGTGCCTGTATATGTATCACTTTTATACAAGTTGTGAGAAGCTTTAAGTGCTAAAACCTGGTGAAAATATTTAAAAAACGCTTCAAGGCTTTTGATTATACTTCTTTTATTATAATAAATTAACGTATTTTAAACTGAAGTAACCTTAGAACGTCAATTTCACATTTAATAAGCAAGTAATTGCTAGATGGAACTAAACTATTTCTTAAGATGAAAATTCCAATCTGTTCGATCTGAATTCTTCTTATCACACTTAAAAGCGAACATTTCATCATAAAGTAATATGAAGTGATTTCATGAATAGATTGACTATTCTCATATAAGCATTAAAGTAGGAAAGTAAACAAAATTCAGTGAAAAGGGACACCCTCTCTGAATTTAGCGATTGTACAAATAATCCATGATAACATCAAATGTAAGTATTTACTTTAATTTGTTCACACTAAATACTAAGCCAATGAACACTGATTCTATCACTGATTTTTTCTAATTTCTCAGTTTAAATTAAGAATACATGTAAATATGTTTATGCAAAAAAAACTTACCATTTTATTGTGATTCTCGTTTGAATGTTCAAGTAGTTGACAAACTTGATATATCAGTGATAACAAAGTTGTCATTTGTTGATTGTGTGGTAATATACTTTGTTTTAATTGGCAATCAATTTTAATGTCATAGTGTAGGGAAGATTGCTCATTCCTTATGTAATAGTCTGAAATGGAAAATAAATATAAATATATTTATATAATACGCATTATTTTTTCATATGTTATATATATATATATATATATATATATATATATATATATATATATATATATATATATATATATATATATATATATATATATATATATATATATATAACCCACAACCAGCCAGAAGTACGAACAACCACGACTAGTCTAGTCGAAAATACACTCATTTTTATATTAATTCATACACACATTTTTTGGTAAATAATTAGAATAAAATCAGATATATAAAAAATCCCTATGGTTATAACAAATCATATGCTGAGTATAGTCGATGTTAATTTTTAATACAAGAATATCGTATATTATACAAAATAAAATACCATACAAGGAAGGTAAAGAAATACTTCATTGAGTAATCATCACAAAACGGAAGTAATGTTGAATAAAACTCATAATGAGTAAATCAATGGAATTTCCTGTCTTATTAGTTATTTAGTATCATCTAGTTTCTATTGATTACAAATACTACTCGTAAAATCCAGTAGTAAGTAGCATCTATATTTATAACGAAGTTTTATTTGTTTCTGTTATTTTATATGATCATTGTTTATTTCTTTATTTGAACTAAGAACATTTTAGTTTGAAAGTGAATTATAAACGTTCATTTTTTCGATGTATATGCAAAAGTTTGTGACTAAATGACATTGTTGACACAATCCATTCAGGTTGTACGTATGCTAATATTAACGATTGAGAATTATACGTTCTTAAAAATTAAGTTTATAGTCATTAAAAACGTTTGTGACTATTTAAACATGATAATTTAGTGAATAACGCTCTAAGGCGAAAGATACTGATTTCGCGTCCCAATATGAATATCACCACTGGTGAACAGCTAAGTCTAGTTCATTAATCCAGAACAGGACTAAACGTGCATCCTAGGTTACATTGCTAACCAACATAATACTTTAACGAAATTGTGTGACATAATATAAGTATCGAGGAAGTTCAATAGGAGTATATGCATATCAGTACAAACGTGTTAACTACAGAATTTAGCATAAATAACGGTAGAATATAAAGATTTACAAATATAATTTTTGACCATATATGTATTTACATTAATTATTATTAGTATTATTTAAATAGGCTAGATATATCATCGTTTTTTAAAAAACAAACCACTTACATTATACTAAGATATTTTTCTAGACTAAAATACGCCTATTTGATTTACTTTTTTTCAGGAACATACTGAAGTTCAAAAACAGTTCATTTTGTTATTTATTTCCTCAAGTGTTTCTTTCCATGAAATAATCCAAACAGTAACAAGAAAAAATATCACATCGATATAAAAACATCAATGGAAAAGAGAATAACAATAATAATAACCTGTCAAAAATATACTACTTGTAAACAAAAAATAAATAGACATAACAAGTCAAAAGTTTATAATATTTAAACAATTTGATGAGATATTCATAATAGGTATTGAAATCCTTCCTATTGAAAAAGAATTTATTCTACAGTTGATTAGTGACTAACAGAAAATTTCAGAATGTGCATATCCAGTTTACAACAGAGAAACTGTTTAGTCACAACCTTTATCATTATGAACAACTGGAAGTTCAGAAATTTCTACAATAAATAATCTTGAAATAGGGGTTTTGATACATATCTCTGAATTTACTGAACATAGTTGAAACAATTAGTTTTGCGACAAAATAATAAGTTCACTAGTTTTCGATGTCATTAGTTTAATATTCAGACAATTCCATGTGCTATATTGATCGATATTGATCAGCCACTTCAGTCTTCTGGGAGTACCCAATAACCAACTGTGTATATAATGCCACAAGTTTCCAAATTACGAGCTATTATAAGAAGATTGCAACCTATCACTAAGCTATTTACTTCGAGCACCAAGAAAAACTATTTTGATAGTTGCCTTGCATCACCATTTCACTACTTCTTAGTGTAATAACAGCCGCTTGAAAAAGAATTCACTTATCAGATACATTTATCTGTGAAAAAAAATTTAGAAGTGAAACAGGCAGAAAATAATTGCAGAACATGAATGGTAGCTAAACATTGTTAAAATATTCCTTTATACATTGATACTTTTAAATATTCACAGGTTAGCAAAAGATAAAAGATAAATTCTCTGAAACAGTATTTTCTACTGAGGACACATTTGGCATAGAAAATTAGCCTTCACTATTATCATTATTAATGTATGCTGTAAATTAAAACATACACCTTAAAACGTCTACTACCTATCTACTGTTTATCTAAAGTATAATCTTAAAAATAACTTCTCCCTAATAAATAACATGTAATTCATGAATATCTTAGTTTACAACTAAATACACATGACTTATCTAGCACATGCCTTTATAGTATCATTAAGTCACTTAATATACTGAATTGGAACATTTCGTAATACTTCTTGTATCCGCCATATCCATACACTGCTTGAATTTATATTCAGCATGTTAATATTTTATACTGTATTTCATATTTAGTTCACCATAGAACTGTTGAATTGACATTGGTTACGATGTATGCTAACAAACTGACATACTTTTACGCCTGCATGCAAACAAATCAAGTAGTTCGAAGGAATTATATTAGCTGGAAAACGTTTACTTGGCGAAGCGTCATGTTTATCTGTTGAAGGACTGTATTGATTTACGTCGATAGTAAATTAATATTCATCCTAATGGTTAACATTTTAATGACATAAAACTAAATGGTCATTAAGAGAGAGAATACAAAAATGCATTCAACTCAAGTTGGTAAAGCTGAGAACTGTATATGTTAAATGATCAGTAAGCAAATGAAACATTAATGTGCAAATCGCAAATGGTTAATTTAATTAAAGAGAATGATTAAAAGTTTCAAATAAATTCAATATGTTTATAAGTGGCATAGAATTGCTAGTAGGATAAAACAAGATTGCATGATTTGTGTTGACAATCAAATTAGCACAGAACTCCTGCTCAAATAAAAATTGACAAATTAAACCTGTGATTTATTGGTGAGAATTGTCAAAATATATAAAGAATTGTGTGATACAATAAAGTTATCAGTTAAGATTTAAAAACCTTATATATATACCATTTGAATGAATATATTATACTTTTAAATGAACATGATCTCATGATTTCCTTCGGTAAATTATTATTTGAAACTCCTTTTGTCCTGAAAATTCTATCGGCAAAGGTTTTTCATAGTAGTTTAATGAAAACAATTTGTGTTTAGAATGCTACCAACAAAAGTTAATTTATCATTAAGGTTTTTTTTTAATTTGTAGTACATCCAGGCCGGATCACGAATCTGAAAATGTTATTTACATCATTTATTTGAACAGAAATGAATTAATAATATAAATTTCATATTCACTAAGTAAGTTAGTAATGATGTGGCGTCTAATATGAAACGTATTTGGTTTGAGTTTCAGCGTGAGCATCAAAACTTGGATGACGGTACATTCATTTAACGAGTATTAAATAAAACGATATGTGAACCATGAATATAACCGCTGACCGCACCCCATATATTCTATAGATACAACTTATTTGCATGCTTAAAACTCCAAGAGTATGATGCCATTTGCCTACATAATTTCATACGAATTGACAGAGATTGAAAAGCAAGCTGTATGTTATATTAACATAGTAAGTAACATGAAATTAAACTTCGGTAAACAGTTAGGTCACATAGTTATCAGGCAATTACTAAGTTTGTAATAATTGCACTTTACATTTGACCTCATCTGCTATAATTACCCGCTATCAATATCCTGCTTACAGTACAATTATTATACATGCACAAACCTTTTTGACCAATAAAGACTTGTAGTAACTTGAAGATATTTTTACTTCCATTTCAACCTGGTATATTTTCCAGTTAATAAATTTTAATTAAACATATGTGTACTGCTTACATGTTCAATATAAAAAAAAGATAACACCATGTAAAGTACAATTTGATTCTCTGTGAAATTGATTTTTATCTTATTATATTTAATAAAATTACAGTATCTGTATAATTAAATTATTTAAATGTATTTACAGGTGTTATTGTTAAGGTAACAAGTGGGAAACCGTTGCGTACATGTATATACGTGAATACATGTACATCAGACTAATAAAGTGCAAACTTTTCGTTAGACAGAAAGCTGAATTTTACTATAATTAAATCATAATTGAACAAATTTCCAAAGTCTTTAATAAACACAATTTTTCTCTAGTGTTATCCTCTGATTTTTCAACTGTGATCCGTCAACAAAGAGCTAAACAACAGACTGATACGTTCTCTTTAATAGACTATCAGTTAAAAATCTCGTAGAATTTCTTCTAAAATCTTTTTAATTATAAATAAATGTGACGTTGTCCATCCGTTTTCCAAGGTTAAACTAATGTACAGTATCCAGTGGCTTTATGAATTTTGCTTTTGAGTAATTTTGTGTAATTTTTACTGGAAATATTATTTTGAGTATCTGAAGTTATTTGCATCTGTCTGCTAGTAACAAGCAAGTGTGAAGTAGCCCAAAATGCCTGATAATAAGCAGATAAAAATCACATTAAATCCCTGAAAATGATGTACATGGTACATTTGTCGAATTTTGAAGAACGGATGCATAACCACACGCTTATGTACTATGTATACGTTTTCACTTTATTTATATTTCCTACAAACTGATTTTAAATTTGAGAAATTCTATTAAGAATCTTGTACTGGAAATTTTTACATTTATTTTATTACACGTTATTAATAGCTAATCATTTTTTATTTTATCAAGTACTTGCAATTTACTTTGCTATGGGTGTAATGTATTAGAGTATAATTAAAATGAAATGTTTAATCTTTTGTTGGTCAGTTGCACTAACAGCTGAATTTTATTTTGACTCAGCTTTTGAGTATCACATACTAGTGGCAATGATAAATGTACCAAATGATGAACTTGGAATGTAATTTGATTTGATTTCATAACAGCTATAAGAAAGCTTTTTTTGGTGGCTAGCAGTGGAATTCAGGACGCGCGTTTTGTCCTATTTGGAACATGTAAGCTGGATGTACCTGCATATCAGATTTGATTTTCACTCCTAGACTCGAAGCCAGTACCTTTTACTTTAACCTCCATAGTGTTATCCACCTAGCTACTATGTTCAGATAGGTACCAGCTTTTGCAGTGGATTAAATGTGGATAGAATAAATGAAAGGGTATTAAAAAGAATTGAATATAATGTGTATAAAAGTTATCAATGATTGAATTATCATATAATTTATCAATGCCTCTTTCTCAAACAAAATAAAAATTGTTAACGACAAAATATGCACTAAAGCTTCTACGTTTTCATGTAATATCACATAATTTATTCAGTTTTTAGGAGCTGAGAGTAAACGCACTTTGAAAACAGGAGATTCTATAATGTAAAACTAATATTACGTTTGTTATTCGTAATAGTTCATCAAGATGCTAATTATGAGGCAATGAAATATATATTGTCTCAGTGGTCTAGAAGTTGAACGTTCGTAAACAAGACGAGTAAGATACTGAATTTGATCAAAGTTATGGTCGTGTACTAGAAAAGAGTCTGAAGCTAGACGTAAATGGATGTACAGCCCTTTTCGGTCTTAAATAATTACCAAATTTAGCTCGATGAATGATCTCAATAAAATTTATGTCTGTTTAATTATTTTTTTACAGAACTTGTTTAGAATATTTCATTTTTATAATATTGATTGTAATAATAATGATAGAAATAATAAATATTTTTGGAATTTTTCTCGTTTAGATTAATAATGATATAAATAAGCATTTGACCTTTTCGTTATTTCACTTATAAATCTGAGGTACATTCTATTGATGGAAAAAAAAGTTAGGAACTATTACATATTATAGTAGTCGTTATGATGTTAATCATTTATCATGCGAATTGCTTTTTATTCAATAAGAAGAATGTTTAAATCGATGGGTTGGTTTATAGAATGTTTGTATCATATATTGAGATCCATTGGAATAGAAATTAAAAATAACAGAGTTTTGAAAATATCGTTTCATCTTAGAACGAAATACTTGAACAATATGCACCCACATGGCTTTGACAATTTTTCTGAACCCAGAATAACGAGATTTTGTTGTAAACGGTTCAACTGATTTGGCATTCATCGGGATATCCAGTGCTCCTTAGTTTTCAATTGTACTGTAGGCAATGTTAGCTGGTGATAAAGAACGCCTATAAATGAAACCTCCAACAAAAGTAAGAATAGAGTGCCAGGGAATGTACTTTTTGTATAATTGCTGGGATTCAGTACACTATAGTGATATTTAATAACCATGATACTAATTGTGTGAAATGCACCGAAAGAATTAGAAACTTCATAGGTAAATTTACTCAAAGCATCATCTTCATGTTTATCATAATATTAATTTGTAGTTATCAGTACACTGTTATGAATATTGGCATGATTTTCATGCTGCATCATTGTAGATATATTTCAATTACACTGTACTTTTAAGAATTATCTTACTGTTTCGCAGCTAGTTTTTCATGAGGAATGATCGATTCCCAAATGTTTTATAGGTATAATTGGCAGAACAAATTCGCACACATCAAGAATACATGAAGTAATAGCTTTTTATTCTTTCTACGTAAGAAAACATTTCGTACACACAAAGTGATCTGATCATATTTTACTGATATCCAGGATTAAATTTCTCGGTTCATACTGGATTTTAAGGTTCTCAAATGAATATTTAAATATTATTTCTCGTTTCTGGATAGACGTTTTGAAAATTAAAATTATCTTTAAGCTTAGAAAAGATAGTTTACAGTTTGTCTGTTTCGAAACCCGGTTTAGTGTACTTGGATTCCGGCGTCTATGTTTTTACAAAAAACCACTATTTGAAATGTATGTGGTTCGAATTATCACTCTTAATTTTGGGATAATCAAAACCAGTACAGATAAAATTAGAATTCATATCCGTTGCACATATAAATTGTTATCTGGATTCAGTAGCTAAATAGATAACTCACTGATATGTGAAGTGACAGCCACCCCATTCAAATGCCGTAATAAAAATCAGCACTATGATACAGCCACACCCAGCTGACGAGACCCGAATGAGACGAAATGAGTATCCTGTTTCCTAATCCCAGCCATATTCCATTTATTCTATAAAAAATTGTCATAATGTCTATATCAAGGCAATCGGCACAGCTTCCACATACTCTAACAAAGACTGATCAAAATTCAGTCAAAATATCAATAACAGTATTATCAAAATCACCACAAGTCGGATTAGAATTTTGTATGAAACACCGATTTCCGTTCTTTATAAATTTGTATAATTTTTTAAAATTAACATCTTATATTGACTATAAATAAACTTATGATATTTTTGTTAGTTAGTTTGTAAGCAAAGTAATTTTCTGTGTGTTTCATGTACATTTTTTCTAGTTTGCATTTTTCTATATATTTATGCTAGTAAAATAACGTATCGTAAAAGCCTACATGCTTTTATTTAAGCATACATACTTGTCTTTGCATATACTTTCAAATAATTAGTAACTATATAGAAATATATTCATATTTATATCTAGGTTTTTTCCAGGGTGATGATTAAGTTTAAAATAAAGGAAACTGACTAGATAAACTAATGCATGCAACAAACTAGTACTTGTAATTGTAAAATAATCAATAAGGGTTATTCAATTTATATCCGTTTAGATTATACGCAAATATAAACATCTGGTTATGTGTGTAAGAATAAAATGGATATCTACATAGAAATAAATATGTACTTCTGCTATTCGAATAAGATTGCGTAATAAATAACTAGGTCTTTTTCACAAGTGCAGTCAATCAATTCTGATTTAAATGAATCTACATACGACGGATATATATATATATATATATATATATATATATATATATATATATATATATATATATATATATATATATATATGATTAGTAATTTGATGCACTTAATCGCTTTCGGACGGATTACTATCCGACCTCATTATTCAATATTTAAGTGAATTTTGTCAGAATCACTGGTTACTATTGTAATAAATTGATCTGAAATTTCGTGTTTGAACAAACGCATGATCATACAATAGTTAACAATGAATCCGCAACCAAATAAATATCACAACACCAGTTTCAACTCGGCCTCCATTGTTAGCTGCAAATAAAGATAACCGTTCTGGCTGTTTATAAAATGTTTCGGCTTGCAAATCTAATTTCGGTAAATAAAGTATATTACAGTTAAGCACTTTTATTGTTTGTTTAACAGATTAAAACCATGACAATACCGAATACTAGTGTGAATGATCAACAATAAGCAAAGAATTTGAGTACAAATGCATTTGATTCAAATAGATATATTTTAACCACAGTGTAGTAAATTGATAAAACACATGCATTTAGCTGCGCCGTTCTCTAGAAAATCGTAGTACATATTATCTAGATAGCATCATTGACATAGAAATATGAGTTACTACATACTATAATACTTCATAATATTGAGCAATGATAGAATATTTAACACAAACAAATAACTTACCTTTGAAATTATTGCAATCATAATTTGAATTAACTAAGAAATTATTTTGTGAAAGTAAATATTGAGTATTGCTCCATTTAGCCGCATTATCGATACCTTCAGTTTTACACATAATATCAGAATATCCTAGTTGAAAATATTCTACTACTTTTACAGGATCTATACAAAATTCTACCATGTTAGACGATTGTGAAAGATTTATGATTTGATCGCTATTGTAAAATGGATATCGAAATGTTCTGAAATCTCTTCGTAAATATTCTAAATGTATGCAGTTATTGGTTAGTGTCAACACCATGTACATCAGAAGGGTTGTGATAGATGCAATTTTTGTGGATAATTGTGAAAAACGAAAGAAATGTAAAATATTCCTATAAAGCCAGCAGTACTTCATCATAATGTTAAAAAAAGCAAATATTCTCAGCTCAAATTAGACGTTTTCTTCTCAACAATTATGATCATGAATTGTAGAACTGATAGAGGTAGTAGTTAGTAAAAAATGTCAATATATTTCTTGAACTGATTCTATGCATCCATATGATGGAAAGAAATGAATAAGGGTCAAGATAATTGGATGATTAGCTGTAAACATTTGACTGTTTATTTTCTAAGTAATGAATTAATTATTAAATTGTCCTTAAGCATAGTAGTATTTATACACAGTTTTATTTTTATTTCCGGATAGATTGTTCACAATATGTGTGAATAACATTATTTTTATACTCAAGAGAAATAAACAAATAATTTCAGTGTTAAAAATGAATGGTACTTTCAAATGGATGATTAATGGCAATAGAATTATGCAAATTATAATTAGATATTGTCAATAAAGTTGTATGAAGTAACCTGAGAATTTGAAGTAATTGATAGTCAGATTGATAAGTCTCCATGTGATTTAGTCATGTGCATGTATTTAATTCACTTGTATTTTATTTAAAGAAAAAGGTTTCTATGATCTTTCTATAGTTTTACTTATTTCATCAACTCATTTTGTTTTTGTTTTTTGTGTATAGCCAGCTGTACATAATTATTCATTCGCTTTTTATGGTGATATTCTTAAAATGTGGCGAAGATATAATATTTTTGTTTACTATAATATAGATTCTAAATAATTCATATAGAATAATAATCTAAAGATCGTTTACAAAGATTATTAATAGTTTGGTGAATTTTTTTAATTTTGATTGATTATTCTTTAGTTATCATTGAACATCGATATCAACGGAATGCTTCAAGCGTTGAATATTGAAATGTATCCTTTGTGACTGCAATACATAGATGTTCGCCCTTAGTTGATTAGAAATCAAAAAGAAGGTTATCAAATATATTTGGAATTAAATGATTATAAAGAAAACAAGTTCTTGTTAGTAATAAATTTCACTCGTTCCTTTAAATAATCCGTGACAGACTTATGTCAGAAAAGAAGCAGACATTTAGGCAACCTCTGCCTGCAAATAGTGATCATATCTAACCGGTAAACGAAAGCAACCGGCCGGCCGGCCGGCTTCTTGTTAGACGATCATGTTTACTTTAGTGTATTAAATCTAGACACGTACACATTTACGTACAGGCAATAGTGCAACCTATATAAAGTAAGTGAACACAGGTACAGTCATCAAAACAGCTTATTACTTACCATTTGTACACAGACATTCATTGGCTAATACGTATGTGCAATGATTTCTTACAGTCATGCACAATCGTTAGCAAATACAGGTATAAACGTTTGTATACCCATTCTACAGATTACTACTATATATTATACACATATATATTACATACTACATATAAACCCTATGGATTAAATTTAATCCAATCCAGTTCAGACTAAAAATAATTATGTTTACACAAACTTAATCAGGACAACCTACTTCAAGGAGATCTTATTTGTTTTCATATTGTGTTATCAGTACAAATGAGGATTACTTAGAGTACAATGAAGGAATACTGAATACTTGCTTTATATCTCAAGGTGTAAACCTTCACCATTTATTTCCAGGATTATTTGGATCAAATAATGTGCTTTTTTCAAAACTTTACCGTTAGCTCGTCATAATTCAACTTCTTTTTAAAACTGGACGGTTAGTTCTAGTTTATAGTCATTGGCTTCCAGTCAAAACGACATAGGTTTAAACTTTGATATGCAAAGTTTGATTCACTATTATCGTTAGTTCGTATACAATTGTTGTTCATAAAAGTATATATGAATTCACTGTATGTGGATTACTATGTTTTTGTTCAACTCACCCGTTTCCATAGACGATATTAGGCAGGTAGGATGTTTAAATAATTGCATAAAATCAACATTAAATGAATATACTTTGAGCTTAACTACTACAAAATATTCAGCCTGAAAGAACATTGAAACCGTTTAAGCAAACATTTACAACTGTTGAAAGATTCCAGTTATGTAGAAACTAAAGTATAGGTTCTCTTGTCACCAGTGAGGTAAGCTTTATTTTGTATAGCAACATTCTATAAATAATTTCCCAATACATTTCCGTTCTTTGATTTAAGTTGGAGTATCTGTGTAATTCTCCCATTATTAATTTGATTTCAATAAGCCATATATATGACACTTCTAGTATTGCTTTAAATTTGATTTAAATTTCAACAAATAAAAAATCATAGTTTCAACATAGGGACGTTGTCAAATGGCGTGAATTGTTCATAGTTGAATTTGGAGCAAAACTTCTGCAATATTATTTTCTCACTATATACCACATTCAGGTATGCGATAATAAATTAAAGACGCAGCATTTGCATCATTAAATGACTTGAAGTTGACAATTACAGAACACCAGAATAGACTGCATAGCTGATTTGTTCTAAAATGATGCTTTGCAAATGTGCGAATCAGTTACACTACCAGATTTCAGGATCTAGTTGTACGTTACACTTTTGCGAAGGTGTTAGCATTCAATGGTTTGTGTGTATGATTTCAGCCAGTCCGCCATAATTCGCAATCTTCATCCATTACCATTGGTAATACATGTCTCAGGCCTAAATCAATCGAACTTTATTGATTACTGCTGCAAATTCTAAAGTGGTTAACCATCCCGAATGTTCTGTATTGATAAAAAGCTATTATGTTTCGTTAAAATATGTACAAAACATAAGATTTCCAAGATTTTTGATGAGATTCAGATGTTTAATGCACGAATATCGGATACACTTTTATTTATTCTTCAAAATAAAGCAGTTATATCACGGCAGATGCCGCTCTCAGAGACCGTACATGGTGAATAAAGATAAAAATACCATCCACCCCATTAGTTATTCGAAATTTTCGCTCGTGTCATATTTTGTATCGGATACACAATAACTGATAAATAAAAATGTTTGCAGATATATATGAAGAACGTTAGATATTTGGAGGCAATATGCAGTAAGCTCTAATCAAACTAGTCTTCGTGATAGTCATTACTTGTCATCAAAGTATATTTGCAGTTTATGAAAAAATCTGTCGGCTATATCGTTTGCTTGTACATACGTAGATATTGTTACTGGGCTTTTTTTGGCCGCAATTAACATCCTGTGAGAATCTGATAAATACTCGCTGCTACATGGTATTAGAATGTTATTACTATTCAGTAACTGCATCGTGTAGTCATAATGAAGTTTTTAACATTATGAATAATATGCAATAGATTTGAATTACAATAACAACTAGAAATAAGTTCCTTTCAGCTCTATTATACTTCACTTCTGGAACTTAAAAGCCGTTTGATCAACCATCCATACGTTAAATATTTTCTAGTGTAAATGCGGATGTTTGTATCCTATAGTGAATATTTTGAAATAATGAATATCACGAACTGATGTTTTTAAGAAAACCACCTGAAATCAAGAAGCATTAGAGAGAAGAGTTGTTTTAATGTGGAACTCCTGAACAAATTGACCACTGAGCGGATCATGTATGACTGATACTGTTTTGTTTTAGTTACCGATTCATGGAGGCCTTCACTGACACATTCATTCATTCCGCAATCATTTTCCAACTCTGTACGTGATTTAGAAATTAATTCACTAAGTTGCGTCACATCTTCAAAGCATGGATGATTCAGCTGCCGTGTGTGTAATTTGTCTATAAATTTCGACCGATTCTGTCGTCGCTGAAATAACAATTTCAGTTGTTCGGAAGGGAGAGCCATTTTCTGTTTCTGAATGAATTAGCACGGTTACAGAAAATACTGTATGACTACTTAACAAACAATGTCGTTTGAGGACACAGACGACATTTCTGTTTGCTGATTGTTCGTAATAATTACAGTAGATTGAGGCCTCAGAATTTTTTTCTCCCCGTTAGATAGGTGAGACGATTGAACGTTACGTATCATATAGACAGTGAAACATCTTTTAAAATAGTTTACACAATAATTATATTTTATTTTGAAATTCTGAGAACATTGAATGACTGTTTCGTCCTAACTATTTGAAAGATGTGCATCTACTATGCAACTAGGGATCAAACATTGGACCATTATTGATAGATGCGGAGGGTTGTCTTTGGTCACTGATTAGTCATTGGTCATTGTCTCGTATTTAAAACTAATATTTTTTCCTAATAAAGAGTCTTTTTTCAAGTTACATATTACTAAGGATTACAGAATAATGTCTAACAATGAATATTTCAATACGGAAGATATTTTTTTAATCTATTCTCAATTCAGATTGATGGCAAGTTCATGATTTACAAATATTTATTAGAATTAGCTCTCTTTTAAATGAACTTATATTATCATGATACACAAGTAGTTTTTGTGTGTAGATGACATTTAAAACCCAAGTTCTGTGAAGAAATACAAGCAGTGAATAATCATGGTGGGGTAATAAAAAACATTTAAATATTAGATTAATGGTGTAAATGAAGGAATCCCATGTTAAGACGAAAGGACAGTCCAATGCTTCCAGGTTTTCCATAATGGTCAAGTAAACTGCGAAAATCCTAAAATCTCCAAAAATCCTCTACATTAATATTTATTCTTATCAAGAAATTCTTAAGAAAACGACACTCTATAGAAACCAAGTCACTTTTTTTAACATAGGACAATGAACAATCAAATAAAACATTTCACTCTACAATGAGGATTTACAAAATATTGACTGAAGACTTGCAACAGCAAAGGATTCAGGATACATTCACTTGAAGAACTTATAAATGGTTATTCAGTGAAGAACGGTTGATGTGTTTATTTGGAATTTAAGAAAAATGCTCAAATACGAGGAAGATTTTAATACACAATACAATAAAATAGATCATGTATTTGGGACTGAATCAATGTTACACTATTCCGG